TAAATTTATATATATATATATATATGCAATTTGAGTGGCTTTGTTTGGTAGCCCATTCGTTATATAATACTCCATCGATCATTCAAATTTGTTTTCATTTTTCATTTTTTTTTATTGTCATCCAAATTTATTCAAATTTCAATTTTTAATAAAAAAATATCACTTTTCTTTACAAAAAAAAGTAAAAAATTTCTATTCTCACATGTTTTTTTTAAAACTCGTCTCCGATCAAATGAGCATACAATTGGACGAGGGAGGGAGTAGATAATTTTGAGCTTAAGTAGTAAATTTAAATTTTGGTTGCAATTAATTAAAAGAATCTATTCTACTATATTTTAATTAAAGTTTATTTTTATGCAAGCACAACCAAGGTACAACGAATCTCATCAAATTTTCCAATCACATATATAGATCCATGCATACATACAATAATTTATATATATATATATATATTATATTAGATTGATTGTGTTATTTTAGAGTGTGTTTGGTTTTAATTTCAAACTAAAATTACTATTATTTGGTCTATACAATTTTGACAAAAATTAACCTAAGATTTTGATACTTTATCAGATGATGTAAATGATCGTCTCTTCTAAGAGCTCAAACTTTTAGGATATGCATCATTTATTAATTTATCTACAAATGAGAGTCAACCAACAATGACTTTTATTAGAAATATGAACCAAACACAATATTTTTTACATGAAATTATATAATATTATTCGACATTGTAACATAATAAATCTCAAAATTGGCTAAAATTATAAATTCGATCGATATATATTGTGTTTTTTAATATTTTTTTTTGGGATTTATTAACTGTAAAAATATTGTTAAATTTTTTATTTGTTTATTTCTAAAAGTATCTTATTATAATATATATTATTATTATTAAAGTGAACAAAAATAATATCATTTTGTATTATTGTAATTTAGGGTTTAATTATATGAAAAGCAATTGGGCCCCAAATCCAAATAAAGAAAAGAAGCAAAAATCATCTATTCCACAACTATTTGTGATTCTTATATAATTATCAAAAATAAATAAAAATGATAAATATATTTTAAATTTTGTATGTGACACTTTTTTTTTTTTATCATTTTGATACTTTATAAAATAAAATTTATATAGAAATTATGTTATATTATAATATATCATTGTTGAAAAATACATATTGACACTTGTGTTGACATGACACATCCTGAAGTAATATGAATTAGTAATTTATAGCAGCAAAATTTTGACATGAATTTATTTCTTAAATAAATATACAATAGTAAATTTAAATCAATGTCGAAAGTATGATATCAGTACATACTAGTATAATATTTCAATATTATAGAAGTTTTTCTGAATTTACAAATTGGCGTATAAGATTATTTTTAATTAAATAATCAAAATAATACTAATAAATACTAAAAATTAAATACATTTATTTATTTTTTTAAATAAATACACTTATTACAATATTTATTTTCCAAAAGTTAAAAGTGTTGGGAGTATGTAAATGGGTCCAAATTGATATTAGGAATCTTGCAAAGTGTCCCACAAGATTGAGTTTGGCTGATAGCCTCAGATTTTGGTGTTGGCAATGGAATCCCATGCATGCACGCATCCCTCTTCTTTATTTTATTTTATTTTATTTTATTTTATTTTCTATTTTAATTAATTTATTTATTTATTTATTTTTGGCATTTCGATTCATGATATTGAATACAATTACAATGATTAACTAAATACCATTATAAAATAATATTCCCTCCGTCCCAATTGAAATGTTATCGTTTTCCATTTTCGTCCATCCCACAATGTTACAATTTTCTAATTTAATAATTGTATTACCTATTTAATAAATACTTTTTCAACTTACAATATATTACACAAATGTTATTACTTTTATATTATACCATACTAATAGGGGTATTTTTATCTTTTTTACTACAATCCAATATAATACCAATATTAAAAAATCTAAGTGCAAAAAGCAAGCGTTACCCTTCCAACGGGACGGAGGGAGTAATAATAAAGGGTGTGTTTGTTTTATATTTTGAATAGAAACTTTTATTTACGTTAATAATGAAAATCACGTCGTTAATATAAAAAAATTATTATTTTTTTTTTTGTAAATAGGTAGAGTATATATATATATATTATATTATGTATAATTATATGTATATATTATATTTTTAATTAAGAACATTTATCAAGAATGAGTGAATACACCCATAATATTATTTTTTTAAAAATAGTTGTACCATTTACTTTTCTTACTTAAATTACAAACTATTGTTATTTTACCATAAAGTCTTTAAAATACAAGTAATATAGTGTAAAATAAGATAGTGTATGTTTATAATTTTAAGTAAAATACAATGCTATTTTATTAGTTGTGCATGTTTTATTTTGTTTGATATTATAATAATAATAATAATTATTATTATTATTATTATTTTGAAACTCGATATGAAAAAATTTATTAGATCACATACGAAATAATATTGAATTAATACTATTTCAGAGTAGATTTTAAATTATTTCTTGGTTCGATAATTATGGAATCCACCAAGCCCTTTTCATCATTTTACTTATGTTTTTGTAGGTTTGATTCTTATTATTTTTTAAAAAATTTAAAATTGAAATGGTGATTGAATGTAATATTTTTATATGTAAAATTAATACTATATTTTTATTAACAACCATAATTATACATAATATTGAAAATGATAAAGCATGCATCTCACATATATTATATATATAAAAAAAATGTAAAGAGTTGATCGGACGGTTGGGAGTGCACCGATTGGCAACACAACTCTATTACAGCCCTCATTCTTGACTGCTAGCTCTCTCTCTCTCTCTCTCTCTCTCTCTCTCTCTCTCTCTCTCTCTCTCTCTCTCTCTCTCTCTCTCTAAATAATGCTATAATTATATAAAAATAAATAAATAAATAAATGGTACTCTCTCTCTATATATATAAATAATATAATTATATAAAAATAAATAAATGGTAGTATGGGCAGTGGAGAGTAGAGACAATTAAGTTGTACTATGTAAAATTGATGAGTGTGGTGTCTTAATCGAATTAAATAATAAGTGTGAAATCTTCACAAGTGTTAAATTACTAGTGAAGAATAATAATAATAATAATAATTAAGTCACCAAAAGTCAGTTTCTTTCCTCCGTTTTTTTTTATATTATTATTTAAATAGAATATTTATATTTATATGAAAAATAATTTAAATATTTTGAACTAATGTTTTAATAAAAATTTTAAGAAATTAAATGATACAATAAAAAAAAAATAATAAAATTCAAGATCAAAGTAAATCATCCCATCCCATGTGAATGAATTTATTTTAAATAAAGAAATTAAAAGAGTCTTCTCCAATCATTCTTAGTCTAATTAGCTTTCTTGATGGCTACTTTTCTTTTAACCCCCACTCACTTTCAACAATTCTAATATTAAAATATATAATATTTAATATAAATATAAATATAAATATTTTATGTGTTTTAAATACTGTATGTGAGTGTGTGAAACCGACAGTGGTGGACACCAAAGCTTATTGTTGTTGTTTGGTTGACTTCCCACTCCAAATTAAAATTAAAATTTGACTGCAAAAGTGCAATACCATGGCTGCCTCTGTTTTTAATTTTAATCATTATTATATGTATTTTTAATCAATATATTACTTACTACACTAATACGACATATATATATATATATATTTTCTCAGTCATTCAAATTTATATTTATTTTTTTTTTTTTGAATTGTTATCGAAAATTATTTTTATTTTTCTTTAAGTAAAAAATTATTATATTTTTATATATTTTTTTACTATAAAGAAGTAACAATTATTACTCAATTTTATTAATTCTAGTATCCGATCAAATGAGCACAAATTTGAAGGACTAAGTGAGTATACCGGTAACAAATGGTCAACAGTTTAAAACTTCTAGAAGGTTTGTTTGAAATGAGAATCTACCTATCTATCTACACGTGGCCGAAGTGGCATCCAATTTAGTAATGATTAATTCAATATTATAATCAACATTGTTTGACTAACGCATTATATAAACTTAAGCCATATACAACCACTTTGTTTACGTGTATCTTTAAAAGTCGACATTTAATTTTTATCTTTTATAAAATATTATATTAAATATTTTTTTAATAAAATACTATATCAAATATTTAAATTTTTATTATTTAATTTAATTTAATTTTTTTTCATAACTCAGCTTAAAAAACTTTGTCTAAAAATATGACTATGTATAAATAAAAATGTGTAAAAGGTGTTGTTAGATATGTGCCGCAACAAATAAACAAAAGAAAGCACGATTTAAATAAATTTCATGCTTATTATTTTAAATTATAGAATCCATGAAATGAAAGTTATACTTTTAAATTTGGTCATTTTTTAAATTGCATATTCCTTTTAACAAGACTAACGCGCTACACTATGAATGTGTTTGATTTATATTTATATTAAAATAGTAGTGAGATTTTTAGGGGAAAAAAAAAAATTATTTTCATAAAAATTGTAAAATGAAAATAGTTGTTAAAGATAAAATTTTTGAAAAAGAAAAGAAAGTAAATTGAATAAAATAAAAACCATAAACATAAATAAACACACCAGACTGTAAACCCTTTTTATGAACTATATCTCCAATGAAATATTATTTCATTCTAAAAGATATTTAATCTCATATATGTATATATATATATATATATATAACACAAGTATGACTTATATATGTTCAAATTTAAAACATAAGACAGTAATAATTTCAAATTTGTCTACTTTTTTTATAGGGATAGAATTGAAATTTAGGGTAAATAATATAGTTTTGGGATAAAAAATAGAATGATCATAAAAATATATGAGATCCATTGATAGCATTTGTGTAAATAGATGAAAAAAATAATGGATACAGATTTAGAGAATGATTATAACTTTTACTAAATATAGAATTTTGATAGACCCACTAAAATAGTAAAATGAACACATTTTTACGATACAAAATGAGTACATAATAGTGGTTTATATAGTAATAATAATAATACATTCATTCATCCCTTGCTCGTCTACCTGAAGGTATTATAGTGAGTGAACAATATTTTTCTTAGCGAAGACTACTGAGTTTCACTCACATCTATTAAGAGACACACACATAAATTGCAAAGAAACAGTCACCAGCTTGAAGATTAGGTGATCAAGATAATGGGCTGTCTCAAATCTGGTAGAACATGAAAAGACTAACAATATTACATCAAATTCTGGATAAGCCAATGTTCCTTCTACAGTTCAGTTATATCTCTCTCTCTCTTGATTGTAAGTTAGCAAAAATGTGTGCCCCCCCCCCCCCCCCCCCCCCCCTCTCTACTCTACTTTCTAATCAAAATCATAGTCCATTGTCACTTGTCACACCAAACATCAAAATTAACACATTCAATAACTCCAACTTGTCTATCAAGATTTGCAGAATCTGGTCCCTTTAAGTAGGCAGCCACTACACTGCCATTTCTTCATCCTAAGTAGACTTGGATATAAAGTGATATGTAGGATTCCACATCTAACATGTTTTTGTTTTCTTTCTTCTTTCTCTCTTTCTTTATTCTTTTCTTTCTTTTTTTTCTCCTTACAAGATACATAAAATAAAGCGTCAATACACTTAGAATTTAGGTTCAGTCATGCAATATTTACGATGTTCTATAAAATTACACTATTTTCTCATAAAATATTATGTTCAAACAATTATTTAAACCAAATTATAGAACCAAACTCTAAATAAAGAAACCCTCAGTTTCATACTAGTAAAGAATCTAAGTAATGAAAAAAATTAAAATGACAAAATAATAATAATAATAATCTAGCAAAGAATCTTAAGATTAATCTCGAATAATGACCATCCGTGCTAAAAAGCCTCAAGTAACACGATCAAAATTGATTAGAAAATGTATGCACAAACTTGTATGTAAACTTAATCATATTAAGCTTGACTAGTAAGAAAAGACTTTTACTACACAATTTATAATTAGGTAAATAAAACTTTTAAGAGAAGAAAAAATTCACTTTCTAGTAGGATTGACTTACTATTAAATCCCACTAAACGATAATCATAACTTAGTATAGTAATTAAAAATGTATAGAATGTGAACAATTTAAATAATAATAATCATAAGGGACAAAGAGACATGGATTTAAGAGGAATAAAAGTGAGGAAGGGGAGCATGACAAGAAAGGATTTGAGTACTTCTTATCCTCAGAGACTTTGATTTCATCAAGAATAAATTTGCACCCCAACCACCTACGTCTATTGTGTGCTCATGGCTTCTCTGATAAAAAAACAAAGGGGACAATGTGATGAGCACTATAACGTGGCACCACGTCCAATCACCACATGGTTAGTGGCATTACGTGCCGTGTTACTATTGGTTCATCCGCAATCTTCAATCAACCAATCATATTTAAGCATCTTGACAATATAATATTGGTTTCTAAGTGGTGGTGCAATGTTGCCAAAACTCATAGTATTATTTTAAATAACCCCGACCACTTAAAATAATGTTGTCTGGGATGTTTCTAAGTTATCAAACATTAGATGAAAGAATGGCCTAACCTTAAAAAGTAACTCAGCAACACCATGGAAGAAGGGGTGGAGTCCCTCTGTTATTTCTTTATTATAATTGGGGTTGTCTCCTTCTAGAAATCCTGCAGGCCAAAGGTTAGGTTTTTACCCACATATTAGATGACTAGAATGGTTCAGTTTCGTATCAAATTAAATACATCAAAATATTAGCAAAATCGGATGCAAAATCTAGTTCAAATTATTGCACCAGTAAATTATTTAATGCAAGAAATGCATAACTGGAATCTTGATAGGGACATTGATAGGGAAACCTTTGAAGTTACCATGCTTTGTTGTCCAGCAGAAGGGCTTTGCTTTTTTCCAGATTAGTGGTCCCAATTTGATCAATTGGTTTCAAAGATTGAAGGCCATGGGATGGAGTAAGATCATATATAGATTTGATTTTCAAGATAAAAATGTTGCCCCTACTTTTTGGATGTAAAGAAAGTACAGGAATTTAAATTATTAATTGTTATCGTTCTGTTATAGAAAGAAAAAGAAAAAATATATATATAATAAATAAAGAAGAGAATAAATGAAAGATATAAAGCATTAAATTAACTGCAAGTCTGCAATCCTAATCCTCTTCCAGCCTTTCCACCTGAACACCAAATTCCAAATCACTTTTTCCTATAGGGTCAATAAAAGGGCCATAAGAAATTTTATGCATATAAATATTCCAAAATAATGTAGCATATTGACAGATCCACTGAAAGATTCCAAAGATGCTGATTTTTTCGATTTTTGTTTTGGAAAAAAAGACTAACATAGAGTGTCACATTATTGTCATATTACATTATCTCTAACAGAAGATTCCTGTGACTGCAAGAATATTAATCTTAAGAAAATAAAAAATAAAATATTTAGTAATATATTGTTTATTCAGAGGAGGGTGGACTGGCATAAAATGAATAAAGAGTGTATACCCATAGCCAAACCAAAGGTGGGAGACAAACTTTGTCTGACAACACAAAGATTTGGTGCTGTGTTTTCTGTCCTCTGCAAACAATAATCTATTCACATACTTGAGTAAAAAGTTGTGATCATGATTATCTTGTAAAAGCAGCTATATTCCTTCGTTTAATTAAATTTAAGATGATAGCCATCACACAATGCCTCCACAAAATAAATAAGCCTAGTTTTCTGATTGACCATTTGGGGACCATTTCTGTTCTTTCAAAAACAGAATAATATCTCTGCATTAATCAGTGAATCTACCACACAACTACTGACTCATTTCACTTCTTTTCCAACATGGAAAGGGTAGTAAAAAACAACAAAAGTAGCTACCAGTCTTTGACACACTCATCACCAAAACAAAGAATAAACAAAATCTTGTTGTTCTGGTCAGTGGTTGCTTTCACCTTCGTTTAAATATTATTGTTTCAACAAGTAGTTAACTTAACACGTTTAAGATCTTGAGAAAGCAGCATTGCTTGAGGAGATAGGACCCAAAAAAATAAACACTAGCATATTGTGAGCGTGCGTGTGCACAATTGGATCGCGTCTTAATGCAGTGTAAAGTGAGAATCATGTTTATGGTCCATGTACTGGGAAGAAAGGCATCGCTAAATATTTAGGTGGGGATATTCATATTAGACTTTGAGAGGAGCTGTCCTTACCTTACAACTTTCCTAGGCCATGGCATGAATCAAGAGAGGTCCCAGCACAATTAAAATATGGCAGCTCTATGGTTCCAAGTAAATGCGCGATTTTCCAGCTTCACGCGTCGTCGTATGGACCTGTTCTTAGCCATGCCTGCTTAAACATAACAAGGAAGACTCATCAGTCCCTCTCACCCAATCTGATATTCAGATACGCGATGTTTGCTTCTAGACACAACATTTTCAACCAAGCAATAATCATAATAATAATCATATCTTAGCTAGTGGGGAGTCAAAATTAAGACGTGGGGATAACTAATAGTGGATTCACAACTATGCAGAAGAATAATATAAAAAATTTAATTCCCTATGCAGCAGTCACTTCCATAAATGGCAAGATCATATCCTCAACATGGTAAATAAGGAAGGATTAAAGAAAAAAAAACCTGTCTGTTGAAAAAGGGGTGAAAATGTGGTGGCAACTGTTCGAAAAAGTAAGAAGATCTATGAGAATCTTTTCTTTCCTGTGACCCATTTTTATTTCCCTGCAACTTGGCATATGTGATTATTTCTCTTGCAAATTTAAAACCCCAAAAAAGAACTAAAAGGGAAATTGCTCAAAAGTATCCTTACAAGTAGGCAGTCTTCATAAGGATTCTTAGCACTGACGACAGGTTGACTTAGCCACCAAAACCTCTCCTTTAAATCCCCCCATAATCTCCCCTTCATCTCTCACATCTCATTTTGCCTTCATATACTTAGAGAACAATTACAATTAGAATACATCCTCTCTGTTTCTCCTTTCAGCAAATACAACCCAAGAAGCATCATGAGGCACCCAACAAATACTCCTTTTTCAAGCACAAGCTTCATAGTTGTGTTGGTTTTCGGCATGGCCATCGATGTTTGCCTCTGTTTTCCTGGCATTCCATCTTCTCTCATGGCACTGCCTGTTCTGGGATATTTTAGTTTCGATGGAAATGAATTTGCCGCAAAAGACTTTGGAAACCAGTTCCATTACCTCCCTTCTGCAGTTCTGCACCCAAAGAAGGTATCTGATATAGCTGAAACTATCAAGCATGTTTGGCAAATGGGCCCTGCTTCAACTCTGACGGTTGCTGCCAGAGGCCATGGCCACTCGCTCCAAGGACAAGCCCAAGCACCACAAGGAATTGTGATTAACATGGAATCACTCAGTGGGCAAGAAATGCAGGTCCACAATGGGAAATTACCTTATGTTGATGTCTCTGCTGGAGAGCTGTGGATCAACATCTTGCAAGAGTGCTTGAAATATGGTTTAGCACCGAAATCTTGGACGGATTACTTGCATCTAACAGTTGGAGGTACTTTATCCAATGCAGGAATTAGCGGGCAGGCTTTTCGACATGGCCCTCAAATCAGTAATGTCCACCAGCTCGAGGTTGTCACAGGTTTGTACAACATGAGATCAAGGTCGAGGAGGACCAATCACAATTATTTTCTGTTTTTCCGATTGATACTGTCAGAAACTAAGCCATGAATGTCATGATAATCAAAGACAACAAGCAGAACCATTGCTTGATAAATTAAAGTATATAATGGTTCAGTCAACGCTAATACATAAACCAAACTTGATGCAGGAAAAGGAGAGGTAGTGATTTGTTCAGAGGAGAAGAATGCTGACCTTTTCCATGGCGTCCTAGGTGGACTTGGCCAGTTTGGAATAATAACTCGAGCAAGAATCTCTCTAGAGCCAGCACCAAAGATGGTAAAGAATCTATATGTCACAAAAGTCAGTAATAAATACTTCTGAGCTGCATAAACAGATAGCTTGTGATTGAACTGTCAACAGGTAAAATGGATCAGAGTGCTGTATTCAGATTTCTCCATATTTGCAAGAGACCAAGAACATTTAATATCTGCACAGAACACCTTCGATTATATTGAAGGCCTTGTGATTGTGAACAAGACGGGGCTTGTCAACAACTGGAGATCATCTTTCAACCCAGAAGACCCTGAACAAGCAAGTCATTTCATATCAGATGGAAAGACACTATTTTGTCTGGAATTAACAAAGAATTTTAATCCTGATGAGGCTGCTAATGTGGATAAGGTGAGAAACATAAAGAAACAAATCATTCAGCATTTTTACCATAAAAGAGTGTACTGATATCCATTTTGATTTTTATCTATGCAGGAAATCAAAACCTTATTATCTCAATTAAACTACATACCCTCAACACTGTTTATTACAGAAGTCACATATTTAGAATTCTTGGACAGGGTCCATGCAGCAGAACTAAAACTAAGGACTAAAGGACTATGGGAACTTCCACACCCATGGCTTAATCTACTTGTACCCAAAAGCAATATACTCAGCTTTACTGAAGGTGTTTTTGGCAGCATTCTAACAGACACAAATAATGGTCCAGTCCTTGTCTATCCAGTGAACAAATCAAAGTAACAATCTCACTAAGAGAACTACTTAATTCAATGAATACTATAGCTGTCTTAGCTTAGTCCACTAATTTTCCCAATGTTTTTCAGGTGGGACAACAGAACTTCATTCGTAACACCAGATGAAGACATCTTCTACCTGGTGGCATTCCTTCCACATGCAGTCCCCTCGTCCGCAGAAAATAATGGCTTACAATATTTGATTAGTCTAAACAATAGAATTCTAAATTTTTGTGAGGAGGCCCACTTAGGAGTTAAGCAATATCTTCCTCACTATACCACACAAGACGAATGGAAGAGCCATTTTGGTCCACGGTGGGAAGTCTTTGTACAGAGGAAATCAGCTTATGACCCTCTAGCAATACTTGCACCAGGGCAGAGGATTTTCCAAAAGGCCATATCAATTTTGTGACAAGCATATAGATAAAATGACTATAGTGCTCAACTTTAAGGCAGAGAGCAAATCTCAGCACCAGAAGTGCAGATGAGGTGCGAAAAAATTAGGAAAACATTGGGTTGAAATTACTGTATATTGATATAGACTATTAAAAGTTCCAACAATTTTTTGCACCTCCCCTCCATAACTGTAAGTAGGAAGAGGAGAGTCAACTGTTGGCTAAATTCTATTAAGAACAGTTAATCGCATGAAAAGCACAAGTTTCTTCAACAAATTAATTCTTCAGAACCAGAAACTTTGAGTAGCTCAAGAGATCGTAAAGAATTAGAGCAGTACATTAATGCAAACCCGCAAAAAGTTAAAATAATTATGATCATCAACAAGCCCCAGGAAGACAGAAGCATATGAAATTAGCCTTATCCTGAGCCCGACGTGTAATGTATAATGAGTATTTACAAGCACCTGGAATGCAGTTACAGTAATTTCTGTAATTGCAAGAAAGCATATGAATGCCAATAAGAATATTTTAGAAAATGAATCTAACTTATAATTATTTCAGAGAAGTTTTCATGAAAACAAAAATCAATAGTGTGCATGCGTTAATGTTTCTGCTTCATCAAAATGAATCTAACTTATAATTATTTCAGAGAAGTTTTCATGAAAACAAAAATCAATAGTGTGCATACGTTAATGTTTCTGCTTCATCAAAATGAATCTAACTTATAATTATTTCAGAGAAATTTTCATGAAAACAAAAATCAATAATGTGCATACGTTAATGTTTCTGCTTCATCATGCCAATTAAAATACCACAAATAACAACCTGATTTAGGAACTTCTACTACATAAATAATTGAAAGTAGCAACCTACAATGGCATAGGTGAAGAAGTTATTTTCTGAAACATAAGACAAATTAGTATTTTAGAAAACAAAAAAATAAATAAATAAAAGCACTATGGAATGGGCAATTGGGCACGTATAAGTGCTTGCTTTATTATGCAAATACTTTATAATGAATCATTCGAGGGATTCACAGAAACCTAGCAATCATTTTATGAGGATGGTACTCATAACAAGAAGCTCCACAATTCTCCTTGATCTACTCAACAAAATAGATGTAATATAAGTGCTTCTGATCATAACCATGGTCTTAAGCAACAATTTAACACCAAGAATATTTCAGTGAGATCTTTTGGGCGAAATTGTTTTGCTTGTAGAGTAGCTTCAGCCTTAGCTACATTCTTTCGAATGAATAGATCAATCAACTCTATTGTGTAACAAACAACAACTAAAACCACGAGAAAATATGAGCACCTACAGCAGTGATTCATGGAGGATACGGCATCAATCACTCAAACAGTATATGAATAAAATGTTGACATCATACAGAAGGAATGTGCTGTGTACTATTGCATGGTATTAAATAATGTGAAAATGCTCCACGAAGACAAGAAACCAACATCTATTGTTACCTTTGATGTAAGATGCTGTCTGCTGAACAGTGCCTTTATCATTGTTCCTTTCATGGTGACAATATCAATCAAATGTTGGTGAAATGGGCACCATGGATAAAGTTGAGAAACTCTGAAAATACAAATTTCAACATCTTTTATCATTCCGTAACTGAAACTACAAAAAATAGAGGTCAACGGTAAATTGTATAGCAGCTATCTGCCCTCCAGGTATTGCTTTCTGATTCACTCCCATGGTGATAAAAGTACAATAGGGAAATAGTTTCTGCTTGATCAGAAGGCTAGACCTTTCCATCATAAATCAGATTGACCACAAGGTCATGTATTGCAGTAAGAAAGACTAACAATAAACCTAAAATAAGCACTTCCTCAAATCAAGGTCCCAAACTCCATGAGCTGCTTCACTTAGAAACTTTGGATACAAATTCAAGATCTTTTATTCATTCCAAAACTGAAAAGGGTGCAAAAGAAAGGTCAACAGTAAATAATTTAGTGATTGCCTCCCCTCAGGGTATTGCATTCTGATTCACTTACATTCAACAAACACAATAAGAGAAAAGATTCTGCAAAATCAGAAGGCCTAACTGTGCCATATCAGATTGAAAATAACATAGTAACGTGCAGTACAGCAAGATTAATGGTGTAAAAAATCCACAAAATAAATCACTTAAGCTCAGCACCTCAGAATCAAAGGCCCAAACTCCATGAGCTGTTCCACTTTAAGAGGTCTGCTTTTCAACCAACTCCTAGCGCTCAGAGTGGCTATATGCATAATCTCCTACATGAAAGTTTAATCACTCCGAGTGGTTCTCACTTCATTAAGAAATCAGTGTAAGGTGACTTTAGTGACTGTGATGCAATTTATTCCTGTAGCACCTGGATTCCCCTGACCTTCACTCTGGCAGATATAGTGGTTGTAGTGTGGATGACCTAGCCGTTCACATCAAGATCCATGCTCAAACTTTAAAGTCTGTAAGTATTTCACAGAAGGAAATCACAAGAATATAGACACCTAAGACAATTACATTGTTTCTTCTACAGCAAAGAAACTTTATCCATTCATATTACACCTTTAATGTTCAGAAAGGCCAAGTGCTTATGAGGGACATTGATAACTTACAGCTAATCCTGTGTAGCCACGCAAGTGGAACCTCTGTAATTTAAGTCTTACTTAAGGTAGTCTCCAATCATGACAAATCCATAAGAACATAAAGTTTGTTTGCTTCGGATTTTTTTTCCCAAATGTATTATTCTTCAATCGCCAAATTTTGCTCTAAAAACATGACATCCAACACACATTTTCTACTCAACAATCAAAATATAACATCCAACCGCTATTTCACCTATAAAATATCAAAACCCAAATTTACAAAAACACAAAAAACCTCAAGTAAGCAAATCTAACATCCAACTACTATGTCATCTTACAAAGATCAAAACCCAAAAATAAAAAATAAAAAAACACAAAAAACCTCAAGTAAGCAAACCCAAACATCACAACATCTATGCCATAGGTGCTATTTCTGAATAGAAAGAAAAGGATCGAATATGCCATCAATAAGAAATACCAACAATTTTCTGAGACCAGCAATGAACTTGAAAATACTTCCAAGTTGCAACCAAGATTTGCAACTAATTCTTAGCCAAGGACATGACTTCTAATAGCAGGATCTAATATATTAGACAACCAGATAATATTTATGAAAACCACATACTCCCATCCAATGGGTATGTGGAAGTGTTAGCAAGCTGAACAAAAGAGAACCAATTTACACAGCATGATAGGGTTCAAAAGAACAACCATTTGATGAAAAATTCAAACGGAAAAACAGAAAGAAGGAAAAATATATATCTGTATATATATAGAAAGAAAGGAAGAAAGAAAGCACTGAAAGGGTATAAAACGCATGCAATATCAAAATAATTTATGTACAACATATGGGAAAAGGCAAACAAGCATTAACACAGAGCGGACTATAGTAAAAGAGAAGACCTATCGTGTTCAAGTACTAAGTCTTGTTTCATTCATTACACATAGTTAGTCAGTTACTTGCTTTTGCATTCACCCAATGCATTAAGACTTAGAAATCCATATTAGAACTGTGATACTGGAACTGAAATCAATGAGTTTGGCCCTTTGGACAAATAGTCAAATACTAACTATCACATGATGCAATGATATTTATTTATTAAGTGTTATTAAGCATAAGCATATTATATTCTACTTAACAGTGTCCTCGCTCCAAAAAGATTACCATCTAGTTCCTTGTTTCTTATCCCAAGACTCCCTGACACTCTATGACTGGTTTTCTAGTTTCCATGCAGATCTAGAGCTACATTACCCTCCAACACGAAATTTATTAGCATGAAAAGCTAAGTCAAGCTCCCTGTTCAGAATGGTACAAGTCCAAGGAACTCAATAATCCCTATGGAATTCCCCAAGCAACTTCACCTTGCTTGAGTGATCAACCACCACTGTGACTACTATAACCAGATTTCCCCAATATTCTAACTCAATAAACAGGACATAGAGCTAGTTGCCAAAAAAATGGTGCAATCAACATTTACAATTTTTGAACAGAAAGGCAGAAATTAGAAAGGAAAAAAAGAAAAGATTTTGTAAAGGGATAAGATTTCGACAGGTAACTCGATTTATGGAACATCATAAATGCAAGTGAATACACCATCAAGAGGAAGGATAGTCCTGCAAGCTTAGAGCTTTAAAGGAAACAGGGCAGTTGATTTCTTAACACGAACTGCACAGTAGTCATTTTAACTGTCCGTGGCATTGATTGAAGTGATCACTTCATCTTATAAAGTGATCTATCGTTTGTCCAAAAATTATCAGCCTGTATTTTAGGAAAATATATACTAATTATCATAATAATTACTGTTTTTGTGCTCCTAGAAGCTCAATAATTCAATTTGGTATTATCACAATGTGTTGAATTAGAAGAAGTATATTACAGCTAATATTATTATCATCACCATAACTTTTGCAAAAAAAGAAAATGTTTGCGATCTTCTACTATTTCAGCCATGAAATTGAAGTACAAGTTATTCGAGCAATCAGCTCTGGATTTCAGAAGTCTTCAAATCTATTATAGTTAGTTCAGAATAAAGAAACTCTAAACTTCAGAAACACCACGTGTTGCCGTTTCCCCCTCAGAGCAATATATTTCTTCTCTACACCTAAAAAATTATGTTAGGATTGCTTCAAATTGCAACAAGGGTAACTACAACATCTGAAATTTAAGATATAAATTACACATGCAAAATTAATATGTTCTATCACATACCCCCAGCATCTGCATGCTTATCTAATAGCAAAATGGATAGTTAATAACCTTCTAGTTCCTGCAAATAAACAAATGTAACAAAGATCAATCCGGTAGTCTTTTGAGTACATTGATATTATTGACCTTAAATAATCATTTGAACGGCCTCAACACATTATTTCTTTGCCACCACCTGAATTTACTCCTACAACAGAATGTCAAGGAATCATGACTTATCTTAAAACTTGATGCCTTTTCCTTCATCTGTTAGTGCAACCAAACAACTAATTTGTACAATTCAAATCTTGTTTGCTAATAATTTAACAAGATAAAGTTGAATAAAACTAAATAACTAAACAAGAATCAAGCTAAGATTCCCAAAGTCTAATTCCAATTCCATAATGAAAATCACGACGGCATACAAAGGTAGAGCAATCGCCACATCAAACACATGAAAGATAAAGAAAATTGCCTAGGTGATCATATCTAGCAAGATTTGCAGCTTAAGAAAGGAAAGCCCCCATTAATGAATTCAGAAAGATCATGTCCGCCTTACAACACTACAACGATAGGTTTTCTTGTACACACTACTCCAGAGTCTCTGATAACCCAGTCGAATCAAAGGTACACAGTATCTCTCGACCTTTTCAAGCAACCCAAGAAAACTTGAATTAAGCATTGTTACCCACGTTGGAACCACCACCAATCCGAATCCCACGATGCACTTGATGTCGCCTTGTCCTGGAAGGCAAAATATTTCCCAGATCAATCTCAGCAAGCAGATCGTCCTCCATCTCACCCTCATCTTCATCTGACTGGCCGTTGTCCGAACTATCAGTTGAGTCGCCGTCCGTGTCGTCGTCCGAGTCGTCGGAATCATCGCACTCAAAGCCTGCAACCATCTTTCCCTTACCTTTATCGTAGGCCGTTATCACCTTTGCTGCTCTATCGAGGATTTCTGGATCCTCATGCCCATCCTCGTCTTGTTCCACATTATAGTCTTCATCGTCTTCCTCCTCCACGTCGGCATTGACTATCTGGAGCTCCTCCGGCTCCGGCGGATTTTCATGACTGACGTGCGGACCGGCGCCGTTTTCCTCTGTGGGGATTTCAACTTTCTGCTTCTTTTTGAGGTCGGCTCCTTCCTTGCCTTCCTCCGGCGTAGCAGTGGTGATGATCGGGAGATCGAGCTTCCGCTTCTCGGGGAGTTGATGGCCTTCATCGACAGTTTTCACGTCCGCCATTGATGCGCAGGTTCGGAGTTAGGGTTTTTGGTTCCCCTTTCTTTGGTGGGTGCGTTTATATAAGCACTGTATTTTCCTTTTAATACTTCTTCCAAATTTATTTCCTTTTTAATTCCTCCCTTAATTTTATTATATTATTAATTTTATGATAGTTAACAAATTAATAAAATATTAACTTTCACTAATATATTTTTTTTTTATTTATTTTAATTTTTAATTAACTATTTTTATATTATATTTTTTTAATAAAATATTTATTTTTTAAAATTTTTAAGTTCAAATTAAACTAATTTTAATGTACTGAAGAGAAAGTACTATAGTATTTAATTACTACTCCTATTATTTCTACCAAATTTATTTTTATTATTACTATATTTGAAAATGATAAAAAAAAATAAAAATTAATATTATTACATTCTTATTTGTTTTTATTATTTTATTACATTCTACTCATCAACTCCAAATTGACAAATTTTTGTAAACGGAAAAAATATATATATAAAATATACATATATCTATTTTATAAATATATATATATTTAAAAAAAACATTTAAAAAAAAATACATTCACAAACAAAAACAAGGAAAATTATTCCTTTTAAAATTTTTAATAAAAATATATTATTTTTAAAATTTATATTCTTTTGTTTCCAAAATTTGCTTTTGTGTATATAACAAATTTTTTGTTTAATATTTTGATTTAAAAAATTTTTTTATATAAAATATAAAAATATTGTCGTTAATATAAAAATAATAATTTATTTTAAATATTAATTTTACGAAAAAATAAAATATATATAGTAAAAATAATGTTGAAAAAAAATTAGGGAAACACATATAATGTTTTTAATATTATGATTATATTTACCATTAATATAAATTAAGATAGAAAGACAAAAATATTTTTATTTTATCATATTTCTCTATATACTACATAAAAAGTAATTTATGTTATATAATTTGCCATTTTAAGTATTTACGGAATTATAATAATTTTATGGTTTGAATTCAAAATATTTCAAGAATTTTATTTATTACATTTAATTAAATAATATTATCGTTGTTGACGTATATTTTCAACAATAAAAAAGTTAAATTCAAAAATAGGAAACTATCTTTGAATTTGATATTTTTAGCGCCTGAGATCTAAACACCGTACGGTACAGAAAATAAACTAGAAAATAAAAATACAGACTGGAAAATAAAGTAGTGATCCCCAAAAAGCAATTCTCTTGAATTTGATGTCAGATTGAAGATGCCTTCTCCAGAAAAATCCAAATCCTTAAATATTTTTTTGAAGAAAACGCTTGGAATCGTCGTCTGGTGGGTTACAGCAACCGCCCACTAATTCCTCCTTCAATGACACGTGTCTTCAACCGTCTGGCAAACCGCATACCCAGCCAACCAATCCAGAGACCAACTGATCGCCAGACCAAACGACTCCTTAGCCGTCCCATCAAGCGACCACCATCTGGTCTCTTGTCCGACCTCGTATCGTCCGTCTCATTCTTCTTCGTTCGACCTCACTTGAGCCAACCTCCGCATCAGCCGCCCTCCGTCTTCGCCCGACTTTAATTGGTCCGACCACAGACCAACCGACTACAGACCATCCGACCGCAAACCAACCGACGGCCGTATTAGCCGACCTCCGTATCAGCCAACCGCTTTAGCAGCCGACTTCCCTATCAGCCGACCTCTGTAGCGGCCGACCTCCTTAGCAGCCGACCTTCAGACCGCCCGACCTCCGGACCAACAGACCTCCGCAGCAGCCGACCTCCGGACCAGCCAACATTTGTGCATATTTTCTCCTTTTCCCGCCCGACTTCGTGTCCTAATTTCCTTTAGGACCCTACTACCTTTATTTATTATTATTATTTTATTATTATTATTATTTTTTACGTAACAACATACCTCTCCTTCAAGACTCCTAAGCGTCACTCTTTGTGATGTTTAGGAGGTAGCAGGCCGTCATCCGAGGCCACGTCAGCCTCGGATTCGGCCTTCATCTTTCGAGGCTACGTTGGACCCGACCTCCATTTATCGTAGACTGGCGGTGGCCTGCTCGTTGTTCGACCTTGCACTACCATTTCGTCAACACCTCTCCTCTGACAGAAGCCGTGATCATTTTCTTTAAAAAATTATTCTAATCTCCCTGCCTTGGATGCTAAACTGGCCAGATCTTGAAAGTCGTGAGCCGTTAAAGCCTCCCGTAATGGTGCATGTATATTCCTAACCACCAAATTGGTCATTTCTTTTTCATTGATTATAGTAGGACAACGTCCTTTCATCAATCGCACCCTTTCGATAAATTGTGAGGCTGACTCTTCTAGATATTGTTTCAATTCCAACAAATCGGTAAGAGAAACAATTGGCAAAGGATTGAAGAATCTAGCATGGAATGTCATCTCTAAACCTTCCCAGGTTTGTATTTGCCCAGGTGGCAAAGTTACAAACCATGAAAAAGTTGTTCCGGTAAGAGACAAACCAAATAGTTGCAATTTATAAAAAGGGTTATTACCGACCTCTCTTAACTGTGTTGTGAACCGATCAACATGCTCTATGGTGGAGGATCCGTCTTCTCCTGAGAAAACATGAAAGTCTGGCGGTCGATAATTCCTCGGGAGAGGATACTCATTGATGATTCTCTCCGGAAATGGCCTTTGATACACCGGTCGGTTCACCGTTTGCGGGTTCATTCCGAAATGCACCCGCAAAACTTGAGCGATATCCTCCGGATCTATCCTAGGTGGAACAGAATCTTCCCTAGAGAAGGCTGGCTCGGCTGACATGGGATTATGAATCTGATCTCCCAATCTTTCTTCTCTGGGGATGGTTGGCTTGTCTTGGATCGAATTATGAGTCTGTCTCCCCAATCTCTCATTCGGCTGGGTATTATCAACCCTCGGTCCCAAAGTAACATTATTTGGGAAAGTTGGAGGAGTCTTCCCCATATCTGTTCAGTTGAAAGTTGTGACGTTTGGAAACGCATTGTCAACGTACGTTGGCCCTGCAAACGTTGATCTTGGAAAAGTCGTCTGAAAACGAGAATGTGACACGGCTGGAGGCATGTTTGGATACAGGGTGAATCTGGAGAACATTTGATCCAACATGTTATGCAGTAGATTTTGTTGTTCACACAACATGTTCTGCATAACCAAAGTTTGTTGATTGTTCAATTGTTGAACATAAGACAACCAATCGGTAGGTGGTTGAGGAATCTTCTCTGGATTTGGCATGAGGGGTGGTGAAATATTTTCTCCCACTGGTGCTGATGATGATTGAGGTTGTGAGTCTGTCATATTGATCTTTCTAATGATTCGGCCAGACCTCAGTCGTATGAAATTTTCTGTTGAATTAGGATCAGCAATCTTGTCTTTCTCCCACTGTGGTCGCCAATTTGTTGATGTATTTTTTCAACAATAAAAAAGTTAAATTCGAAAATAGGAAATTATCTTCGAATTTGATATTTTTAGCGTCTGATATTAGAAATCTCTAAACACTGTACGGTACAGAAAATAAACTGGAAAATAAAAATACATACTGGAAAATAAAGTGGTGATCCTCAAAAGCAATTCTTTTGAATTTGATGTCAGATTGAAGATGCCTTCTCCAGAAAAATCCAAATCCTTAAATATTCCTTGAAGAAAACGCTTAGAATCGTCGTCTGGTTAGTTACAACAACCGTCCACTAATCCCTCATTTAATGACACGTGTCTTCAACCGTCTGGCCAACCGCATACCCAGCCGACCAATCCAGAGACCAACTGATCGCCAAACCAAACGACTCCTTGGCCGCCCCATCAAGCGACCACCATCTGGTCTCATGTCCGACCTCGTATCGTCCGTCTCATTCTTCTTCGTCCGACCTCACTTGGGCCGACCTCCGCATCAGCCCCCCTCCGTCTTCGCCCAACTTTAATTGGTCCGACCACGAACCAACCGACTACAGACCATCCGACCGTAAACCAACCGACGGCCGTATCAGCCGACCTCCGTATCAGCCGACCGCTTTAGCAGCCGACTTCCCTATCAGCTGACCTCTGTAGCTGCCGACCTCCTTAGCAGCCGACCTCCGGACCAACAGACCTTTGCAGCAGCCGACCTCCGGACCAGCCGACCTTTGTGCATATTTTCTCTTTTTCCGTCCGACTTCATGTCCTAACTTCCTTTAGAACCCTGCTACCTTTATTTATTATTATTATTATTATTATTTTGTATGTAACAATTGCATTTACTATATCAAGATTTATACTAACAACCAATAAAAAAACACAATAAATATGCTAATGGTTACTAAGGGTATGTTTGTTTGACGTATGAATTTTGAGTTTGAATTTGAATAGTAAAATTTTAAATTTGAATAATTGTATGATGTGATATAAATAGGTGTTGATGTGATATTTTGAATGTAAAATTGATTTTTAGTATAATATAAAAAATGAAAAATATGTGTTTAATTTGATATTTTGGGGGGAAAAAAATAAAATGGACAATGTATTTAAAATCCAATCCCCAAACAAACACCCTAAAAAAAAGTTGTGGGGTTTTTGGCAAGTAAATTAGTTGACTTTTTCCGTTTATTCTAGTTTTTACTTAATTTTTTATTATTTAGATTTCATATTTTTTAAAAAATAATAAAAAAAAAATCTAACAAATATCATAAAATATTAGAAAATACTTTCAATTCAAATATATTTTTTATATAAAATAAATAAATATTTTACAAAATAAAAGTAAGAATATGTTTAAATTGAATTTTAAGTTTTCTTTCTTTTTTAACTAATTTTGGACAAACTTAAACACAAATGCATACGAAGTTTGTTCATTCTGAATTTTTCAAAGACACAATTACTAATAAATATTAGTAAAAAAGTATACGTTCTTCCGTTTAAAAAAGTATAATCTTATTGTGTTAGGCACGAAATTTAAGAAATATTGATATTATATTGGTAGTTAGTAAAAAATAAGGATATACGACTTTTTGTGTATATGAATATATTAGTGTAAAAAGTAGTGGTAATTGTGTAATAAAAATGAAAAAGTAAAAGTAGTTTTATGGTAATATTATTATTTATGAAAATAAAACTATTATTTTAAAACAAACAAAAATAATAAATATGAACTATTATTTTAAAATAAACAAAAATATATATTTGTTTTTGTGGGCTGAGATAATTCTTTATATACATTTTAATTTATATAAATATTTATTTAGAAATATACAAAAATTATTTAATGTCATTAAATCATTTATATATTTTTCAAAATCTCCTATTAACCAATCAATATGTACCCTCTGTTTTATAATAATAGTAATTTTTAATATTAGTAATATTTCCGTCTAACTTAATCTGTGAATTCTTTTTATTTCGATATGTTTCACATAATTTGTTCTTTTATTTTTTATTTATAATTATACACTTTAATTACATTTTAAAATTTATAATTTATAATATTTTTATTTTAATTAAATTATTTAATCATCTTAATTTTAATCTATAATTATTTATATTAAATCATATTTATTTATACTAATACACTTTCTAATTACTTAATACTAAAAACTACGTATTTAACCTAAAGTGGACAATTGTCAAACCCTTGTAGATCAAGCGGTGAGACGTCCCTTGCCTTGCTTTAAATGTCTCATTTATTTTTTAATGTTAAATAGTAAATGTGATCAATAAGGACAGATGTAATACTTATAAAATATTGAAACGGTATCCTTGTGATATTGACAAAAATAGAAAATATCACAATTCTTATAAGATGAGAAAATAATATTATATTCATTAAAATTCGTATCCGTCGTAACTCAAATGAAACATAAATTTTTTAAATGAATGTAGTATTTCATCCGTCTCTTTGAAAAGTTGTCATTTTCCATTTTCGTTCGTTTCAAAACAAAGTTGCTATTTCCTAATTTAGTAATTGTACTACATACGTAATATAATAAATACTATTACAATTTACGCTATATTACATAAATGTCGTTACTTTTATATTACACCATACTAATAAGGGTATTTTCGTCTTTTTCACTACAACATATTGTAATACTAATATTTAAAAATCTAAGTGTAAAAAATAAACAACAACCTTGCACCGGACGGAGGGAGTATTATATTCTACTAGAGTAAAAATTATATTCCCCCTATTTCAACTTGAATTACATTTTTTTATATTTTCGTTTTTCTCCTTCAAAATATTTATTTTCTATTATAATAAAAATAATAGTACACTAGTATTAAAATATATATTTTAAATTTTTATATAAATTATAAATATATCATTATACATTTAAATATTTTATATATAAAATAAAAATAAATTATCTTTCACTTTCACACAATAATAAAATATTATTATTATTTATTAACTTATTACAAAACCGCAAAACATCTTTTTAAATTGAGATTGAAAGAATACTTTTTTTTAATAAATTTTTTTTTTTTAAATTAATATATTACACATCATTATTTGTTATCTTCTATATTATCTACATAATTCTTTATGCCTAATAATTAAAAAAAAAATTCAAATCAAAACACAAAAACAAACAAACCCTACTTTACAAAAAATAAAAATAAAAATAAAAACAGCCAAACAGACCTTTCCTAACGGTTTTGCAAAAGGGATTACTCCTCATTTCTTCCAACGTGGTGTCTGAAGGTGGGGCCCCTTTCACAGCTGTGCCAAAATTCTCATCGTCCTTTTGCGGATGCATCGAAGCCCGTCGCTTTGGGAAGCTCGACGGTGATCGATCGAAGCAAACTCAGTTCAGCGATGCGACGACGGAATGCCGTGTAGGAAATGGGTCTCTGCCGCCGAATTGCCTTCTAGAATCTGCTTCGGAAGTCGGTTTCTCCAAGTCAATGCGGCGATGTCTGCATTAGCTGTTTTCTTATCGCCGCGAGCTTCGAAAAGCGTGTGCTTTTAATACAGTCGTTTTCAATTTTCTGTACTATATAAACCGCTGCGAAGTGCAAAAGGCCGTCGAGCATACAATCGGAGCTGAATTTCAGGTAATTTGTATTTTGTTGCATCGGATCGTTTGGAAATTCGCTCCGTGAGATACGTTCTTGTAGAGAGCTGTTTTTTTTGCGGTTGGATTAATCGATTGTTGTATTTGAAGTGTGTGTTGATTGAAAGGAAATGGGAGGAGCTACTGAGGCGGTTAACGATGGTAGTAATGTTCATATTGATGGGAGAGTTCAAAGTACAAATGGTTCTTTGGAAGAGAAGCTGGATGAGCTTCGAAAATTGTTTGGGAAATCTGATGGCGATCCATTGAGGATTGTTGGTGTCGGGGCAGGGGCATGGGGTAGTGTTTTTGCTGCAATGTTGCAAGATGCGTATGGTGCTTTCCGTGAGAAGGTTCAAATTAGGATTTGGAGGAGAGCAGGGAGGTCTGTGGATAGAGCTACGGCGGAGCATTTATTCGAGGTGATCAATTCGAGGGAGGACGTGCTTAGGAGATTGATCCGCAGGTGTGCATATTTGAAGTATGTGGAGGGAAGATTAGGGGATAGGGTTTTGTTAGCTGATGAAATTTTGAAGGATGGGTTTTGTCTGAATATGATCGACACTCCCCTTTGTCCGTTAAAGGTTGTGACTAATTTGCAGGAAGCTGTTTGGGATGCTGATATTGTTATCAATGGGTTGCCATCGACAGAAACTCGGGTTGTGTTTGAGGAAATTAGTAGGTATTGGAAGGAAAGGATTACAGAGCCTGTCATCATATCTTTAGCTAAAGGAATCGAGGCTGAGTTAGAGCCTGAGCCCCGGATAGTTACTCCAACTCAGATGATCAATCGAGCAAGTAAGATTGTTTGGATGAATGGTGATGTATATATGTTTTTGTAGATGATTCACAGAGTCCATCTCTTGGTGCACTTCTAAAACAGCATGTTTGTTTTATGGATTGCTGTGTAGTTTTTCAGATATTGTTAAGATCGGCTTGCTTGATTCTGTGATATCTAGATTTCCCTAACCTATGATGATTGAGGATCAAGCATTTGAATGTTTCTATATGGGATCATCACATTTAAATTGAAAAAGATAGCACACTCCAAGAGCAAAGTATAATAGATTATAGAACGGGAGCATAGGTAAGATGAAAGAATCAAAGTGGATGAACCAGGTCGTGCTTTTCTGTACTTTTCTATGTAACTCCACGACTATATTTTTCTATTTCAAGACTCTGCTATTCCCAATTATTATCACAGCTGGTTTTGGAAAAAAATTATTTTACATTTTTGTTTCACGTTCATCTAGATCACATGAGAAACAAGCTTGATTCCTTAGTTATGCTTATAGTTCGCCTTTGCAGTTTGACATATCCAAGGAAATTCTTATTCCTTGGATATGCAAAATTGTTGGGTAAATTTCCTTGAATTGTGTATGAGTTTGTGTTTGCTTTAAGTGAAACTTTCTTTCATTTCTCATGTATGCCTACACATTTTCAGCTGGGATTTCCATGGAAAATGTTCTCTATCTTGGGGGGCCTAACATTGCATCGGAAATTTACAACAGAGAATATGCTAATGCTCGTATTTGTGGAGCGGATAAATGGAGAAAGCCATTGGCGAGGTTTCTGAGACAGCCGCATTTTATTGTTTGGGATAATGGTGACCTTGTGACTCATGAAGTTATGGGCGGTTTGAAAAATGTATACGCAATTGGAGCTGGTAAGATAAACAGACTGCTAAGCTCGTGTTTTTTAGTTAATTACTCACTTGGACAGTTAAAAATTGCTTAGATTGTGAAAATCTTCTGAATGTGGACACCATTTCATGATTTTTCCTTAAGATTGACCAACATGAAACTACTTATTAATTCACTTTAGATAAGCACCTCCACAGTTATTTATTTCAGCAGTTTACTGCATTAGGTGAACGGTGGAGCATGTATACTGGGCCATATATATCATAGATTCTGTCTTTTAAGTATAAAAACTCATCAAATTTTGTGATCTCTACCAAATCTTACTGACTGAGTTTGCATAAGATTTTACTGGACGTTTGAAAAGAACTCATACATAGCATCTGTACACATAGGGAACAGCCAGAATTTAAAATACAAGGATTGGTGATAAACTCAACTCTTAAAATCTGTAAGATTTACTAAAATTCCATCTAAGTTATTTTCATGTCTAGCTGAAGACAAGCAAGCGAGTAGCTTAATTTCTTCTTAAATTGTGAGTCATCCATCTCAAAGCTGTATTTTAGCTGGATTGGTTTGTTAGCCATTGTCTTCCAATATATATGGTGGTGTTTAGATATGTTTTCGAAATTTTCTTTAGTTTGAAAATAGTAAAAAGTTGAATAGACAATAGTGTTTGATGTGGCGTAAATCGATGTTGGAAGTGATGTGTTGAATAGAAAATAGGGTTGTGTTTAGGAAGTGTTTCGTAGTTCCAGAGGGCTGTGTACATATTTAAGAAGTTAGAATAAATAAAAAAAAAAGAAAAAGAAAAAGAATGTATTTAATGTGACGTAAGTAGTGACTGGATGTATGTTTTGTATAAAAGAAATTTTATATAATATTTTAAGTGAAAATTAGATAGTTAATGTTATGGTTGTTTAAAAAGTAGTGTCAATGAATAATGCCAAAATTATTTGAAAAAAAAAATGCAAACAAAGCCTAGGCTTTTAACATACATTTCAAATGAAAAATACTTACATTTTAGATGTGATGTTTTTCAGAGATAGATTTGGTTTTGTGAATAGTGCAAAAATAAGTTCGAAAAACGTAAGCAAACAGTGTGCATGCTTTGCATCTACAGGAATGGTGGCAGCTATAACTAATGAGAGTGCAACAAGCAAGTCTGTGTACTTTGCTCACTGTACATCAGAGATGATTTTTATCACCCATCTTTTGGCCGAGGAACCCGAGAGGCTTGCAGGTCCACTTTTGGCCGACACTTATGTAACCTTGTTGAAAGGGCGAAATGCATGGTATGGTCAGAAGTTGGCTAAAGGAGAAATAAGCCTTGATATGGGTGACAGCATCAAGGGCAAGGGAATGATTCAGGTAATGCTATTCAAGCTTTTCTACCAAAAGACGATTAAATAACAAGAATGACTTATATAATTAATACTCCACCCGTTCTCATTAATACTTCACTCGTTCTTGTTAATCTGATTTAAAGGCCTCAGACTATGTGGAGTTATATGCTAATTTATAATTATTTTTTTCTTTGATGTGGGACTTGAAAACAGATTTGCTTTTGAGCTTTCTCAAAAGGTTTATAAATATGTGGAGGTAGATGTTAACTTATAACTGATGATTTTATTTTATTTTTTTATTTTTTTCGATATTGGGACTTGAGTTTGTTGACAGTTATCAACTTTTGCTGTGTTCTAGGATGGATCTCGTAAAACTGACCGTGAGATTTGATTTGATATTATAACTACAATCCCGACACTTAATCTTTGTGTAGCTAAATAGGCACCACCTTTACAAGATGTAATTCTCTCAAAGATGAATTCACATTACCCAAAACCGGAATCTTGTTTGTCTCTGCTGCTATTTCCTTACAATGCTCAACTATTTCCTTTGGCTTGCTTTATAGTTTTAACAGTGAACTCGCAAGATATGATCGAAATGTTGATCTCATTGCAGGGTGTTTCCGCTGTAAAAGCTTTTTACGAGCTGCTTAGCCAGTCTTGTTTGAACATTCCACATCCAAACGAGAACAAAAACATTGCCCCGGTCGAACTGTGCCCAATCTTGCAGAAGCTGTACAAAATTCTGATAGTCAGGTGAGCTTATAATAAGATCACTGAACTGCAATGCCATTGTTGTACCCAAAATAAATCATCAGACAGCCTAATTCTTGTGTGATCAAATTCTCAGGGAGCTGCCGTCCGAGGGGATTCTTCAGGCCTTACGAGACGAAACAATGTACGATCCCCGCGACCGGATTGAGATTGCACAGAGCTCTGCCATCTACAGGCCATCTCTGCTGATAAAATAGTGCTGATTGATGATGGTGTGGTTTGTGTTCAATTCAGAGTTCTTTGACAGGTGAGCTTTAGGAACACTCATGGTGGATTTTTGTGTGTAAGAATTTTACGTACTTTTAAGTTGCAGAACGTGGAAGTTCTTTATTTTTTTCATTAATTTCTCTTTGCATTAGTTCTAGGTTTGATTTTATGTTTTTTTTGTGTTTGGTTTGTAAAAGGGTTGAAAATGAACTATACGAAATTGTGTAGAAAATATAAAAATAATGAATCAATTAAGTGAATTAATTTTCTTTTTTGAGAAAATATGTAGAAAAAAAATAGAAAAAATAAATAATTACGAATATATATTAAAAATAAAAAATGAATATACATTTTAATTTTTTGTGTATATAAAAAAAAATGTTAGATTTAATACTTTTGGTGAAAAAAAAAATATTAATGAATAATAAAAATGTTTACAAACTCTACCACCAAACAACACACCAGACTGGGTGGGATAATATTAGTATTTATATATATATAATATACATGATTAACTATATAGTAAAAAAATAAATTAAAATTCAATTCTAAATGAACATAGTGAAAATATGTAAAATAGTGCCACTATTAATATAAAAAAAGTATTGAAAGAATTTTTTTTTTTAACAATATAATTATATTATAAATATTTTTTGAATTTATTTTATTTATTTTAAATTATTAGTAATTTTTGGATTAAAGACATAAATTTTAATATATCTCTACTCAAATACAAATTTGAATTAAATTTTTAAGAATTGTAAATACATTTCTGGTTTGTCGGAATAAACCAAGCTTAAGTATTTTTATTTAATGTTTTCAATCTTATCTAAACTTTATTAATTTAGAGTTTTTAAGTGGAGCGATCCTTAGTTAATATTATTTTAAAAATATAATATATATTAATACAATATATAAATATATTTTATTTATTCATAAAATTTATTAATTCAATCTAAAATATTATTTTTTTATTACCACCTTAATTTTTTATATGTAATATAAAAATATATCATAAAAAATATAAACACAGAGGAAACAAACCCTGTATATAAAGAATTATACAAAAATTAATTATTTAATTTAATAAAAAAATAAAAAATAATTATTCAATTGAATGATTATAGTAAGAAATTTGTTCTTCCCGTAAAGCTTTTGACAAATATGTTAGACGAATTTTTTACATTGATTTTCTTTTTTGTTAAAAATAAAAATGTCTTCCGCTAAGAACATCGCCGGTGAGTACTAATAACAAATCGAAACCAGGGAAGGAATCAGTCGGCGGTTTAGGGAGTGAAGTGAAGTTTATTGACTAGGAGTAACGGAATCAAGGGTTTGGCTCCTATGTCGTTGGTAGATTACGCGGCCTCTTCCGACGAGGGCGAGCCAAATATCCCATCTGACGACGACGAAGAAGAAGAAAAGCAACAGAAGGAACAAGTAGAAGAAAGCCCCGGAAAACGACGTCGTTTTGGGGGCAGTTCATCTCCAAATCCTCCCAAGGGCGACGCCAGGTAATTTCCGAGGACTTCTGTTTCTAATTTTTGGGATTTTTTTTGTTCCTTTTATTTTTTCTTTGCTAATTTTGTTAATGTTATTGTATTTGGAAATTAATTGAAAGAATGAATTTGTTGCTTTATATCTATATTCTTGGATTGGCTTTATATTTGTTGCTTCTTGTGAATTTGTTGAGTAATTTCTGAAGTAATTTGGCCAATTTGTGTGTTGTTTTTGGATATAGAAGGAAGGAGCAGTAGTCTAAGTTTTCATTTGGGAGTTTGATTATAGACAGATTGGTAGAAACAAAAAGGAGAGAATTGTAGGTAAAATTGAGTCACAAAGTTGTGTAAATCTGATTTAGGGTTAGGCAAACCAATTGGACTTATCTAAACCTTGTTGAGGTTGCCATTACTTATTAGTGGTTCTAGTTTTGCCTGCTATTCCATACTTTTTTGGTATCATATCCCGAAACTTTCCAAGGGTTAGTAGATTTTGAATGCCCCGTTTTTAGCTAATTTATTGAGCAATGAATGTTGTCAAGCTCTAAGTTTCGTGCTTTCAATTGTTTTAGCACTCAATAGTTGATAGCATTTGAAAGTACTTGAATCCTTTGGTCTGTTGTTGTGGTTAGGGTGGCGGTTATGATGCTTGTAATTCAACACCGTGTTGACAACACAACATGTGATAAACATACAACACATAATATAGTGATAGACAACACACGACTGATACTAACATAATACAAATACAATATATGAACCGACAATATGACATAGTCCATACAACACATACTACTATTGATTTTTTAGTATAAGAAATATGTTCATGCAAAAATGAATTGACATCACATGTTTCAAATAACGCAACATGTGTTTTGTTAAATGAAACATGTAGGTTATTCTTTTGTGAATTTTACCACAGATTTTTATTGTTCAAATTCTTTTATTCTTAAAAAAATATCAAATCAAACAATTACTTTTTTTTTAAAAAAATATTATATTACAAACTTATTCTACATTCAAAATATGACATCAATATTTATTTATATTAAATCAAATAACTATTCGAATTCAATTTTTACTATTAAAAAATCCAAATCCAAACCCAAACCCACAAACAAACACACCCGTAATGTCTACTTATTTTTTATGTGCTTGTTGATTTATTCCAATCAACACCATAACCAACCTGTTTTTGTTACATAGTTGCACTCTTAGCAAATTCAGTGTATTGTTTCACTAAGTAGCTTGTTGTTTGTTGCCAAGTTCTTATCAATGATTGTATTGCATTTTTTGTTTTGTGTATACATATATATGTTGTAGAATGTAGGTGGTCTTTCCTCCAAAGATTTTATGTGAGTTTACCCCCTTGGTGCATTTGAGGTGTAAGATCTGTAAATTGGACCATGAATTTGCTCAAGTTCTAAAAGATGTAAGGAAGCTAATAAATACCACCCATATGGCGATATTTTTCTATACCCGTATGTGGTCAAATGTAAGTGATTTCTTATGCAGTTCTAAATGTGTTAAGAAAACCTGTGTGAAAAAACAAAGAAGGTTGTAGATTGCCTCCTCGTATTTTGTTTAAGTACATAAGTATAACAGTTCAGCCAACACAAAACCTCTTTGTGGGGAGGTAAAATTGCTCTATTTAAAAAAAAAAATTTTATAGGTTTTTTTTTTTTTTGTATGAATATATATATATATATATTTCGACATTTGGCACTAGCTTGTTATTCATCCTCTTTCAATTATGGATTCTTTCATTGTCTTTGAATTTTTGCGATTCCCTCCCCCTTATTTTGAAGTTCAACATTTCCCGGTTGTTCTTCAATGAGGTTTGGTTTCCCATCTCAAACCTTTGGTTCTTTTTGATGAGTTTCTTGGACTTATGGGTATCTAATCATGGTGTAGGATGCCTAAGAATTTACAGCCACAACCAAGTCGACAAGTGGAAGCAGTTTCTGAGCTGAAACTTCCTGATGCTTCATTTCTCCTGAATTCACCCACCGTGTCATCTAATCTACTGATGGCATCAGACCACTCATCACGGGTTGCAGCTGCAATGGCAGAAAATGCCACTCGGAAGAGAGAGTCAAACATTTCACCTGCTACTTACCCTCGCCGTAAAGTTCCTAGAGGGAACTTGCCTCATTCAAAGAATGTTCCGGATACCATTGATGGCCGTCTACTCCCACCTCAGTTGGCTGGAAGGTACATTTACTTTTTCTAAGTCTTTTTTTACGAAACATTTAACAATTTATGGAGATGAGGAACTCCCACCAATCTCCATCTGATCTCTGTTAGTGAAATTTCATTGGGTTGGGGAGGACTGATATGCCTTTGAAGTTGTCGATGCCATAATATAAAATGAAGATCAGTCTCAGATGTCTGCACTTGCTTAGAAGATAATCAATCCTCTAGACAGCTTTCATTTCAGTGCTGCCAGCGATAACTTTTGAGCTGCCATATTCTTATTTTTTTGCTCTTGAGGATTTGTTCTATTCCTTTTCATCTGAGTCAAATACAATATGCTTCTCTACCAAATTATGGCATCCGATCTTTCTCAGGACATCCGTAAACACTCATCTGCAATTTTGTTTTTGCAGAAGCAATATTGTCACGGAGGACATCAGCAAGCTCTTTGTGAGGAGAAGCTCCAAATCATCCGACGAAGGGCCAGTCACTCACTGATAAAATTCTTCGCCTGCCCACTCGTCTGTTCCAAGTTACTCGGCCTGTGGTCATTGATCAGAATTACGATCTAATGTAGCTAAATGTATTCTGTTTCCTGAGGATCTGTTACAAGAAAATGAACAAGCACCACACCAGGCCCTGTTTTTAAACCGTTGCCAAATTCAGCTCTGATTTTTCTCTTGAGATGATGTTTCAACTTTCAATTGCAAATACTCGATATTTATCAGGAAACACGACTTTCAATTCGTGTTTCTGCAAAACGCGGTTTTTGAGGAAATTTCGAAAAGAAAATTAATACATAATAGAAATAAATCACGAAAGCAGGCAGGGGTAAATGGGTAATTTCTCATGACGTCACATATGATCCGACGTAGGGGCGTTGAAATTACGAGTTTGTCCTCGCGGTGGTGTACAATAAATGGTGTTCATTTCTTCCGATTTTGACATGGAAAATAATTTTTCATTCCAACGGGAACAGAGAGAGAGGGCTGATACGATACGAACCTAAGCTTACAAAAAACTAAAGAAAACCCCTAGAGAGAGAGAGAGAGAGAGAGAGAAAATTGAGCGCACTCAACTCTCGATCTGCATCCATTTCTCTCACTTGTTCGTAGATCTCCGCTCGCGGTTTTCCGATTTGTATAGGTGTGGAATCTCCCGGCGTGCATCTTGATTGGGGGATTCGTAAGATTCTGTAATGGCGGGATATATAAAGTGGGTGAACAGATCGGCGTCGACTGCGTTCGCGCCGGACGGTGCGTATATCGCAGCGGGTACCATGGCGGGGGCGGTGGATTTGCAATTCAGCTCCTCCGCAAATATCGATATTTTCGAGCTTGATTTCGTGTCGGACGATCGGCAGCTTTCGCTGGTGGGTTCTGCACCGAGTTCAGAGCGTTTCAATCGGCTTTCGTGGCAGAAAGGGCCGGCGAATTCTGAGGAGTATTCTCTTGGGATCATAGCCGGAGGTCTCGTCGATGGCAACATTGGGCTTTGGAATCCGAAGCCCCTTATATGGTGAATATTTGTTTTTTGGGATTGTTTCATTTTTTTATTATTATTTTTTAATTCCTCTCGTTGTTGTTTTTTTTTATTGCTTTTTTGGATGACTAGTATATGTAATGTTGACTGCAGTTGCAATTAGATGATTAAGTGGTTGGTATCATTTCTAATTTGAACTTAGAACGTGTGGTCTATTAATGTTGTGGGAATTGTAATTGCTCGATTCACTGACATTTAATTCTGTGGATAATTGGGTTTTATTACTTGTTCTTCCTCATGTTTTATATTCCCTCAGTACATAAAATGAAGTAAACTTCAGAATTTCTGTGGCTGATTTTATTTATTCAAGGGGATAAATTTTATTGTGGTTTAGTCACTAAACAGGAAGTAGTTTCGTGCTGTGACGACTTTAATTGCCTTAGTGTGGATAAGCAAAGTTAACATTTTGGTCAGTTTGTTCTTGATTCTTGTATTTATTATTTATTTCAAATTTATGGCTGTTTGGCTCCTTGTAGGCAGTACTTGCTCACCTACAAAAATGGATTATGTTAAATTTTCAGTTGGATATTGAATACGTATATATTCTCTATAATTCCATATGAATCAATTGCATTTCTTTTGGAGGCTTTCTACTGTAGCATGCCTCAATTGATGTCAGAATGTTGGCTTTGTTATGTATGTGTTTATATGCAATTTTGAAACTTGTGTTATGTGTTAAAATTGTATAATTTTCTGATAGTCATTTCTCCATCCTTTTATTTGACTTTGTAAATTAGCTTTCTGTTCTGTTACTTATTTTTAGTTGAGATGTTAAATTTACATTATGATATGTCTCTTACTTTCTACTCCACCAGTAAAAAGGGTTCTGATACAAGTGAGAATCCAGTTGTGGCTACTCTTTCAAGACACAAAGGACCTGTAAGTACTTGCTGTGTTTATTTAGCTATTTTCTCTGATTTTCATTGTGCCTATTCCATTTTGGTTATGTGATTAGGCTATATATGCTATCTTGTTTGTCTCAGGTCCGTGGATTGGAGTTTAATTCTCTCACCCCAAACCTTCTTGCTTCTGGTGCTGATGATGGTGAAATTTGTATATGGGATGTCTCAAAACCATCAGAACCAAGTCATTTTCCTCCGCTGAAGGTGTGCATGCCTCTGACTTTCTTAAGGACATTATTCTATATCTTGTTACATGAAAGGCTGATAGTATTGTATTAAGTAATGCAATGCATGGCTGCGTTCTTGCATGCATCAATAGGAGGTAATGATTCTTTTTCAATTTATAGTTGAATGTCTGCACTGCTGCTAGGAGTAAGTGACTGGAAAAAAGGCTATAGATGGAGTAAAGGACAACCAATCAACATTGCTTAAATTCATTTTCCAATGTATTCTAAATAAGCCATTGATATGTCAAGAATATCCTTTCAGCATAAGTTGGATTGGGTTGATCTTGTCAATGCGCTGCTGCACCCCTTAAAAGTACAGCCTTCTGTACTAAGCTATTTGAACCACAATTAAATGGTTATATTAAAACGAATAGCAGATGGACCTATTGTTTAGCCTTTCAGCATTTTAAATTTGGGTGAAGATGTTAAGTTCTCAAACTATATTGGATCATTACTGTACAGGGTAGTGGATCTGCAACGCAAGGTGAAATTTCATTTTTGTCCTGGAACAGCAAGGTTCAGCACATACTGGCCTCTACTTCATATAATGGGACAACAGGTAAATACATTGTTCATAAGATTTTCTAATAACTTTTTCCCCTGGAATAATCAACATGTTCTGTTGCTTCAGTGGTGTGGGATCTGAAGAAACAGAAACCAGTTATAAGGTAAATAATTGCTAATACATTTGGGTTTTGGTTTTCTTCTTTGAACCCTTTTGAGTTAATTTTTGGTTTCTCACTGTTCTGATCCGTCATATCCCAATTACAGTTTCTCAGATTCTGTTAGGAGGAGGTGCTCTGTTCTGCAGTGGCATCCTGATGTTGCTACTCAACTCATTGTTGCTTCAGATGAAGACGGTTCACCTTCTCTCAGGGTAATTAATACATTTGCTCTTAGTTGAACTTCTTGTGAAGCACATGACATCCCAAGCTTTAATTAAATTTGAGAATATTTCTATCTTCAGCTGTGGGATATGCGCAATATAATGACTCCAGTGAAAGAGTTTGTTGGGCACACCAAAGGTAAGTTATATCTTACAGTTTTAAGTATCTATGTATGTTTGAGATTACGCAATCTTTCTAGTTGATATTTCCATCCCTGCTTTCTTAAGTGGACTGAATCTATACAAATAGGAGTAGGACTATGTTCAAAAGAGCTAAATTAGCCTGACAAAGAAATCTATTTCTAAAAATGCAAAAAGCTCAAGACTATTGGTGTATGTGCAAATATACACTGTACACCCCCTACCTATTGCTCTGTACATGTATCTTCATCCAAATCTATCGTTTCAGAAGCTAACCTATTTTTTCCTTTCCATATCGTGGTCTGTGAAAATGAGTATTGCCTGGATTGTTACGCATATAAAATAATCTGTTGTATGGAGAGGTGGAGTTCAATAGTTAGTTCTATGTTTAGGCTGCGTGGATTTCCAAGTGCAGAGTGGACAATTTTCTCTGCATTTTCCTTGAGAAAATGTGATTAATTTGCTCAGAATCTTAGATTAAAGATTTGTCCTGAATACGTATCTGATATTTTAGAATGTGTGATGCATTTCCAAGCCCTTCTGCTGAAACATTGAATATATAAATTAATCTAGTCATAAATAATGGAGACTGCGCTTATAATTTATTGTGAATGACCTGTATGTTTTCTTAATTTCCATGCTCTGCTCATTTGGGCTGTGACTTGCATTCTCTTGTTCTATGTTGTAATTTGATTAATTTTTTGTTTCTGGATCAACTCATCAGGTGTAATTGCTATGTCATGGTGTCCTATTGATAGCTCTTATCTTCTTACCTGTGCCAAAGATAATCGTACAATTTGCTGGGACACACTAAGTGGAGAGGTGGCTATATTGATTCCTTACATTTAATTAACTGAATTTGTTTCTATTTCCCTTCTATGTGTAGATTTGCTATCACGCACAATTGTGACCACATTTCAGCTCACATGGTTTTGATGTAACTTCATCTTTTATAGATTGTGGCTGAATTACCTGCTGGAACCAATTGGAACTTTGACGTACACTGGTATCCTAAGATCCCTGGAGTCATATCAGCATCTTCATTCGATGGGAAAGTTGGCATCTATAATATAGAGGTTCTTTCCCTATTGCATGGACTGACTTCAATTCTTTTTTTTTTTTTTTTTTTTGTACGCAGATAATGACAATTATCAGTTAGACTTGGATATTCTCAATATTTAAATACACTCAATTTTCTTGTTTCTTTTGTGGGTTTTGCATTTCTGAGGAGAAAGTACTTTTAGAGGCTTGTGCAGTTGTAATCTTGATATATTTTTATATTCTGAAAATTAAATATTGTGTTGAACACACGTTACACCAATTTAAAGTAACATCAGTTTCATTTACATCTCTCAGTTCTTCTCTTTCTGACTTATTTTGTTTGAATTTATTGTTTGTTTCATTGCAGGGTTGTGGTAGGTATGGTGTCGGAGAGGGTGATTTTGGAACAGGTATTTTATGGCTTGTAGATGGTAAAAGATTTTGTTGTCTGTCTCATCACCATAGAATATAAGTTTTAATGGTTCTTGTGTTAACTTCATATTTAGGACAAATGAATTTTTAATTACATTTTGTACTGCCTTAAGAAGAGTACCTTAAAAAGAGTATGGTTAAAAGAGGAACTCTGGAGCTGATTAACTTCAAACATTTCTATGTACAAGATTTGTGAAGAAGCCTTTAAGATCCAAGTGCTTGATGCACTGGAGACAGTTTTTCAGTTCTTAATGCTAATTGAAAGAGACATGAATGGCCCGAGAGGAAGAACTTACAATAAATGTATTTTATCTTTGCTAATTCTTGTGTTCTGTGCTGATTAAAATGCTTTGTGTTTGGGCATGCTTTCTACAGGTGGACCTTTGAGGGCTCCAAAATGGTACAAGCGAAAAGCTGGAGTTTCATTTGGTTTTGGAGGCAAGCTTGTATCATTTCATTCTACTGAATCTCCTTCTGGTTCGTCAGAGGTATGATAAGGGGGTTTTACTTTGTTGATTTTTCTCCTTAAATTTCTCATTTGTGATCAATTCACCTGTTCCAGGTTTATGTGCACAATTTAGTTACAGAACATGATTTGGTTAGTCGATCATCTGAATTTGAAACCGCACTCCGAAATGGGGACAGATCAGCACTGAAGCTTTTGTGTGAAAGGAAATCTCAGGAATCTGAGTATGGCTCCCTTATTCTAGATTCGGTGCCTAACATTATAATGTTTTTATGGCATTGGTGATTGTCTTCGAACGTATGTTTGATGTTTTGGTTCTTGCTCAGGACTGATGAAGAGAAGGAGACATGGGGGTTCATGAAGGTTATGTTCAATGAGGATGGGACTGCAAGGTCAAAGTTGCTTTCCCATCTTGGCTTCAGCCTTCCTGCTGAAGAAAGCAATACTTCAGAAAATGATGTCTCAGAGCAACTGAGTTCACTTGCTCTTGATGAGGGTACCACTAATAAAGGAGTTTCTGGTTATAAAGAATCTGCCTTATTTGCAACTGACAATGGTGAGGACTTCTTCAACAACCTACCAAGTCCAAGGGCTGAGACACCTGTAGCAAATTCGAAGAATGAATTTGTTGTTGGAGACTCCAGGGAATCACAACAAGAAATTGATGGGCAGGAGGAGAGTTCTGATCCTTCTTTCGATGATGCTGTTCAACGGGCTTTGGTGGTTGGGGACTACAAAGGGGCAGTTGCACAATGTATTTCTGCAAATAGGTTGGCAGATGCTTTGGTCATTGCTCATGTTGGTGGTTCTTCCTTGTGGGAGAAAACACGTGATCAGTTCCTCAAGACTAGTCATTCACCCTACCTAAAGGTGGTACATATGATTGTTTGAAGTGCCAGTGCTTGCTGTTCTGCCTTCTATTCTAAATTCTGACTGCTAATTGCTCATATAGTTTCTAATATTTTGTTGCTTCAGGTTGTTTATGCCATGTTAAACAACGACCTGATGAGCATAGCAAATTCCAGACCACTGAAATCATGGAAGGAAACGGTTGCTTTATTTTGTACTGTAAGTCTCCTACCCTCCCTGCGGAAAAGAAATCGCATTTACATCAAGTGTGACACAGATAAATTAAATATAATTTGCGTATCTTATGTCTTTAGATCCATGTCCCCAATGGTTCCTAAAGTTTTGCATGATAGATCCCAAATACAGATATTTATCAAAATTTTAAATTAAAAGTAAACATCCATGCCCAGTACAGATACATAGAAGACAAGCTCTGTATCTTTAACTATAAATGAGTATTTGGATTGGTATGTAAATGTGCTTGCATCTTCCGTTAGCCATGTTGCAAAGTAAGGCACTAAAAATGATTCGTCACAGCATGAGATGCAGATTATGGTTTTGAACTATATCTCATCTGTTCCATCCACAATGAGATGCATATATGCAGATTATGTCCTCATATTTTACTAAACCTTTTTTACCACTGTTCAGTTTGCACAGACAGATGATTGGACCCTGTTATGTGACACTCTTGCTGCTAGACTGATGGCTGCTGGTGATACTACCGCTGCAACACTTTGTTATATATGTGCTGGAAATATTGACAAGACAGTGGAAATCTGGTCAAAGAATCTGGCTAAAGAGCATGAAGGAAAATCCTATTTAGACCGCCTACAGGTTAGGATTTCAATGGATTTAAGTTATCTGATGGTGATTTATTTAGTGGATTACATACTTATATATATATATTTAAATTTATATTCTTAAGGATTTAATGGAGAAGACCATTGTATTTGCTATGGCCACTGGACAGAAGCGGTTTAGTGCTTCATTATGTAAACTAGTTGAGAAATATGCAGAAATACTGGCAAGTCAAGGTCTTTTAACTACAGCGATGGAGTACTTGAATCTTCTTGGGACAGACGAGTTGTCCACTGAACTTACAATCTTACGTGACCGTATTTCTCGATCTACCGCACAAGGTTTGTTTCCATCCTCTCTCATTTGCTGTGTTGTTATTCAGCCGCCAAAGATCTTCCAAGGCTTCCTGGTGTCAATGACCAAGGTCCACACAGATGTCTAAATCAATCAAGTAATCTGGGGGAAAAAAAAGGAAACATAGTAAAATGGTCACGTGGTGGTTTTGTACCATCTCTTGTGGATGCAAGTATCATATTTGTATATGTGCCACTTCCCTAAACTTGTTGTTTTGTCTCTTTGATTTCATTTAAAGGGTTTTAATGACTTTGTTTCATGGTTTGACTGGTAAATCTGAAAACCTGATTATTCCAGCTACATTCAATTTTCTCGAAATTGACTACATAATCCTGTGCATTGCCTAAGTCTAGTTTGTTATTGAAATTCTCAAAACCGAGTTTATTTCATTTAGTACTAGCTTTTAAATGAACCATACTAGTGGCCTTCTGTTACCTATACTTAAGTCACTGCTAATACTTTCTGAGGTCTTAATTTTAGACAACAATTCTTTTGTTTGTTGCACTGAAGTTTATCACAAGAATTAAGAAGAATTTGTGGTCTGATGCCGAGTACTTGGTTTGCAGTTTCGAATATATATATATAGATATATATATACACACACACACACAAAACTTTGTCCTACATTGCATCTGCTTGGTCTTCTTGATCATTTGCTTTAGGTATCTAGACTCTATGTTCCCTATGTTCCAACTGTTGGTTACTCAATTTATATATGCAGAGAAAGAGATTGAGAAGACCGTGGCATACGATAATAGTCAATTGCAAACTGGTCCTACATATGGCAATCAATCAAGTTATGGTGGCCTTGATACCACTCAGCGTTATTATCCGGTATCTATTCCTTCCTAGTATCTGAAATTATTTGCCTGTTTATTAATGAGTTTCACTTATTGCTGCTGCCTTCTGTTGTTCTCTTCAGGATGCAACAGGATCCCAGATGCAGCCATCCATTCAATTTGGAAGACCCAATACTCCTCCAACATATCAGTCAGTTCCACAACCTAATATGCAGCAACATAGCATGTTTGTTCCTACTCCTCCGGCTTCTGTTTCAGCTCCACCTCCAATGGTAATATTGTTTTCATTTTAGCTGGAATATTATGTTAGTTAATGTTGGTTTGTACTAGTGTACCCATTTTAGAATTTGATTACTGTGTGTGTATCTTGAACAACCTTGCAGGGAAGCTTTAATCCACCTCCTGTTAATACACAGACCCCTGCAAAGTTTGTTCCTTCAAACCCTCCTTTAATAAAGAATGTCGAGCAATACCAGCAGCCACCTACTTTGAGTTCTCAGTTATATCCAGTATGTTACCCTATCTTCTTTTTATATTTAATTATTTTTATCCTTGAACATGGCTTTGAACATGCCTCAATCATATGTCAGGGGGCTGCAAATCCAAGTTATCAAGCTGGCCCCCCAGGCATTTCTTCATATGGTGCCAATGTTCCCCACGTTGGCCAAACTCCTGGGCAAAAGATGCCGCAGGTTTTGGCTCCTACGCCTCCAACCAGAGGATTTACGCCAGTGAGTAGTTCAGGGTTTCAAAGACCGGGGATGAGTCCAGTGCAACCTCCTAGTCCGACTCAGCATCCTGTTGCTCATCCGCCTGTTACTCCACCTGCTCCACCGCCTACTGTACAGACTGTCGATACTTCAAATGTTCCTGGTAAATCTTCTACTTAGCCATTTTTGGACAGTGAATGCAGCCCCATCTAGTGAAGGACCACAGATTTAATCAATATTAGGGAAGATCAGAGAATATTATTAGTCTTTTGTTGATTCTTGAACTTATTTTCTCTAAAGCACTTTCCTCACACAGGCCACTGACTTGCATTGCCTTTAATATTCGTTGCAGCACACCAGAAGCCTGTTATTGCAACTTTAACAAGGCTTTTTAACGAGACGAGTGAGGCATTGGGAGGATCACGAGCAAATCCAGCTAAGAAACGGGAAATAGAAGACAACTCAAAGAAGTTGGGTGCCTTGTTTGCTAAACTAAATAGTGGAGACATATCTAAAAATGCTGCCGAAAAGCTTGTACAACTCTGTCAAGCTCTTGACAGTGGTGATTATGGCACTGCCCTTCAAATCCAGGTACTCTACGCTTCTCATATTTTTCGGCGCACGATCTATTATTGGACTACTAATCATCACGACAATCTTTCCGCACAGGTGCTTCTCACGACAAGTGATTGGGATGAATGCAACTTCTGGCTAGCAACGCTGAAAAGAATGATCAAAACAAGACAGAACATCAGATAAACTATGGAAATCTACCCTGCTGCCGTACCTCCATGATTAAGCATCGCTTCTCTCAGTTTGTGGAATGAATCAACAGACATTGTACACAAGAATTGTCGGCAGGTTTTTTGCCTTACAAATTGATCTCTATTTTACCCTACTACCTTCTTTCTTACCATAATTTCTTTGGGATTCCTTTCGAGCAGTTTCAAAGTGATGGTGTTTTGTGGATTGTGATAGTTACTGCCAAATGTTCTTCACATTATATTATTTATGTAGTTGTGAGACATAGATGCCATTTCAATTGGAGCATACATACACTGTTGTAATTTCCTCTCAGACATGAATTTTGGAAAACCACTCTCTTTTAAAATCACTCTTGGATTGATCCTACTTTATTCAGTGAGATTAGATTGATAAGAAACATTAAACCATTTGCTATAACTTTGTGTTCTTCCTAGCTTTGCTTATGGGTCATGCAGATTCTTACTTTTATTGTTTTCTATTTGGACTAATAGGTATAGTTTGTTTTTCATCTGCTTTTACTATACTGCAACTAATAGTCTATGATTTTTGCAATGAATGTGGATTGGATTTGCCAGAAGTAGTTGAGAAAACTCATATAGGATTAGGATTAGGATCTGAGTTTGAATATTTTACTTTATTTATAGTATTTATTTATCATGAAAAAGATGATTGTTTTCACATGTTTTTCCTTGGTAGATGAGATCCCATTTGTAATAAGTGGGCTATGTAGATGATTGGTACCATCTTTCGAAAGTAGTGCGCTGTCAGTAAGTACTGTTTCTATTGCTATTGGTGTATTTTATCATGGTCAAGATTGGGAGAGGGGGCCAAAACTGAGGGTAGTGTAGGTAGTACACATATTAATATATATCATTTACAAACTCTACTATTTGGGTCACGGACATTAAATTCAAACCTAATAAAGGGCTTGCTAGTTCTACTATTTGGGTAATGTATATTTATATATACTATGGTCGAGGGCCCATTTGAAGATATTTTTTACTCAATAATTGAATATAGTGTTATTATTATTTTCTTTTAATATCATCTATGGCTGAATTATTTGGTGGGGTGATGAGGTCAAATCTCCTCTCCCCACTAAAGTATTTTGTTAAACAACCATTATCACCACAAATCATCTTATTCTTTTCTTAAAAGATTGTGAAGGTCAATAATCATGGGAGCAAGTTCTTACATAGAGGGGCTATTTTATTTTTTATTTTTACACATGGGGATTGGGGAGTGTTCCTTTGAAATGCAGCAACTTACTATTAATTAATTAAGGGTAGCAGAGAGAGAGAGAGAGAGAGAGAAAAGTATATAATATTAATAAATGCCTTACTTGTCCTTTGTCTTTGTCCTTGTCCATGATTAGATTTAAAAGAAAGCCATAAAGACAGGATGGAATGGGATGGGATAGGAGTGCCATTTATTATCAAATGCTAAAAAGAAAAAATAACATTAATTAATTAATGATCAAATCTTAAGCAATCAATCGATCCACCCATTCTCTGTGTTCCAAACAAACACTTCATCACATGTCAATCCCCATCTCCATAGCCATAGCCATAGCCATGGACATAGACTCTTCAAAATCTTTAGGATTCCAACATATTCACTAGTCAAACCCTCAAAAAACTTTTCCATTTTTACTGGGATCCAAGAACCCCCCCCCACCCCCTTTTCTCTCTCTCTCTCTCTCCAATCAAGAATTCCACACCAACACTCTCTCTCTCTCTCTCTCCCTCCAATCAAGAATTCCACACCAAAAAGCAAAGGGGACAAAAACCCAATTCACCTTTACTTCTTCTTCTTCTTTTCCCAATCCCAGATTCCCACTAAAACCAATTGCATTCAATTCCAATACATCCATCCCTTTGATCCCAAATTACACCAAATTTTCTTGATGGGTTATCTCTCTTGTAGAGCCGAAACATCAATCTCCACTGCCCAAACTCCATCATCACCATCTCCATCTCCAAATTCCTCCAAGAAACAAAAACCCCATCACCAAAACAAGCCCATCAAACTCCAAGAATTCGACTACAAAGATCTCGAGCTCGCCACCAACAACTTCTCCGACACCAAACTCCTCGGCAAAGGCAGCCATGGCCTCGTCTACAAAGCCATCCTCCGTAACGGCCGTCTCGTCGCCGTCAAGAAACCCTCGAGAAACCCCAAGAAAACCACCTCCGAAGTCGAAAACGAAATCGACATTCTCTCCAAACTCCACAGCCCTAGATTGGTCAATCTCCTCGGATTCACCAATCAAAATCATAACCAAAACGATCGACTCCTCGTCGTCGAATTCATGAGCAACGGCACTCTCTACGACGTCCTACATTCCAATTCAAATAATCGACCCCCAAATTGGGGGAGGAGAATCAAATTGGCTTTGCAAACTGCCAAAGCCATCGACACTCTCCATTCATTAAACCCCCCTGTGATTCATAGAGACATTAAATCTGCTAACGTTTTGATAGACAGGAATTTCAATGCCAGATTAGGCGATTTCGGATTGGCATTGAGGTGCGTCGACGATTGCCGTCTCCGGTCGACGCCGCCGGCCGGAACAATGGGGTATTTAGATCCCTGTTATGTAACCCCTGACAATTTGAGCACAAAAACTGATGTGTTTAGCTTTGGTATATTGCTTTTGGAGATCATCAGCGGCCGGAAGGCAATCGATATGTCGAATTCGCCGCCTTCTGTTGTCGATTGGGCGATTCCTTTGATCAAAAGGGGGAAGTTCTTGGCAATATATGATCCAAGACTTCTGCCTCCTAAGGATGCCATGGTTAGGAAAATGTTGGCCGTGGTGGCGGCGAAATGTGTGAGGTCTTGTAGGGAGAGGCGGCTGTCAATGAAGGAGGTGGTCGAGTGTTTGACGGAGCTGCATCGATTAGTCCCGGTGCATTCTTGGAATGGTTTAGGCAATCCTTGTTTGATGGTGGAGACAGGGGGGGTACCTAGCCAATTGAGTCGGGGGGGTCGAGATGATGGGGATGTTGAGGTTGGGAGGAATCCGCGGAGAGTGTACTCGGATTTGGGGTGTCGAAGCAATTTGATGGAGTTGATGGCTAGCCCGGAGGGCGGGGCGGTGGGATCGAAGGTTGAATCGAAAAGGGTGTCGAGTTTTAGGTTTGATGGTGTTAGGATGACGAGTATTCGATCGATGGTGTTTGGAGATTGGAAAGATAGGGGTTCGAATATGAAGACAATTGAATCCGTTGGGGAGAAGATCAATGACGATGGGTTGAAGAATGGTTCTTGATCCGCAGAGTCAGAGTCATCGCGGTCAATATAACAGATCGAAAAAGGTTTGAAGCTGAATTTGATGTATACTTTTGACACTTGAGAACAAGAAAGAAGGATGACATCTTTGTAGATTGAAGTTTTGTGACATTGAATTTGATTGAACAAGAGAGTTATGTGTGGATTGCTTTTCTTAATACCTCTATTGGTGAAATAAATTAATTTAGGGTTCTTTTCTTGTTTGTATTAATTCAGTCAATCAAAATGTGGTTTTTTAGGTGACTGTTAAGTGTGTTTTTCTTTTGTAATGGTATCAATGCAATGTTTCCACTTGTTTTTGTCATAGCATATTTTGTCTAGACAATTTTATATGCAAATATCTTGATGCATAAAAGTATCAGTTAGAAGTGAAATTAAATTGTTGTTTATGTCATAGCTTCCCCAGAAGTACATTTCCTTTTATCTTTTTGACCATTATTTAAAAATGGAAAAATAAAAGAAACTGAATATAACAAAGTACAATTAGTCTAACCAGGCAATGTAATTTTTAAAAACCCTGCTTGAAATAGAATTTCCTCAAGTATACTAAAAAATAATTACAAGATAAATATGTTAAAACAAACTTGCACCTACCCAATAATAGTTCATTTTTTTTCAGTGCCCAAATATTAGGTTCTATTTACATATTTGAGATTTTAATATATTTATCAATATTTTCATATAATAAATATCATATCTAACATTTCTTTTTTATTTTAAACATTATATTATTATGAAATTCAAAACTTATTTACATAGGTCAAAATATTTATATAACATCAAAATTTCAAAACTTCTAAAAAAAAACTTGTGTGTTACGTAAAATTATACTTATTTGATTGAAGTAGCACGATTTATTTTGGGTACAAAATAATGCGAATTTTAAATAGATAAAACTAGAATTTTTTTCATTTTTATAGTAAAAGGTACTAAGTAGAAATTTATTCCAAAGTCATCACACAAAGTGATAAGAGGTGCAGTAGCAACTCATTGTCATATATATAGTGATTGCAAGAATTCAAGAAACTTGTGCAGATGGAATTATGACTGGGTTTAAATCTGACGTCTGCAGATCACTTGTCATACATAGTTCACCTAATATGACTTTCTTGTTTGCAAATCATTTGTGACACATAGTTCACCTAGTATGACTTTCTTGTAATTTGTCTTGTCGGACCTAACGGACCTAATTTACAAAGTATTAAGTTTGACATAAATTTACTCAATACGCACTTTCAAATAACAACCGCAAATTCTCTCGTGACTTGATTGTAATCCAGAAATTTATCAAGTGCGTATAAGAAGTACCGAGTTAATAAAAAAAAAAAAAAAAAAAAAAGAAAGCTGCAATGAGTGCTGTTTCAGTGATCAAATAAATGTGTGTTTCAAGTGAATCTACCAATCCCTTTCTTCATTGCTCTCTCTCTCACAGTAAAGACTAAAGCCACTACTAACTAACCAACCAACCAGTGTAAGAATTAGAACAAGTCAGAAAACATTTCAAGAATGTGAAAAAAAGTGAATTAATAAGATACACACCCGATTTAGGTATTTTGTAGGTGTGATTTCATTTAATTCATTCGATGTGTGGTTGTGTTTGTGACAATCAATCCATCTGTCCCACTTTGTTGGTTGATTCTCATTACTACTTTGATGTTCAAATGTCATATCACATTCACAGGCCCATTCTTTATCAAAACCATTAAAATAAAAGTACACTATAATACAATACTCCAGAGAAAGCAAGGAATGGGTGGAAATTTTTTATGTTACAGAGGCTAAATGACACAGTTAATTCAATCATTGCAGGACAAAATGAAACATTGACCTTAAGTAGTTCAATCAAGAAAAATTACAACCAAATTACAGGACAAAATAATCATAATCATAATCATGCATCATATTGTGACAGGGATCTGGTCTTTATTTCGTTGTTAAAAGGAAAACTTTTCCACCCTCTCAGTTAAGATAAGTAGATTTGAAAGGAATAGAAAAGAGAAAAAAAGATGACAGACACACATACATAATCAAGTGAAAATTACCAAAGAAGTGTGCTTTTTGACCAGCTGCAAAGATTGTTGAGTTTGTGATGAATCCAATCCCTGCCAAGGAAGAAAATAAGATCACAAAAGGCCAAGAAAACCACTACATTATACGCCTAAAAATAACGGGAGCAAATGAAAAGGCCCAATGAGATGACTTTTCCTTACTCCAATGGAAAACTCCCCCTCTTAGCTAGATGACCGATGGCCGGTAGTAAATAAAAATTTAGAAGGATATCAGATGAATATCAGTTTGTAGCAAATTAAATTCCCTACAATACGAAGGATATAAACACGAACAAAGATTTTGTTTTGAAAAGATAATAAGGAAGAGAATAAGGAGCTAAGATAATATCTCCTTTCCTGCACTCTCCACCGTTATAAGCTTCAGACCTGTATTATAACATTTGTTCATTCAAGTATATAGATCAAAACCACCCAAACTCATATACATTTATATTATGTTTTATTACTTCTTTAAACTGACCTTTCATAATTTTTGGAAAAAATAATCGATAAAAATGTTTGTCAAAAAATTATATGTATACATCCTTAATGAAAATATCAAGATAATTTTAGTGAATTCTACTATATTCTTGATAATAAATATCAAAGTTATACTAGAAATCATTCACGCAGCATCTATAAACAATTGTTATGGGATAACACTTATACAAGTAGAATGCTGAGAAAATTAGATGTTGCTATGGTTCAATGTCCTCTCAGAATAACTTTTGAGTGCATAAAAATCGGTTTCTACTATTTAACATACGCAACAGAAGCTATGCACTATCTTGGCCTGAAACATTATGTAGTTGGTAAGGCTTTTTTCATGCAGCATAAACACATTAGGCAAGCATACTCTTTCGGACTGCGCATAATTCAAAAATATAATGAATAAAAATTAGAAAAAGGAGATTCAGACCTGTTAACTTCACTCTGCTTTGGCTTCTGTTGTTCCATGTTTGTCATTGGATTTTGAATCCGCAGAGCAACAAGCTCCACCATGATGGTGGTGGTGGTGGTGATGCTTTCTGCCCTTCAATTGCTTCCTCATATCATAAGCATCCTCACCATCGGCATAATATTTTGCTTCAATATCATGAATCTTGTATCCTAATGTTTCTGTGTACAAATTGAATGCAGCCCTATTGCTTTTCCGTACGTGCAGAGACACGTACTCAGCTCCATATACCTATTTATAAAACAATGTCCGTAATGAACTATGATATAAACAGGATAGTGTGAGTATTTGCTTAAGTCAGAAATATTACACAACACAATCAATTAGGCAGCAATCATCCAACTAAAAGGGTCTGTTCTTTTTGCACCTGATTTCAGTTTTTTTTAGTATGCAACTCTTATGATTCCAATAAAAATACACTATAACTTCTTACAGAATATCACATTAAAATACTATATAAACCAAAACTCAAACCCAACACAAACGAAACACACCCTAGCTCTTCTCATGTATTAGTGAGAGAAACAAGCAATCAATCATTCTTAAATAAGCTCCAACTTCATGTATGTATACATGAGATATAGAAATCCTCTTAGGCAAGATAAATAGAGATGTTTCTCGCATAAAACTAGTTTTAGCCCTTTTCTATGTGTTAAAAATTGCAATCTAAGTCCTTTCATAAGGCGCACAACATACCCTTGTTAATCCACCGATAAATTATATGCATAAAAAATTGAAGAAAATACTTTGGTTCAATTTAAATTTGTTATAGGAGGATGAATATAATTAATATCTACAAAAAGTTGTCCCTAGTAAACATAACACCAATTCTCATTCTTCACGATAGTAGGAAAAATCAGAAAGAATAGTACAATGTTCACCAAGTTCTTCCCTTGATAACCCACTTACATGGAATACCCTAACTTCAGATGGTGAAAAATTTATTTGTTTGAATTACTTTCCATGATATTCCTTCTAGAGGCATATATAACCAAACTTAACAGCTAAATCCTAACAAATAAGAGAACCAAGAGCTGTGACCTTTTTACACATTGATGATGGCAAGCCACAAATTCATATTATGAAGCAAGGGAAAAACTTCAAGATGGTCCTAAGTCCTAACAAGACAGCCAAATAGCTGCAACATGAAACTCAACAATCAAAATAATCGAACCATAGACAAACATAAGAGTTCTACAAAAATCAAACAATTAGTTGAGGAAATACCCATTTTCAATGTTTGAGATAGTCATTTTGAAAGAAACTGGCCCTAATTTATAGATGGAAAACCATGAAATTCTTAAAATACCAATTACAACCTCAAACTTGATACGAAAGAAAATAAAAACAACGCTAAATCAAAATTTCACAAAACGAATTATCCACATGATGAAAAAATGAGTTCCCAGAAACATCACAGAATCAGATATTTATCATCAATTGACAATGAGAAGTAAAAGAAAATCCTAAAATCCATCAGCCCGTGCTCACCTGCTCCATGGCGTTTTGAGCGGCGGTCATGAGCTTAGTGGCAAGACCGAGCTTCCGGTGAGTCCTAAGCACGGCGAGCGAGGTGATGTGGCCGTGGCACTCTGTGGATTCCTCCTCCATTTTGGCTAACACGTAGCCAACGATCTTGCCGTTGTAATCCTCCGCTACGTAAAGGAGCTGCGGCCATGAGAGGATGTGATACAAATAGTATTTCATCTGGTAGTTCTCCGGTAGGCAGAACAAATTGCAGTTCTGCATCTCCAGCAAGTCGTCCACCGTCGCCTTCCTGATGCACACCATGGTGTTCGTCCGAAGAGTCTTAGGGTTAGGGTTTTGGACGCTATGATTCGAGGATTTGGGATTTTGATGGTTTACTTTTATGTAAAATCTTTGGGTGTTTGTGTTGTGAAAGAATCTGAAAAAATATATCAGAAAATTAAAAGATAATAAAATAAAAAATAAAAAATAAAAAATATTAGTATAATATATTAATTTTTTTAAAAAATATATATATTAAAACAAATAAAAACAAAAAAAATATTTTTTTATATATATTTTATTTGTCTCCTAACAATTGATAGAAATATATATATTTTGTATTATAACAATTGATTCATTTTTATTTTAGATAAAATTTATCAAATTAAAATAATATCTAACAAATATAAATCAACATATAATTATTATTTATAAATTATAGATTCATTTAGAATCCTTTTATTTATATTTCTTTTATTAAAATAAATAAATATTGAATATTTATCTTTATACAATTTTTATTATTTTTAGTTGCAAATTGAATGTTTAGATAAGAAATTTTTTTATTTTATTTTTTAAGTTTTTCAAAAATTTTAAATACTTAATATGATACTTTATAAAAGTAATAAATATTTTTTTATTAATAATATATTTATTTGTATTTATAATTTAGAAATTTTTTTTTCAATAAAACAATATTTACTTGATTTTTTAAAAAAGAAAATAAAAATTTATCTATTATTGACATCATTTTTAATATAGTACTACATCATTTTTATCTTTTATACTAATAATAATAAAATAAAAAAATCAACTTTTTTATAATAGACAAAAACATTAAGCTTACTTTTTATGAATAGGAAAATATTCTATATTAAAACCAATGTCAAAAAATTATAAATCTATTTTTTATGAAACAATTTAAAAAGAAAAAGAAAAAGTCATTTTATTTTTTAGTATATGTAAATTGATTTCACTTGAAGAGGATATTAAATTTTATTTTTTTTTTAATAAAAGCATATAATTTTGCTAATATTTATTTTAAAGCATTATAGAACTTATTTAGTTATAATTTAAAATTGATTTGAAATTTAATGTTGATTTGAATTTTTTTATTAATTTTATTTTGATTAGAAATTTATTTGCTTAATGTTTTAATTTGAATATTTTTTTTAAATATAAAATATAAAAAATTGTGTTAATAATACTATAAAAAAATACTACTTCCATCCCAAGAGTTTTTTGTTTTTTCATTTTCGTCAGTCCCAATATAATTTTATTTTATAACAAAATTATTCATACTTTTTCACAATTACGCATTATTACTCAAATCTATTTTTTAAAACCCTTTAAAAATCGAGGGTAATTTAGTTTTGATATTTTACTTTATATTTATTTTCAATTAAATTTTATTACTCTTTAATTCTTATAAAACTCCCAACAATACATCTTTTACATCTTTTATGGAATGGTAAAAAATAATATATATATATATATATATTGAAAATAAGATTGGGGAAAAAAATATTGCAAACAAACCCCCTAACACCAACTTTTGTAATAATTGCGATTGCTTGTCAAGTCTATCAACCAGTTAGTTAGGGAGTGGATTTTATGCTGAATTGATGAATTCAGTAATCGGATCTTCACTATTAATTAATTAGATTATTTATTTAATTAGCATAATTAAATTCAAATTAAGAGTATAGATTAATTTCTGACTTATTTATCATACTAACACTCAATTTGAAGACAGTCATGCCATAATTAAACTCGAACAACTAAGACCAAACTAAATTTTAAATTTTATAGCCTCTATTTAGGTTAATTTCCATGTGATCTCGAAAATGACACGAGAATAATAATTAAAGACGACAAACAGGTTCGGTATGACATGACCCAAGATCCGAATTAAATAAAATTCAACAATGCTCAAAACTCACCCTAACCCGATTTCGACCCAAACCCAAACTTACTTTTACTCAACCCTGTCGATCCAATAAAATTGGATCCGGATCGAATATCGGGTATATTCACCCATTGATCCATAAGAATAATACACTAATAATGGTGGGTCTCGTAGATTCGCATATACCTAAACTAAAAAGGAATTGAAAATTTGATCATATTCCCATAAAGTCACGACCCCAAAAGACACATTCTTTATCTCACTTTTTTTCTGTGTCTTTTTACAATAAGACACATTCCCTTTGTTCTTCGACAAGAATCTATCAATGCGATTCAAAAAGTGTTCATCAATTTTAATTGAATTTCAATAACAACAATAATCACAATCAAGAAAATAAATTACTATGTTACATCTTGTTATCAAAACTAAGTGTTAATGTACATACGATACACACACAACGAACGTACCCGTCATTGGAACCTCCGGGGCACTCTCGGCGTCGGGACAAATGCGTCGCGACCCGATTTGATCGCCTCCATTCGTTCCGGTATCGTCGTGTCGAACAACCTGTTGTCGGGGTTCTCCGCGAAGCATACGTAGTAACAGCTCACGCAGGCGTGAGGCAATGCCATCGCGATCCTCGTCTGCAAAAATGTATATCGTATTAGTATGTGTAATAATTGTGCGTCGATAAGGATGTCGGGGGAAGGATTAGGACACAGACCATTAGGTAGCCAATGAACGCGGCGAGGACGGAGAGTGTCCCAATGTAGCCGCGGTGGACGGTGGCTGTCCACGCGGCGACGACGATCGTGCAGATGGAACCGCTGCAGACTCCGGTGAGGAAGCAAAGGGCAGTGGTGATGTCCGAGTCGACGACTTGCACCATTCCCCGCTTGTCGAAGAGCTCCCATGTGTCCTGTGACGCTTTTACGAAGCCTTTCCCATACGCCGCAATCTGAATAAACCACGTTTCGTCAGAACAGAACAATCGATTTATCGATTCAAGAAGTGTGAGATTATTACGTGAACGTAAGCCCATCCGTTTCCTCGCCTGAATATCGACTCCATGACGCGGAGGCAGCAATGGGCGCAAGAAAACATGAACTCGTCTTCCCCCTCGAGCAAATTCAGGCCGCGAGCAACGATTCTCAAGGCTTCAATCGATGGAACAAAGATCGATCCGAGACAAGCACTGCCAAGATTCTTTGTCAGGGCTCGTTGGAAGCAAAATTGCGTAGTCGATTGTATCCCCCGGAGGTAATACAGAGCAATCACACGGCTAACCGTCAGATTCGCGACGTTCCTCATGACCTCGGCAGTCCAAGCCAGGCTGACAACCAACACGACTATAACAAGCGGCGGCACGTAGAAATTCAGCGCGCCGATCACGCCCAATATCCAAAACGACATCCAGAGGAATCCGGCAGCAAGCATGCAATACGTAGGGTGATTCAAATCCCGGAATTTCGGGACAGGTTCGAGGGCTTTGAGTAAAACCTTAGAGCAAAAACTGGTCCTCTGAGTCACCCAACACGCGTAGAGACCATTTCCAATGGCGAAGGCGATGAACAGGACGCCAATGCCGCTGGTCGCCTGCGTCTGGTAGCATATCAGGAGGATGCCGGCGGCTAAGGTGAGGAAGAAGGAGCTCCAGATTATGAAATGGACCATGAATTTAGGCCAAACTCGGACTGCCTTCTGCCATGCGAAGGCCAGAGTTACGCTGAGGAAGGAAGCGGCCTCAACCTGAGGTAGGAAATACTTTAGCACTTTTTTTTCTCTCCTCTGAGCCCTACCTTCTTCAATCAAGCCTTTAATGCCTCTGAAGATCAAAAATCCGACGAGTCCGACGGCCAGAACCATGTGCGCGACGAACAGGAATAAGGAGATCCTGTTCGTGTATGATCTAGAATTGAGCGAGGCAAACGATGGCTGAGGAAAAGGATTAGCCAAAATCCAGAAATATATCCAATCAGATATCCAAATAGGTAAGCAGAAGTTCTCAAAATCAGCATCTAGAAAGTGCAGAGAGTTAAATTTTGGGGGTCAATTGCTTACTTGGGAGTTAGGCGTCGACCGAGGCTGCGATTGCGTCGTCGTCGACGGCGGCGGCGGTTGCGGTTGCGGTTGCTGCTGCGTCGGCGGAGGAGGACGAGGCGGAGGAGGATGATGATGTGAAGGATAAGGAGAGGCAACTCTCGTCGCATTATTCATCACGAGACGGAGAGGATTCGTCGCGCTCAATCTCTGCATTCTCGACATGTGAAAAGCGTCCGGAGGTCGGGTTTGAACTGATTCTCCGTCAATTTTCGATTCGCCTTTCTCCAAATCGATCCTCTCCTTCTCATCCACCTTCCTGCTTCCATTTTCCTCGCCCAAACCTCTCTCATCTCCTTCCTGCAACAGAAAATTCTTCAAATAGGGAAACCGCAACAGAAATCAATCAGCTAAGATATACAGAGTGACTCACCTGCTCTGCTGCACCCATTGATGGCGGCGTCTGTGGACGACGACGGTGGCGTCGGCGGTGGATTTCGGTGGTTTTGGTGCAGCAGCTATTGGACCATCCCTACCTCCATCCGCCATACTTGTATTTTAGTGCATAATGGTCACAGGCTTTCGAGGCCACTTGTCAAATTGTTCGCCACGCGCGTGTAGAGCGAGTGGGACGCACGCTTCAATGACGCTGGTGTACCTTCGGCTTCGGACAAGTTTATTTACAACAGGTTCAGTTGCGGAGATGTGATTGCGTGTGCGAAGGTCCACGGCGGCGTGCACGACATTCGAAGTACACGTGGGATATTCTCCTTGGGATTTTGGTGTAAGTCGTCTCTGATTGGTCGATTGGATTTTCTGATTGTACGATTTTACCCTTTATCCATAATCATCCTTATCGCATTTTTCATTACCAACGTTTAATTTTAATGGAATTGATTGGGTTTGTTTAGTTTGAGATTGTATAACGGCAATACAATTTAGGTTTTGTTTCTTTTAACAAGATTTTTACTATTTAAATTCTATATATTTCGAAAAAATATAATTTAATTTTTTATAAAATATCATATCATATATTGTTTTAATATTAATTTAATTTAATTTTTTTTTCAAATCAATCAAAACAAACACACTTCCACCTGGTGGTCCGCGTAACAATAATGACATTTGTCGGAATAAGAGTTATTTAAAGGGGTAAAAATGTAACTTCATCTCTACAGTTAATGCATGATTTATTGAAGGATAGCAGAAAATTCCCGGGAAGTAATTATCTTTGACTTGACTAGGCTATCTACCCATGAGTTAGGTAAGTATTAAAGGGTCAAATATGTAATTTTTGACGTCAACAGAAGTTTGGTGTTGGGATCTTACTGTGTAACGGTCGCCTGGATGTTATTATATAATAGTACTATTATATATATATAATAATTAACAACAACAATAATAATAATAATAATAATAATAAAATTATAAACACATGATAGTATGGGTAAATTATAAACTGAAAAGTTGTCGTACTCCCTTCCCACTTTACTCCCTTGTCGTGTCACTGATTATGTCATGGTTTTTGTTTTTGTTCGCTTTACAGTCACTCCACCATTTTAGTGCAATTCTCTTTCTTTCTTATTTTTGTTCGTGTCAAAACAATAGTTTTATTTTTATAAATAATCATATTATTATAAAATTATTTTTATTTTTTTATTTTTATTACACAATTGTCACTATTTTATACACGAATACACTTATATGAGCAAAAAACAAAATTTATTCATACTTTCTACTTACTACAAGTATAATATCAATATTCCTTAAATCTCGTGTCCAACCTAATTAAAACTATATGAGACGAATGGAGTATTTTATATTTTATGGTAAAAATATTAAAAAAATTTATACACTCTCACTAATTAATAAAATAAAATTATTTTTTATTTTACTATAAAATCTCAAAAAACCACTTTAATTAGGGAGTATATATATTCTATTACATTTTAAATTGCTAAAAATATATTTTTAAAATTTAATAATTTTTGTTGTTATATAATTATTTTTACTTAATATATTTAAAATTATTTACTAAAAATACTCTTTTAAAAATTTTGTGTCTATGTGACACTGACGGAGTATTTATTTTTACTATAAAAATTATTCCATTAGATATTAGTCCTTTACATACAAAAGTTGCATTCGTTTTATTATTTACATTTTTATATATATCATAAATAAATAAATAAATAAAATCTCATATCATATTTAATAAAAAAATTTACATCGCTATTTAAATTTTTACTAACCATTTTTTAATATAGTTACATTTTGGTACCTACAAATTTTGATCATAGTTTTAAAAGATAAAAAATACTCCATCCGTCCCAGAAACCATGTCCACGTTGCCGTTTCTATTCGTCCCACGTACCATGTCACTTTTTTTTAAAAAAAATAATTACACATTTTAATCTCATTTTAAATTTTTAAATTTTATTTTTTTAAAAATTTTAATTAAACTAATTAGTTATCTTTTATAGGATAATTATTTTCACTAATGCATTCTTAATTATCTACTAATTACACCCCTCTTAAAATGTCGTGTCTACAGTGTAGCAGACACGATATCTGAGACGAATGAAGTATATTTTATTGATAGCCATTGATATTTTATTTTAATTTTGATATAAAGTAATATAATAATATTTCTATAAATAAATATAAATTTAAAAATATTTGTAACATTATTCATTTATATTTTTTATAATGATATATATTGAAAAACATAAAATAAATGCAGTACGCAGTCACTAACACACTTGTGTATAATATAACATCATTGAAATAATAATAATAGTAATAATAATAATAATAATAATAAATAAATAAATAAATAAAATGAATAATGAGAGGCAGCAGACGTATGTCTGGATTCCACCTCATCATGTCCGCTCCCAAGTCCCAACCCATTTCTCAAACGCCCACGTCATATATATTATTATTATTATTATTTTCTGAAAACATACGAGAATGTGGTAGAGCTTCTAGCATTTTTTTTACTTGTTCCGTTCACAAATTAATATTTTATTTTTTTATTTGAGATGTCTAATAATTATTATCTTATTTTATTTTTAAACACAAATTTTATATTTTTACTCTTTATTCATTTATTACTTTTAATTTCTACCATACACATAAGGACAAATTTGTTCATTCATAACAAAAAGACAAATAGATGAAGTATTATTTTTTTCTATTGTTATTTTTAAAAAACTAGTGTAATTTTAAAATAATACTCTCTCTGTCCCAAAATTATAGTATGTGTTGTATTTGACATGGATTTAAAAAAATATTGATATTATTTTGGTAGTGGATAAAAAGTGAGAGTACAAGACTTTTTTGCCATTGTGAATGTATTAGTGTAAAAAGTAAGAACAATTGTTTAATAATAATGAAAAAGTAATGATAGTTTTATATAATGATACGATTATTTATGAAAATGAAACTATTATTTTAGGACGGACAAAAATGATAAAGAAGACTATTATATTGGGACAAAGGGAGTATTTCATATTTTTTATATAAAGTGTTATTTTTTATATTTTTTTTTCATTCCAAATAATTTGTAAAAAAAATAATTATGCAATTGAATCATATATTAAATTTTAAATTTTATAATTTGTTTAATTTTAATTTTAATATATAATTTTATTAGTATTATATAATAATTATTTTTACTAATATATTTATTTATTAATTATTTATCAATTATATTTTTCTAAATTTTTATGTCTACATTATCATAGACATTTTTACCTAGTTGGAAATAATAATAAAAATTAAATATTTGATTTAATTTTTTTAATGAAATTTTTAATGAAAAAATTGATAATAGTATAAATTTTGTAAAATTTATATAAGAACAATATTTTTGAGGTGGAATTATTTACATAAATATTATTAAAAGATATAATATACACACTTTAATATATTTTAACAATTTATTCATTTTTCTATTTTAATCTATTTCATAATAAATAATTTAATTATTTTTTTTAAGTAATTGCACTATCAATCTAACGTTAAAAATACTTTTCTAATTTATAATATATTATACAAAATATCATTATTTTTATATCATACAATACTAATACTAATAAGGTTAATTTAGTCATTTTATTTTTATTTCTATTATATTTCAATATAATACTAATATTTGTAAAATTACGTAAAATAACAAATAGATAGATAAATATGAAACGGAGAATATATATTTATTAATACTCTCTCAATCATAAAATTGTATGATGCACAAGTTATATATATATATATAAAAGATAATAATATAAATTTGTATTTTTTATGGTAAAGAAAAATATAGTATTTTTTATTAAAAAAATAAAATAAAAATAAATTTAAATGATGAAAAAAATATTTTTTTATATTTAACTTAAAGATATATTCATAAAATATTTAAAGCGCACATGTTCAATAATGATGAAATCAAAATGACACAATGAACTTCCAATAGTAATATTATGAGTTCAAAAACGTGCTTAGGTCTAACTTGAATTCATTTAAATAGTATTAAAAATCGAGATTTTATGATATTTAAATAAATTATATATTTTAATATATATTTAATATTACAAACAAGGTAAAAGTATTGTCACAAATTTTTTTTCAATTGAAATGTGGGACGATTTTAAAATAATAATAATAATAATTCTCGCGGATGGGTCTAATCATGTAAATCGATCTAACACAATGACAAGCCCAGCGATTTCAAATCCAATTAAGTGAATGATAGGCCTAGTCCAAACAATGTTGCATCAACTTTGAAAATGACTAATTGATCATGTTGATTAATTCATTATTTAACAAAATTTATTATCATGCATTCAAAGAAAGCATTAGTATTTTATTATTATTATTATTATTATTATTATTATTATTATTATTATAATAATGTGGAAATCCGCTATCGTTACTAGTTGAGTATGCTTTGGGTAAACTTTCGACGTAATTTAATACACTGAATTCTATATATATATATATATATATATTGATAACATAGGAATCCGCAGCCGACGAATGCGTTTTAGGTAAACATTCGGCCGGATTTAATACCCCATAAATTAAATTCGACAAAATATGTCACACTAGGTGAACCAGTGGGACATATGAACTTGGAGGTGCTAGAGTTTAAATATATAAAACACTTTCATTTGATTGTTTATTTATTCACTTTATTTAATTAAAGGTACATTCGACAGTGTTAACTTACATAGTTTTATTTTATTTTTAATCTTTATATAAAATTTTTATTAAATTATAAAAATATTCCCAAAAAAAAAAAAAAAAAAAACAAAATTATGCTAATAGTGTGGACAATTGATTGCAAACATGCTATGGCCTAGATGTCACGCGTGGCTTGGCTAAATTGTCCTCAATCTGGACCACATTCATTTTTTAAAATAATTCCACATCTGACTTACATCAAATGATTATTATTTAATTAAATAGAGCAGATGTATATATGATAATTAATTTCATAAATGATATTTTCTACATATATAAACTTTAACCACTAATTTTATTAAAAAAAACTAAATTCAAAATCTAAAAAAAATAAGCTCTTGTGTGTAGTACACACCGGATCAAAGTTCAACGACAGTCAAAGAGAGACGTAGCAGGATGGTGCCACGTCAGCAGGCAGTTGTGGACACGTGGCGGACATCGCGGAATTCCATTGGTCGGGACACAACACTATATAATAACTGACTGACCTGTTCAACAACACACCTCTCAAAAAGCAGAAGGCCAATTTCTCTTCGATGGTTGTTCCCATCGATTCACCTTCAGGAATTTGAATTCCTTCCCCATCCAGCATTGTTCGATTTCCGGTGGTCGCCGGAGGGCACAGCGATGTGCGGGATCTTCGCGTATCTGAATTTCTACGTCAGCAGAGAGAGGCGCTACATTTTGGAAGTCCTCTTCAATGGCCTCCGTCGCTTGGAGTACAGAGGCTATGATTCCGCCGGGATTTCTATCGATTCGTCGTTCACCGCAGTCTCGGATTCCAGCCTTGGTCCACCTCTTCTCGTGTTTCGCCAGGAGGGGAACATCGATTCCCTCGTGAAATCTGTTTACCAGAGTCAGTTTCGTTCTCAATTCCCGAAATCGGATGCACACTGTGAATTCTGCATTCACCTCTCTACTTGTTCTTTATTTTACGATATTGTTTTGCTTTTGTGCTTGAATTTGAAGTATTGCTCGGCGTTACTTTGATGTATGTGAAAATGTGGGTTTAGACTTAGTTCGCTTGGCTTTCTCGATCTTTTGTGTGATACTTTACTTGCATTGGGACCTATTATGTTGTTCTGTAAGAGTGTAACTAAAGATTTTTTGCATATTGATGTGTAAAAAAAAAATTTCGTGATCGTCAATGTGCAGTTGTTGTGTATAAATCTTATGGCCGACTCCACAGTTCATTACCTAGTGTAATTGTGCGTAAGAATGATTTGGTGTGAGAATCGAGGAGAGTAATAGTTGGATCATACTCAATATGTTTCATATGATTTAGAAATACCTGTTAGATAATCATATTCGTAAGATTTTCAGATGCCCCTACTAATAGTATAGAGTTTGGCGTTCTTAGTGCAGGAGAAGTTTGTACTAACAGAGTTTAGTTGGCCCATGAATGTCTAAACATATTAAAGCAATGATACTGAGGACAATATGTTGTATTTCTGGATGCTTCCTTCTGTTTAAATGCTATAAGTTGTTTATATCATTGTGTTTATTTTACAAACTGTCTTTGTTCATGTTTCCAGAGGTTGATGAGACTAGCTTAAATTTGGAAGAGTCCTTCTTGGTGCATGCTGGAATAGCACACACTCGTTGGGCAACACATGGGGAACCGGCGCCAAGGAATAGTCATCCTCAGACCTCTGATGCGGAACACCAGTTCTTGGTTGTTCATAATGGAGTGATCACCAATTATGAGGTTGATTTTATTCATTCTTATGCCACTGCATCTCGGTTGTGCTATGAACTTTGCCTTTTTAAGAGACTTCTGGGACATAATTGTTGCTGCAGAGATTTCTAATCGTGCTGACAACAGTTTGATATTAAATTCTGATACTGACTGGGAGATGTTATTGTATTTTTGTATTCTGTAATTAATAGTTTGGGCAGAATCAGAATCCTACGTTTCTTAAGTGGTTTCTTAACCTATGTTCCTCATAAATATTTGTCAAACTTTCAGATTCCAAATATGGTGCCTTTCTGGAAAGTTATTTCCTTCATATAAAGGAGAAATAACTTTGTAACTGAAAACCTCAATACGTTACTTGCCAAAGAGAGTGGTATATGTTGAAAGGCATATACTATGTATCATAGTTGTATTTATAGTTTCAATGGATAATAAATTTTTTGTTAAATAAAACTGTAGCGCTACCACTGGTGATTATAATAACAGCTTTGAGTGCTGGTAATTTTTTTATCGCAAAAGCTGGTTTGCATCTTGAAGATCTACCATCTAGGGTTCAATGCTGAAATTTTCCGAACAATGTTTTGTCTATTTTTGTAAGAGCTAGGAATTGAGGTATGTCCTCATTCTGTGGGATGCTTTTCTATGTTGATCGTTAAAATATTGCTACCATATCTGGCAATGACTTTGGTGAGAGTGGACATTTTTTACTGGCTTTGATTGTTATTATGAAATGTAGGCTCCTTGAAAACCCTGAAAAGGTAAAAAACAACCAAAGAAATATTTAGTCAACATTAAATTAAGAGAGCCTTTCTTTTCTTCCTAACTAAATGAGAGTTATTACCTACTCGAAGTCCTAGGAGGGTCAGGCAGGATCAGAATTTTCACTTGTATCGGATAATATGTTGCTGGAGGGAGAATGGTGATGCTAGTCTAGTGTCTTGCACTAAAGTAATATATCTAGTAAGGAGAATGGTTAGTAGATATGATGCCAAAAAATGGTAAACTAATCTGGAACGCTTGTTTTGTAGTCATCTGATTGGTTGTCTTTGCAAAACCAATTCAAGAAGATAGACATGGATACATTATTTACAATGAAAATAAAATGTTTATGCAATGATCATTGATACATTAGTATCTCTTTGTTCGTATGTTGTTATCCTAAATTCCTATGTTTCATGGTTTTTGCTACTCTTTCCGTATGTTCTCACTCATGCCTCAAATAAATTTAATTTAATTTCAGGTGTTAAAAGAAACACTAGTTCGGCATGGATTCACCTTTGAATCTGAAACTGATACAGAAGTCATTCCAAAGCTTGCACAGTTTGTCTTTGATAATGCTAATGAAGAAGGTATCTTACTCTAGCAACTTGCTCACAGGACTAGTTGTTGCATTAATTATTGCATCGTTGTGCTTTAGTGCTCCTACACTCCTGATTAAGTCTTTCTGTACTAGATCAGAGTGCCAACTATTCAGCTTTTGGTGTAGGTGACAAGGGTGTGACGTTTAGCCAAGTTGTGTTAGAAGTAATGAGGCAACTGGAAGGAGCATATGCCCTCATTTTCAAAAGCCGACATTATCCTAATGAATTGATTGCATGCAAACGTGGCAGTCCATTGCTCCTTGGTGTAAAAGTAAGTGTCTGTTGTGGCTCTCTGAAAGCACTTATCATATGGTTTTTGTTAATTTTTACTATGTTTTAGTCTTAGAGTGCGGTGTTAGGTTCTAGTGTATGAATACCGTCTGTTCTTGTAAGATTGCATAATTGTTTGAATACAGAACTCTTAGGCAGTATCCAATCTGTATCTGATTTGCTCATGGCGTGCTTATAGTCATTTTATTTATTTTCATACACAGTGCAAATGTTTCTTAAATTCATACTGCCATTAACTGACTGTTAATATAGAGAAGGAAAAAGATGTTTAGTTCCTTGCAGTTTTTGGTACTCTTTGACTTATATGCATTACTTTGTGTTCGTCGGGCATCATATTTTTGGTGTTTCTGTCTTTAGTTGGTTGACAAGCTTTCTATTTCTGCAAATGAATTACATGCAAGGGATAATTGAAGTCTTATTTCTAGTTTCGGTTAAATGCTGATGCTCCTATTGCAGGAGTCAGTCGAAACGGAGCAAAGACCATCCTTCAATGACTCAACCTTACCTTTGAGCAACGGGCAACCAAAAGAATTTTTTTTGTCAAGTGACGCTAGTGCTCTAGTGGAACACACAAAGAAGGTCTTGGTGATTGAGGATGATGAGGTTGTTCATCTCAAGGTATTTACATCATTGCTTCCCTAGTTTGTTTCTTTTTATACTTCTGTTGATGTTCATCTTGGGTTCCATTATATGAATTTATCTGGTTTGGATTCCAATGATTACCGAGTATGGTCCCTCTTGCACTCCATCTACATTTAGTAACAGGTATACTCACAGTGGTTATGGTGCAGGATGGTGGTGCATCTATTTTCAAGTTTGATCGTTCCAAAGGCAGGTGCAATGGAACATTAACAAGGCCCCCATCTGTACAACGTGCACTGTCTGTTCTGGAAATGGAGGTCGAACAAATAAATAAAGGAAAGTACAAACATTACATGCAGAAAGAAATTCACGAGCAACCAGAATCTCTTAAAACAACAATGCGAGGTCGGCTTATAAGTGGAAGATCATTTAAAGCCAAGAGTGTCCTCTTGGGAGGTATAAAAGCTCATCTGAAAACCATTAGGAGAAGTAGGCGGATAGTTTTCATTGGCTGCGGGACAAGCTATAACGCAGCTTTGGCTGCTAGGCCCATTCTAGAAGAACTTTCTGGTTGGTTCTCCCAACAATAAACATCATAAGTGGAAAAGCTACTGGTTTTAACAATACATAAATAATTTGGTGCAGGAATCCCAGTGACAATGGAAATTGCTAGTGATCTATTGGATAGGGAAGGTCCTATTTACCGCGAAGACACTGCAGTTTTTGTTAGTCAGTCTGGAGAAACAGCCGATACTTTGCAGGCTTTACATTATGCATTAGAAAATGGCGCATTATGCGTAGGCATCACAAACACTGTTGGCAGTGCCATTGCTAGGAATACACACTGCGGTGTTCATATTAACGCTGGCTGCGAGATAGGTGTCGCTAGCACCAAGGTAAATGAAATTGCATGCATATCTTATCTTTTCCTCGCCAGCCATCATATCCACCCTTGATATATAGTTTCTTGTATACGTTTCACGACAGGCTTATACAAGCCAAATTGTTGTCATGGCTATGTTGGCCCTTGCAATTGGAGACGACACAATTTCTAGTCAGGCAAGACGGGATGCTATCATAGATGGTCTATGCGCTTTGCCAAGTATGCGCTATGCAATTTCTCCCAGTACATGTGTATGATTTTCATTTTATGTCACATTGTATGACTGGATTGTTTTCTGACGAACCGCAGGTAAGGTGAAAGAGGTACTTAAGCTGGACGAGGAAATGAAAGATCTAGCCAAGTTACTGATAGCCGAACAGTCATTACTCGTGTTTGGAAGAGGATACAACTACGCAACAGCCTTGGAAGGTGCTTTGAAGGTAAAAGAAGTGTCCCTTATGCACAGTGAAGGAATACTTGCTGGTGAGATGAAGCATGGTCCCTTGGCATTAGTCGACGAAACTCTTCCAATTGTTGTCATCGCCACCCGGGATGGTTGTTTCAGGTCAGACTTCTATACCCATTTCTGCAGCAGTCTTTTTGTGCTCCTACAGCTAACCCTTAAAAAAACTGGCTTAATTCATGAACAGCAAGCAGCAATCCGTCATTCAGCAACTACATGCCAGGAAAGGGCGGCTCATAGTAATGTGTACTGAAGGCGATGCAGCATCTGTGTGTGTCGGGGGATCCAGCCGAGTAGTCGAAGTTCCTCGTGTGGAGGACTGCCTGCAACCTGTAATCAACGCCGTTCCTCTACAGGTAAGGTGTCAATCTCTCAACCTCCAGCAGAACCTTGTTGTTTCCATTCTTACAGATTTCCTACTACTGCAGCTTCTGGCGTATCATCTGACAGTCCTCCGAGGATACAACGTGGATCAGCCTAGAAATCTTGCAAAAAGCGTGACTACTCAGTGAGAAATTCGATCCATGCATGTTAATCTGCACTATTAGTATTGTCTGCTTTGGTGCTTCTAACTTTACCTGGAGCTTATTCTCATTCACCTGACCTGACCCGAACCGACCAAACCATTAATCTATCTAACTTTCACAATGTAAAATGTGTCGATCCACAGCTGTCTTGTCCAGACTCCAGACAGCGTTTGTTTTTATATTGAGCTTGGATGTCTAGACATTAACAAGCTGTCTTAACTGATCCTGTATAAACTAAAATTATCTATTGCCTAGAATTGGAATGATATATTTTGCGTATTTATCAGTGAATTCATATGAAAGTTCATAATATGATACTTGTCGACTAATAAGAAGAATAGCATGCTTACTACTACTACTGAGGCGATTATTCTCCAAGACGCTGGAATTAGCTGCGGGGAGATGAATGAATCAGGTATGCACGTTTTTAACTTATTCATCGTTTCCGGCCTTGTTGAAAGTCTATATATCTGCTCAATTATACATGCCTGCATTCTGAAGAAAATCTTGTCTAAATGCAGTTTCAATTCAACCAAGAAAATGTGTTATTTGAACATGCTTTTGTATTACAAAATGTGGACTTGAGGACATTCCCATTCCCTGCCCTCAGCGTTAGTTTAAATTGCAACCTGAATTTGGACACAAGTATTCACAATTCTGAACTGTTTGTGCAGAGCAGAGAGTAGGAAACTGCACTGCGAGCACGGAGGCAACCTTAACAAGCAAATGATGGCAGACCCTCTGTCCTTAACCAGCCATGCCCGTCGTTTACTCGCGAATCTTCTGGATTCCTAGCCATCGCACATAGTCCACCCACCTGTTGGGACAGCTTTCAGTTATGAGAAAACTACTCGGGAAAACAAGGTAAAAGTTGTCGAGCTTACATCAGTGACCCCAAGAATGTATTGCCAGTTCGCACTGCGAAGCAGACTGCGCCGAGTATCAGCTTCTTTTCGTGCAGTAAAGGTTCTAATATCCGTTGCTCGATAATTCCAGCAAGTATTTGGTACCTACGCAATACGGTATCAGTACGAAATCTTTCTTTTGTCAATGTCTAGCTGTTATATCTTTACCTTATATTGCTGGATACTCCCATGTAGGCACCGTATGCTATGCTTGTCGATAAAACAGGTACATCCTCTGCTTCGCCTGCAAATGACTTATCCACAATCTTCCGCGCCGTGATAAGCAAGTTCGTCACTCCTGTTCCGATCTGTAGATCAGACAACATCGGCAACAATGTAAGTATCTGCCTTCACGTTACTGGATGAAAACTAATGCCGGCTTACCAAGGATGCACTAGTCCCGACCACAAAGAGCTTCGCCCCGTTTCTCTGCGCAACGAGTTAGGATATTCTCAGGTTCGCTTGATCCACGGTGTATTTACTAGATGTATAAGTTTTCAAACAACTTACTACTATAGCTCCTATTCGTTGCAGGAACGAATAGGATGTCCCGGCCAGGGCAACCTGAAATGCATTGTCTGGGCAGCCGTGGAAGAACTTGCTTAAACCTCCGGCGGTCACTGCTACAGCTGGCCGGAGAGAAACCGTCGGGGCAGGCAACCATACCAGCATGAAGTCGGCAATGATGGCCATTACCACATCGGCGCAGACGAAGTCCAGTTCTTTCATGAAGTTCTCCCTTCGCTTCTCCAGCTCTGCCGCAGTCTGTAAGTATAAAACAGCATGTTTTGTGACATATGCCTAATTGTGTGTGTGTGTGTATATATATATGTATAGTTTGATACCTTGGTGAAGATCCCAACCCCACATTCAATTGCTACTTTTGTCAGGAAAAGATCGTCAGCGAGCAACCGCTCCTTGAACCCTCCGAAGCGAAGCAACCAACCGAGCACCGGCGTCTTCTCCAGCTCGAAAAACCGGCGGACGATGGCGGCCGGAATCCTCCCGGCTTCAATGGCGGCCGCCAAGTCTTTGGGAATGGTGTCCAGTGATCTGCTCGCCTCAGCCATGGCCATGATCGCCTCTGCTCTGTTTCTCTTCCCTGCATCCTCCTCCTCATCGCCGCCGCCGCCGCCGCCGCTTCCTCCACCTCCGCCACCGTCTCCTCCGCTGCCGCCTCCGGAGAAAGTGATAATCGAAGGGCGTTGACGGGAGTGTAGGTAAATAAGTTTTGGTGAGGAGGAAAATGGAAGGGTGGTTTTGCGGGAATGGTTCGTCGTCAAGAATGGGCGACGAGCGAGGGAGTCGCCGCCGCCGCCGCCGCCGCCGCGCCGTGCGGCGGTTGGGAACTTGAATTGGGGGGTGGAGATTAAGCAGACGGCGGTTGCCATTAATTTTAAATCCAGCAGTGGCTGTTCTTGAAACTCCCTCTGTGAAAGGGCGGCGCCGGAGATGGAGCGGCGGTGGCCGGCGAGGGTTGAGTGGTGGAGAAAGGGGAGGAGTTGTCTGAAGAGTGTCAGAACAGTTGACTTGGGAAAACGCAAAAAAGCAACTGATTTTGGAAACTTTGGGTAAATACTGAAAGTAAGTATCAATAATGGAATTAATCAAAATAGGAGCGATACCTTTTTTTTTTTTCTTGAATCTTTTTGGAACAAATATAAAATTAAATAAATATTTAATGAAAATTAGTCTTTACTAGAAAAGAAAATTTGAAAATTAAAGAAAGAAGGATGATAATTGCATGCCATTCTCTTTTCAATTATTACATACAATAATACGATACTTGTGGTGGTGGGTAGTAGTTATCTTATAGGAAAGATGGCTTTGTTTTCTCAATTTTCCGTCACCAAAATTTGTGGTTATTCTTCATTAGTGGCTTCTTTTCTTGACTGTACTCTTATTAGAACTTTTTTTGTTTATTTATTTTTCACTTTTATAAGGGAGTGATTAGGCCAAGTTGATACTTAAACTACACATTATTTATATGAATTGTTAGTATAAAATCAATTGTCATGTCATATATTGTCAACTTGTGCTGTTTGTTTTTATCTAATGCACTGTTATTTTTTAATTTATGTGCAATAAGCAGCACTGTATGGACAAATTACAATCAACCAATTAAAATATATTAAAAGTATATTAAAAGTAAGGGTATGTTTTTTTTTTTTTTTTGATACGTTTGAAAAACAGTTTAATTTAAATTTGTATAATGAAATATTTTGTGAGAAAAAAAATAATTTTTTTTTTTTTTTTGAAGAATGCTGAGAGTAAATAGTAGAAATTTGAAGTTTTGATACGTAAAGAAACAAACCCTAATAAATATGTGTTGATGTGATTTTATATTAAATAGATTTTAGTGTAATAAAATAAATAAAAAATGAGTGTTTAATTTGATGTTTTTGGAGGCAAAAGAAAATTGAAATAGTAAAATTATGCTTAAAATTTTAAAACAAACAGAAAATTTTTTATTTCTGGCTTGGATTGGACAGGGCAGATTCTAATTAAAATATATTAAAAGAAAAAATTGCAAATATTTTGGTATTTATTATTTATTCGTAATTTTATTTGCAATTTGGGCCATACATTTTGAGGCCCACGAAACAGTACGGCCCAGTCCAAAACGTCAAATTTTCACGGCTTCTGTTTTCACCTTTCATTTATTTTGGTTTTTGGATAGGAATATAGTAATATACAGACAGACATATATATAGAGCGCGACCATTTCTCATAGTTTATCTATCCATCAATGGCGTCTGCTGCTGCGCCTGCACCTTCTGCTCTCAGTCTCAGCTTGTCCTCGCTGCAGTTCCAGGACCTCCACCACCCTTCGGCGGCCCCGTTCTCGATTTCCTTTAGGAAGTTTGCCAGAGAGAATCCTGTCGTCTTCGCTTGCGCTAAAACTGTCTCGCTCAATCCGTTTCCTCTCCGGTCATCGGAGAATGGCCGCTCGCCAAAATCTCTTGTGGTCGCTGCTTTAGCAGCTGAGGCGGAGGTCGCGGAAGGAGAAGCCGAGCAGGAGGAAGGCGGCGGCGGCGGCGGCGGCGTCGCGGTTGCGGTTCCTCCGAAGCCTAAGAAAGGGAAGGCGGCGTTGCCTTTGAAGAGAGACAGGGTATGCGTGGGGGAGAATTGATCTCTTATCATTTCCTTTTTGTTTCCGAAGCCTGATTTGTATTTTTTAAGGCATTTTTTGTTCGAATTTTCGTTTTTCTATAGACACAAATTTTGTGCTATCATAATTTGTGCTTTTTGTTCATTTGGTTGCATCTGAAGCTTAATTTGTGTCTTCGAATGCATTTTTGGTTTGAAATTTCGTTTTTCTGTAGACATAAAATTTGTGCTAGGATAATTTGTGCTTTCTGTTCATTTGGTTGCATCTGAAGCCTGATTTACGTCTTTGAAATGCATTTTCATTTTTGGTTTGAAATTTCGTTTTTCTGTAGAGACAAAAATTGTGCTATGATAATTTGTGCCTTTGTTCATTTGGTTGCATCTGAGGCCTGATCTTCGACTACATTTTTGGCGTGAAATTTCGTTATTCCGTAGACACTTGTGGTATGATAATTTGTGTTTTTTGTTCATTTCGTTGCATCTGTGCGTCTTGATTATGCATTTCTTGCAGTACAGATAGGGCAATTTCAATTGCCCGATCTCTAGATGCTGTCGAGCAAATATTTATGGTTGTTAAATGTTAACCATTCTGCAGATTGCTGAAATTTTTTCTTGTTTGTGATTCAATCATTTTAATTTCTATTGGGTCTTTAGATTCTGTGAATCATACCGTTAAGTCTCAGTATGGGGAAGCACTATTTCCGTATTTCGGTTCAATTGGTGTTGTGTTCGTCGTTTTATCTTTTCACTTCACTGTCATATGATTTTGTTTGATGTTCTTGATTTCTTGCATTCGATTGGGGAGTGGGATTGCCTGTGTATTGTACTCTGGTTAGTTTCTAGGCTGTATTCTGGAGATCTAATGAATTTGGTAGCTCTAAGTGTTCAAATATCTCGAATTTCCACACTTCCCTTCTTTTCAACTTATTATGGGAATATTTGAATGAGATATGCCTTTCTGTTGTGATTGACAGACTAGGTCTAAGCGGTTCTTGGAAATACAAAAATTGAGAGAAAACAAAAGGGAGTATGATGTAAAGACGGCGATATCATTACTCCAGAAAACGGCAAGCACAAAGTTTGTTGAATCAGTAGAAGCTCATTTCCGCCTGAATATTGATCCGAAGTATAATGATCAACAGCTGAGAGCCACTGTGAGTGTTTTCAACCCTACCCGTCAGTCCATAAACACATTTGAAGTTGTTCATTTTCTGATCAATTCCGTTGGAATTTCATTCTGTAGGTAAATCTGCCCAAGGGCACTGGTCAAACTGTTAAGGTTGCTGTTCTTACGCAAGGTAACTCGTTTGTTTCTCCCAATTTTATGTCTTTCCCATCGGTCTTCATGTTTTTGGAATTTTTGGTTATTTTCATAGTTATCTTGAACTCGGATGATCCAATATGCCACTTGTTTTCTTCTGTAGGGGAAAAGTTCGATGAGGCAAAAAATGCAGGAGCTGATATAGTTGGGGGAGAGGACCTGATAGAACAAATTAAAGGAGGATTTATGGATTTCGATAAATTAATTGCAACTCCAGATATGATGCCAAAGGTACTAATTAACTTATCCTTTTATCAACTAGGAATCGATCAAGTTTGTTCTGCTAGTCATTGCTACCATGCCTAAGGAGAAACTTATAATTCAATACAATACATTAGAACCTGGACATCAGTTGTCACTAAGATATGTTTCAGTTAATTGCACTTCTGTTTTTGTTTTTCTACATCCCAATCCTCGCCCTCTTTATGGTTTTATTTACAATTCCAGGAGCATATTATCTTACCTGTCTTTTTTTTTTTTAACACGGTTTATTTCTTGCAAAAGCTGTAGATCTCAAGTTTTCTCCTCTGTATTTGTCTTCATGATCAGGTGTTTTCTGTACGCAGCTAGTGGAATCCAAACATTTTAATTTTTTAAAAGTTATGTAATTTTGTCTACTCTTATGCCTCGTCAATTTTTCCAAACAATCCTTTCTATAACGCTGATTTTGTGCGGTCATCGTCCCATTATGTACTTAATTCTCTTTTTTAATTCATCAGGTTGCGAGTCTTGGCAAAATTTTAGGACCAAGAGGACTAATGCCAAATCCGAAAGGTGGTACGGTGACAACAAACTTACCACAGGTACAGTTTATAATCTTTCGAAAGTTGAGTTTTGTAATAGTAAAGATTTGATATTTAATGTGATGTTTTGTGGGAGGAAAAAAATAAGTATTTGAAGTGATTTTTATTTTTGAAAAAGTTATGAATAGTTCCAAAAACTGTATTTAGTTTGAGCTTTTGGACTATTTGAATGTTTTCTGATTTGAACTTTTTTTGTCTTGATTGAATCCTAAGTATCGGATATGATGTTTACTTTTTCTATTTTCAAAATAATCGAATGAATAGTAAAAGAAATGAAATGAAATCTATTCTTACTAGTATGTGACTCATTGTAGAAATTTATAGTCAATCACTTTGGAAGATTTTCGAATATTACATTGAACAAAATTCAATCTCAGGCCATTGGAGAATTCAAGAAAGGAAAAGTCGAGTACCGTGCCGACAAAACTGGAATCGTCCACTTACCTTTTGGGAAGGTCGATTTCTCCGAGGAAGATCTCATCGCGAATTTCCTCGCTGCAGTGGTGAGTTAAGAGTCACATACACTTTCCATATCCTCTACCGAACACATTCTCATACACATATACATTCGAGTCGAGCATCTATCTGACTTGTTCCCGTCAAAAACTTCAGAAATCAGTGGAAACAAACAAGCCATCGGGGGCGAAGGGAGTGTACTGGAAGAGCGCCCACATATGCACATCGATGGGGCCTTCCGTTCGGATAAACATCCGGGAAATGCTTGAGTACAAGCTTCCGTGATTCATTCCCTTGTCCATATGAACCATAACCTACCGGAAATGAAATCACGGCACGGGTGCAGAGTTTACGGCCCTTTTTGTTCATCGTCTCCATCGTTGGATCGAAAGCTGAAGCTCCAGTGGAAGCCTGAATATGTGTTTGATGAAATATACTGTTGTGAATCTCTAACTGTTGTTTATCCTGCATATTCTTGAGCCTCCTTTGTTGCCATCTCTGTAGTCTCATTCCAATTTTCTTTAGCAGATTTGTCATTCTACGAGTAAATTATGTATGTATGGTTCTGAAGAATTTTTTCATTGTCATATTTATTGGACAAAATCTAAAATTGGATGTAATTGAACATCCCAGCGTTTGTAGTCCAACGGTTAGGATAATTGCCTTCCAAGCAATAGACCCGGGTTCGACTCCCGGCAAACGCACTTCATTTAATTTTTTTTTTTTTTTTTTTTAAATTTTTATTATTATTATTTATTTATTATATATATTTTTCCTCTCATGCCATCCGCCATAGCCACCAAAACTTCACCAAAAAATCACTTGCACGCTGCAAGCATGGCCTTATTTATAAAGGCAATAGAAGATCTCTACAAGCATCAATGGAGTCGAAGAAGAGTCGAGAAGGAAATACCGTGTGCGTAACTGGAGCATCCGGTTTCATCGCCTCATGGCTCGTCAAGCTTCTTCTGGAGCGCGGCCACACTGTTAAGGCCAGCGTCCGCAACCTCAGTCGGTTTCTTCACTTTATACCTCTTCTCAGCCGATTTCTGTTTTTCCTTACTACTGATCATTTCAATGTCTCGAATCTATACATACATAGGCGATTCGAGGAAAACCGAGCATCTCAAGGCACTCCGAGGAGCTGAGGAAAGGCTACGGTTGTTCGAGGCTAACTTGACCGAGGAAGGATCGTTCGACTCAGTAGTCGATGGCTGCGACGGCGTATTCCATACAGCTTCCCCTGTCCCTTCCTCCGCTGCCATTGCCGATCCGCAACTGGAGCTGATAGAGCCGGCGGTTAATGGAACTCTCAATGTCCTTAGATCGTGCAGCAGAGCGCGGTCAGTCCGGCGGGTGGTGCTGACCTCCTCCTTGGCGGCGATGGTGGTTAACCGGCTTCCGAAAGGCGGAGATGTTGTTGTGGATGAAACCTGGTTTTCTGATGCTGAATTCTGCAGAGAAGCTGAGGTAGTTTTGTGATTTTCACATTCAAGCTCGAGTTTGAGTTCGAGGTTGAAATCGAGCTTAACGAACCGAGTTCGAGCCATTACTTTTGCTCGAATCTTGTCGAACTGATTACAGTGAGAATTGGTGGTGTTGCCGTTGCAGCAATGGTATCCTCTTTCGAAAACCATGGCGGAGGAAGCTGCGCGGAAATTTGCAGACGAGAAGGGGATCGATATGGTGGTGATTAATCCGGCGTTGGTGCTCGGTCCTCTTCTCCAGCCGTCTCTCAACTCTACCTCCGGCGTTGTTCTGCAAATCATCGCAGGTAGTCGACGCACTACTACATACATACATATTAACCCTAATTTCTCGAAAATATCATCAGCTGATGAATCGGAGCTTCCGAAATTGAATCCACAGGGAAGGAGATCTTCCCAACCTACCGATTCGTGGACGTTAGAGACGTCGCTACCGCGCATATTCTGGCGTACGAAAATCCGTCTGCCACCGGAAGATACGCTCTCGTCGGAGCAACGATGACTCACTCCGACACGCTCAAACTCCTGCACAACCTGTTTCCTTCGATTAAAGCTCCTCCTCCAGTGTACGTATATATATATTATAAACAGGTAATCCTCCATAGATTGATACAAATTAAACGGTAAGGATGTGCAGTGATACAGAGGATTCAGCTTACCAAACGTCGAGGAAGAGAGCAGAAAGGTTGGGATTGAAATTCAGAGCTGTGGAAGACAGCCTCAAGGAAACTGTCGAAAGCTTGACTGAGAAGAACTTCCTCACTTTATGAAACGGCATCGTCTCTGTATCATTTTCACCGCCCAAATGTTATTATTATTATTATTATCACGTATCGGAACAATTGATTTGGTTAGTGACACTACGGTTTTTAAAGTAATAAAATTTAATAAATTAATAATATTAAATTAAATATATATATATATTTTTTATATAAGTTATGTTATTGATATTTTTTAAACAAGAATTAATATATTGTTAAAATAATAAAATATGAATATTTTTTTGTAAAAAGTAATATTTTATATAATATAATTAAATAAAAATATTTATTTATTATTAATATAAATTAATTTTCTGAAAAGCAAATAATTTTATATTTAAATAAAATATTTTTTTTAGTGAGAAGATGAATAAATATAAATGTATAATGGGTGATTTGTACGTATAAGATATTAAAAAATTAATTTAATTAATTTATATATACAAAGTATATTTAAAAATAATAATATATGAAAATATAAATATATTATGAAATAGAATAAAATAAAAAAAATGTAATCTGCTATCAAATTGATCGTGTATTATTTATCAGGGTGTTGGAGTATTCCTTTCGTCCATTAAAATTAATTGAGTTTGACACGGAGATTAAAATAAATAAATATTATATTTAAAAAGTGATAGATAATTAAAAATATCTTTGAAAATTTAACTAAAAATCAAAGTAAATAAATAGAAAATGTAATAAAATTAATAGCGTTTGTTGTAAATAAGTGTTAAATGAATGATAATAATAAAATATTGAATTATTAATTTTGTTAAAATTAGTAATGTGATAAATTTAGCAAAAATTAAAATAAATAAATAAATAAATAAATTTGGCCGCAAGAAGATATTATTTAATAATATCTGATTATAATTTTTATTTTTGTTAATAAATTGTAAGTTAAAAAAAATGCAATAATATTTAATCATTGATGATACATATATAAAACAATTCACGTGGTCATAATTTTGGACATAAAATTAATAAATATTTTTAATATTATTTTTGTATGTTTATAAATATATAATGGAAATTTTTATGGGACCAAATACCAGGGAGTGTTTCTTTGTGAGATTTTAATTTTGGATTTTGATTTTGAATAATAAAATTTTGAATTGACATAGATGTTTGATGTGATATAAATATGTATTGATGTGATATTTTGAATGTAAAATTATATTTTAGTGTAATAAAATAAATGATAGAATAGGTGTTTAATTTGATTTTTTTAGAAGAAAAAAAAAATGAAATAGTAAAATCAGGTGTAAAATATGATAAGTAAACACACCCAACTTATTTATTTTTATTATTTTATTACATTATACTTTTTTAATTGAAGTACGAATAATGATAGAAATAATATTTACTTATAAACATATGAAAAAGCAGTTACAAATTTAAATCAAAAAAGAAAAAATATACTACTATCTTCGTCCGGTTCTAAGAGTCTCATTTACTTTTTGCGTGTTAATATTTAAATATTAAATATTATATAAAAACGTAGTACAAATTAACAAAAAATTTCAAAAATACTTTTATTAGTGTCTTATAATACTAATAGAATGATATTTGTAAAAAAAAATAAATTATTATATAAATATAAAGATTTTTTTTTTTTTATGTTAAATACAATAACACAAAAGATAAAATTTGACCCTTAGAGACGGACGAAAAAACTATATACTTTTATGGGTATTTATATATACATAAATATCCATATTAAAACATTTGCCAACTCGGCCTAAATTATACTTCCTTCCCTCTCTACCGTTCCCATTCTAAATGTATTTTTTGAGTTTTATAGTAAATTAATATTTTATCTATCATATAATTAAGTATCCGTTTGCTTTTTGCATGTAATTTTAGAAACATTAGTATTATATTATGATATAGTAGAAATAAAATAGAAATAACTAAAATAATCTTATTAGTATTGTGTGATATAAAGATAATGTCATTTGTGTAATATATTGTAAGTTGTAAGAGTATTTGTAGTGTTAGGTAGATAGTACAATTACTTAAAAAAAAATGGATACTTTGTTATGGGACAGACTAAAATGAAAAAATAGATAGTTTGTTATGAGACGGATGAAGTAATATTTTTTTTATTAATGAAAATATATAAGATATTTTGATAATATTTTTTTATTCTATATATAAAGTAATTATATATAATATTATATTTGTAATTTAAATAAAAATTAAATATATTTTGATGTTAGTGTATAAAAATTAATTTTGACTTGATACTTAGGGTGTGTTTGTTTGAAGGATTTTGGAGGATTTACACTATTCATCCAATTTTTTCCCCCCAAAAACATCAAATCAAACACCTATTTTTCATTTTTTATATTATACTAAAAATCAATTTTACATTCAAAACATCACATCAAACCCTATTTATATCACATCATACAACTATTCAAATTCAAAATTTTTACTATTCAAATCCCAATCCAAAATCCAAACCCCCAAACAAACACACCCTTAGAGAATAGACTATTACTTTAGATGATAGATTTATTCAAAACGTATTCAAAATAAAATCATATCATAAATAATAATAATAAAGTAAAACTTTTTTAAAAATTAAGGGTTAAAATTAATAGTTATTGTTAAATATATAATATTTTTATATAATAATTATTTGAATAAATTAAAATATTTAATACGATCAATTTTTAATATTCTAAATATTGAAAATTGATAAATTTTATCTATTAAATATAAATATTGCAATGATATCTGTATACTATCTCCGTCCAATTGAAATATTACTATTTTTCATTTTCGTCCGTCCCAAAACAGGTTACTATTTCCTAATTTAATAATTGTATTATCTATTTAACATAATAAATACTATTTCAACTTACAATATACTCCCTCCGTCCCCAATCTATCTATCCATTTTGTTTATGCACGGGATTTTAGAAATATTAGTATTATATTGGGATATAGTAAAAATAAAGGTAAAAAGACTAAATTAACCCTATTAGTATTGTATGATATAAAGGTAAAACATTTGTGTAATAATATATTGTAAATTAGAAGGGTATTTGTAATGTTAGGTAGATAGTACAATTACTAAAAAAGGAAACGGATACTTTGTTATGGGACAGACCAAAATGGAAAAATGGATAGATTGTTAAGGGACGGAGGGAGTATTACACAAATATCATTACTTTTACATTACACCATACTAATAGGGGTATTTTTGTTTTTTTTACTACAATCCAATATAATACTAATATCCAAAAATCTATGTGCAAAAAACAAATGTCACCCTTCAAACGGGACGGAGGGAGTATAATATTCGTAATGTCTATTCATATTTTTAGAAATAATTTTTTAAAATCATAATTTAGTTGAAAATTGTGTTGGTAAAAATTTATGAGGTTGCCAAAGTCAAATTTTATTAAGGCCATCCACAACACAGAAACCCATCCAGGGTTTCTTCCCATTCTCTCTCCTGTGCCACGTCAGTTTTTCTCTCCGCCACGTCACGAAGAACTCCAACTATATTTTACATTCACATCAAAGAACCCTTTAAAATCTTTACTTTTTCCACCTCATTAAATATTTTATCTATTTATAAAATAAACTTATATTTTTTCATTATATTTTATTCTTATAATATTTAATTAAAATAAAATAATTATTTAGCATAAATAAATAAAATAAATAAAAATAATAATTCCACACCCACATACTAATTAAAAATTCAAACTTAAATTTAATAAAAAATACATAATATTACAATATATTTTTCAAATAAATTAATCAGTCGATTGACCAAATTTCTCCCAAATGTGTTCAACTAAATCCGCTTTGAGCTGGTGGTGTGTTTCTCTAGCTCGGAGTCGCATTCTGTTCCGTAGGTATTGATCCATAGTTGCATGTCTCGTATTGTTGTATGACCAATTCGAGTTATCATTTGTCTCCACTTGATCATATTGAGATGTATCGTAATAGATATAATTGAATTAATAGATATTTAATTAAATATTTTACAAAAATATGCATTAAAAAGTTACATAAAATATAAAAATATTATATTAAAAATTATAGTTATTAACAATATTATTTTAATAAAAAAATAAATATTAAATAAAACTCATATAATAAAATTTAAATCTAATATTTTAATAAAACAAATTATTATAAATATAAATAAAAAAGTATATATTATAAATATTATTTTTAATATTTATTGAATAAAAAAGTGGACCATGGCCCACAAAAATTGGAAGAAACGGTACACTCGCAATGTACCGTTCCTTATGTTAATTGGTGTTTTAATTTTTTTTTTATTTAATAAATGATGACGTGGGAGGCGCTTCTCAACAAGCGTCTCCCGTTGTGGATGCCCTAAGTTGACACTATCATTTAAGTATAATTAAATTATAAAATACCTTCTTCGGTCAGATAATTATGCCATATTTTTTAATCCGTTGAACTTAATTATATATATTTTATTGATAATAATAAAAAAAATATCCAACAATAATTTTATTATGCTTATTTTAACAAATAACAACAAATTTGCCACTATTTTTCTATTTACCCCACCATAATATCATCAATTTACTTTTTAGCTATCTCATTTTTTTTCACTAATTATACTTTTATTTTTTAGTCTTTATGTCCGGACAATATGACATAAAAAGTCCGGATAAAATGAGTAAAAAATAATACAAAATTTACTTGTTTATGCTATATTGAACAATATATATCAACTAATTTAAATATCATTATCGAAACTTTGGTTTATCATCTTCTCGATATATTTATCTTTCTAATATTATATATATATTTTTTAAAAAAATACTTAACACGTGCATAAGTTCATATTTTTATACATTTATAATTTTTGTTAAATAAATTTATTTTTCATTATAAATATAAATTGATGAATAATTAAAAATAAAAAAATTAATTATTTAAAAGAGTTAAAAATTATAGAACACGCAATTGGTCCAAAAAGTAAACAATATAAAATTTATTATAGTATTTTGTATTATAAGAAAATAGTTGAGTTTGTTTGGTTTTTATTTAAAATTAAATTTTTCTTTAAATTTTGGTTTAAATAGAATTTCGATTTGATATTTTTGAGAAAACAATAGTCTAAATATTATTCTTACCATCCTAGTCATATGTATCATTTTATTATTCTTTTTATTTATATCTATTTCATATTTCATGTCACTTTTATTTTTTTTAAAAAAAATTACACACTTTAAGCACATTTTAAATTTTATAATTTATATTATTTTTTATTTTAATTAGGTCATTGTATTATATTAATCTTTATTTATAATTATCTGCATTGCCGTAATTAATTTTTTATTAATATACTTTTTATTATTTATAAGTTATACTCCTAAATTTTCGTATGCATTGTAACCGTGACTCTATATTCGAGAAGGAGAGAGTATTAAAATATAATTTAAAATTTTTTAAAAAATATCAAATGATATATTTATTTTTATATAATATACTGTATGTTATTTCATAAAATTTTTATTTATATTTATTTAAATTATAATGCTATAATAATTAATAAATATTTTTATTATTCTTATTTTAAATATAATTATTTATTATATGTTACATAAATTCTCTCAAAATTTAGATTGTATTTTCTTTGATTTTTTTATACATATTTTTATAATTTATTAGATATATTTATTATTATAATATTATCTATACAATTTTTAAAATTTCAAAATAGTGCATATTTCTTCAAATTTATCATTGGAATAAATTACAATATTGATATCATATAATTAAAATAAAAATTAAATTATTTAGTATAATTTTGTTTACTTATATTTTTTAATGTATGTACTTTTTGTATTAGGAATAAAAATTATATTGATAATATAAAAAATAATATTGTATTATTTATTTTTTATGTAGATTTATTTTTTATTTTGAATATGTTATGTGCTCTTTTTTTTTACAAAATTAAATATGGATTTCATATATAATGATAATATTTTACCCTAATTAGTTTATTACATTTAACTTTATTACTGCCGGAGTTTCAAGATGAAGATGAAGTGGTGTCGTCCACTTTTCAAAGAAAAAATTCAAAATTTTATTAAAATTTTTGATCATATTACAAATTATATATTATACTATTTTCATCCGGCAATATGATATAGCTTTGTTTAGGCATTGAAATTATTACGCACAAAAAATAATAATAATAATAATAATAATAAGGTATCCAGAGTCAGTCGGTGGGTTCTCAGTCGGTTGGTTCTCAATCAGATAAGCAAGTCAGATGGTCCGCGGTCGGGCAAGCAGGTCGGATTATCCGCAGTCGGATAAATGGGTCGGTTGATACAAAGGTTGGCTGCTATGGGGGTCGGTCGAAAAAGGAAGTCGGGCGAAGAAAGGTCTGTTGATAGGTCAGACGATTGAAGAGACCAAATAGTGGTCGTTTGATGGGGCGACCAGTGAGTCTTTTGATCTGGCGACCAATTATGTATCTAGATTGGTCGGTTGGTCGGTCGTTGGGTTATGTGGTTGGCGAGGCGGTTAAAGACATGTGTCAATGAAAGAGGCAGTTCTGAGTTCTGTAACTGGTGGGAACGGTTGGTGAAACAGTGCGACGGTTCTGAACGTTTTCTTCAAAGAATATTTAAGGATTTGGATCATCATTTGGCAAGGCATCTTCAATCAACTTCAACAAAGCAAAGTCAGATTTGGGGATCACCACTTTAAATTTCAGTATTTTATTTTCCAGTTTATTTTCTGTACCATACAGTGTTTAGAGATTCCTAATCTCAGGCACTAATTAATCAAGTTTAAGGATATTTTCTATATCTTTGAATTTTACTTTATTTTTGTTGAAAAATTACATCAACAGAAATTAAAAAAAATAATAATATATCAATATTAAAGTAATGTATGTAAAAAATAAAGTGAGTATACTATGATAAATTATTAAAATGGTTGATAAAAAAAAATTGGAATAAATAAAAATAATAGTAACAACTTGATTTCTATTTGTTAAATTAGGAGCAATAAAATTGTAGTAGGATAAAGTTGTTTATTATAAATAAATTATATATAAATTTAATGGAAAAAAAAATGAACGGTGACATAATTTTGAACAGATGAAGTATTATGTTTTAATAGTATTATTATTGTATTTGATATTCTTTTGTATGTCAAATTTTAAATTAAATAATTATTGAATTTGATATAAATAAAATGCGATATTTTTAAATGAAAAAAAAAGTAATATTTTCTAGGATAAAAATATAAAATTTGTATTTAAAAAAATAAATAATAATTATTAGACATTTTAAATAAAAAAATAAAATATTAATTTGTGGACGGAGGAGTATTATATATAAAATCAAATATAAATAAATATATAATGAATAATAAAAATGGCCGTCGCTTTTCCCCTTCCTCTCCCCGCTCGGCCCTCCTCCAATCATTTTTTTATTAATTATTATTTTAAGTAGTGGGACCCACCAAAAATATTTAGAAAAGAAAAAAGAAAATCACAAAACCACGGTATGGCATTACGTCTCCAAATATAAATATTATTATAGGATACGATACGATTCGATATGGATATATAATCATGTCATAAATAATAGTTCATCCTCTTGGACGTCCTAAATAAGTTACAATATTTACTTTTGACACGAATTTTTAGGTGAATAATATTAAATATGATAGGTTAAAAATTAGGTGATATGACGGAGAGAGAAATATATATTTTATTTTTTTATTATAATTAATTATTTCATTCTTTAAAAATATTGCAAATGTTCTAATGTTTGAGAACGGATGAGTAGTAATAATAATTTAAAATAATATTTTAAAAAAAGGATGGAATCACCAGCTCCTCCACATGCACGTATACTGGGTGTATATATACACATGCATACAGTGACAAAAGTGCGAGGGGGGCAAAATTTATTTATTTTTTTAATTTTTTTTATTTCTAGTACATTTTGGAAAAAAAAATAAAATAAATATTTTAGAAAAAAATTCAATAAAATTACATAAAATTTAATGTTAAAAAATAAAATTTAAAGAATAAAAGTATAAATTTAAATAAAATTTTTTTGATTTTTTACATTACAAAATAAAAAATTAGATATTTTGAGAACCAAGGGAGCCGATCCCCTTTGACATGTGTAGTTCTGTCTTTGTATATATGTATATATATTAATGTAAGGGGGTTGGGGAGGAGGCATGGGAGGGGGGAGGAGAGGAGAGCTGGTGATTCCCTTGAATTTAAAAATATATATATTAACCAAAAATGACAACAAAATCAAAACTGAGGTTGATATCTTCTTATTTAATGGTGATTGGTGATTGCTGGCTGCCGCTCATCTGCAACTTCGAAAAAGTGGCAGAGCAGAGTGAGTAGCCTCAGCCGGACAGGGAGATGAGTGGAGTCGGGATGTCGGTGTGCGTTACTGGAGGATCAGGATACCTCGGATCGTGGCTCGTCAAGCTGCTGCTGGAGCGTGGTTATACTGTTAAAGCTACTGTTCTGGATCTCGGTCAGTTTTTCATTTTGAATTGGCTTCTTCAGTAGGTTCAATGGACGAATTTGTGTTGATGTGTGTTTATTGATTGGCTATTTGCTGGATAATTAGAATTGTGGTTTTTGAAAGCGATTTGGAAATGTGGAACAATCGATCTAAGTTCTGTCGGTTTCACTAGTGTAAATGTAATCGATAAAAACTATGGATAGGATGGAAGTGAAGGATCAATCGACATCGGTGGGAAAATCTGTCGGTTTGTATGCATCTCTGTGGTATAAACACGTATTTCATTGAGATTTGGTTTCTGTGGTTAACGCTTAACTCGTATCTCTTCTGCATTTAGAAGTATACATTCCATCGATATTGATTGATAAAGGCTTTGTTGCTTGCACTGCAAGCTGTATTTCTGTAAATAAGTATAGCCTTGCTGGCTGAAACCTAAGGTTGCTTGTGGTAACAATGATTTTCAGGATCTGTGGTAGTGTTAGGAGCTCATAAACATATTTTTAGCTATTACTAATTCACGCAGAGCAATGCAGGCGATTCGAGCAACACTGACCACCTGAAGGCACTCGAAGGAGCTGACGAAAGACTACAGTTGTTCGAAGCCAACTTAACTGACGAAGGATCGTTCGATTCAGCAGTTGCTGGTTGTGATGGCGTATTTCATACAGCATCACCTTGCTTCCTTTCATGTGCTGACCCACTGGTTTGCAATCTAAATTCTTCTCTGTCGTAACTCATGTGTTCTTCATTTCTCCGATCCTCTTTCAAACATATGCATTGATCTTAGGTGGAGTTGATAGAACCAGCAGTCGGAGGAACGCTCAATGTTCTCGAATCCTGCAGCAAAGTAGCATCTATTAGACGAGTGGTGTTCACATCCTCCATAGCTGCACTTACAACCAACCGAAAACCCAAAGGCGCTGGCGTGCTAGTCGATGAAACTTGGTTTGCAGATCCAGAGTACTGCAAAGAGACTAAGGTTTTGTTCTCTAATTTTCAAGTCATATATCTGTTATCTGAGCAAAATTTATACATGTGTTGTTTCATTACTTATTGTGCTTAAAATGTTTCCAGCAATGGTACGTTCTTTCGAAAACCATGGCAGAGGCAGCTTCATGGAAATTCTCCCGGGAAAATGGCATCGACTTAGTCGTACTGCATCCAGGCTTCATAATTGGCCCTCACCTCCAGCCAACTCCCAATCTCTCATCCCAATTTTTTATCGATCTCATCAAAGGTAGCCTAGCATTGCTGCCTGAAGTTATTTTCATCGATGCATTACCATACTCAATTTCTCTGCAAATAAGCTGCAATGGTTGCATCATAAGACAGGGCATGGTCAGTTTCCAGAGTATCGATGCGTTGATGTTCGAGACCTTGCATATGCACATATCGCCGCATTTGAAAATCCTTTGGCTAGCGGCAGGTACCCTGTGGTCGGGGAAGTGATAATGCATTCCGAAATAATGGAATTATTCCACGGCCTTTATCCTTCGATCGCGGCTCCTTCGAGGTATGCTGCCGATGTATTTTACGAGTCTATGTTGAGATTTTGTGCATTGAATTAGTTGATTTTGTATGATGGATGCAGTGGCTTGGAGAATAGCAACAACACTTATGAGGTGTCCCAGAAGAGAGCTAAAAGTTTGGGCATAAGTTTCACACCATTGGAGGTGAGCTTGAAAGATACTGTCGAAAGTTTGAAGGAGAAGAAGTTTCTCACTCTATAAGCAAATTCATGTTTTGGAGCAATTCAGCTATGTTTCTCTTATGCTGCAAGTTTGTGCCATTTAAGTTTATGAATTATCATTGATATGTTTACTTTGAATTAAGCTTTTATTTAGACAGTTTTTGGAAGTTTGGAAATTTGGAAAAAATAAAATGTTAGTATTTGATTTGATATTTTATTGAGAAAAAACATTGTATTTGATATGGTATTTTTTTAAAAATGAATAATAACGAAAGTATGTTGTGTAAAAAGAGTTTTATGTCTCCTAATGTTGTATTTATGTTTTGAATTATTAAAATTGCTATTACTCTCCAATTTGTTGGTATATTAATTTTTGTAATTATTCTTATTTATCTACTGAAAATAGAAATGGAATATGTTGGCAAAAAAACATGCACGCGCCTCCCTCTCTTCTTTATGTGAATTTTAGACCGAATCTTTTATTCTATTAACACACTCTATCCTTCTATCTCTATATACATATAATATATATACACACACTGTCTATATATACACATTGTGCGTATAGAGATAGGATGGATAGAGTTTATTTTTGAGACGGACAATCCTATGGGTATGAATTTGTGGAAAAGACAAAAATAAAAATAAAAAATAGCACAGTAATAGCCAAAGCAATAAATTAAATTGAGTAAATTGTATTTTTAATCCTAAACTCTTATCCTTTTAGAACCCTAGATGAAAACGGTCTAAACACAGTATGAAAATAGTTCGTAAGTAAATTTTTTTTCTCACATGCTACATCAGCAATACATGAATTATTATTATTATTATTATTATTATTGAAAATAAGAAATATGTAACTACTACTCCCTCAGCTAAATTGTCATGTTTAGACTAGACACAGAGTTTTAGGTATTGTGTAATTAGTAAGTAATTAAGAAATATATTAGTAAAAATAATTATGATTTAATAAAAATAATAATAGATTAAAATTAAGATGACTAAATAGTTTAATTAAAATTAAAAAAATTATAAATTTTTAAATGTGATTAAAATGTATAATTGTATTTAAGAAAAAAAGCTAATCGGATTGGATGAAAGAAAAATAGAAATATGAGATAAGTTAAGCTGTACGGATAAGTATCAAATAGATGGTGTATTATTTATGAAGTTGATGGAGTGAAATTTTATTATTTAGAGTATCTCCAATGCTATCCGTGTTGCTATTTTTTTTGTGTTTGTATATTAATTCTTTTATTTATTTTTTAGTTTTTATTATTATTTTTTAAAAAATAATATTAATTGTAAATATAAAAAATATTTTAAAATAATAAATAAAATAAATATTTTAGAATTATTATTTTTAAAGTAAAATTTAGAATTATAATTGCAACTGCAATTTTTTAAGTTAAGACTGTATATTTAAAAATAATACATGCGGTCATAATTTTGGACACAAAAATTAATTAAAATAGTATTTTAAGATTATTTTTGTATTTTTATAAATATATAATTGAAATTTTTATAGACCAAATAACATACTTTTTTTTAATAAAAGTAGGATGAATGATAAAAATAATATTTACTTTATAAATACATGAAAAAATAGTAAATACAAATTTTTTTTAAAAAAAATACTTTTATAGAGCAGCAAGTATATATAAACATCCAGATTAAAAAATTTACCAGTCTCGGCCTAGTGGCTGTTACCTTACTGATTAACAACTATCAACACGGTACTGATTAATTATTATCTGTTAAATTACATTTAATTCAATAGTTAATATTAAATTGAAGGGCAAATATGTAATTTTGTCAGTTACCTTCTTTTTCCTTTATATTTTTTTGTGCGGCTGTCTTATTCTTTAATATCTCCTTTTCTCTCTGCTGCAATATTTTTTCAATTTCTTCTCATCTAATACATATAATTAATTTATTATATATATATTTTTTATATTTTTCACATGCAGAAAAAAATAAATAGATGAATAAAATAAACATAAAAAATTGAAAGCCATGAGATGGAAGATGATTTAAGTAATTATACATGTAAAACAAATGAATGATATGAACAGAAAGAGAAATTTAAATATTTTTATTAGGTCATTCTATAATTAATATTGTATTTTTGGTGATATAATTATTATGCTATTGCGATATAATTATTTTACTTATAATGATTGTGTTATCGTGATATAATAATTGTGTTTTGATAAATAATAATTGAGCTCTTATGATAGAATAATTGTGCTCTGATCATATGATCTTGTGATATAATGATTGTGCTTTCATAACATAATAATTGTGGCGCCGCATAGATACAAGTGTCATGAGTTCGTATAAAAAATATATTTTACATTCGGAGCAAACGCATGCATTTTTATTTTTATTTTTTTTTTATTGTGCTTTTTTCTAAATTATTATTGTGCTATTTTGAAATTATTATTGTACTTTTTAAAAAAATAATTATATTTTTCATAATTTTTAGTATTAATATTTGTGTGTCTACGAATATGGTTTAAGCCATTGATTGTAAATTATGACAAGCTTGGAATCAATTTTTTTTTGTATTTATGAACGTAGTTTTATAAATAAAATTATTATTTTTAGTTTATTATAAAAAAATTAAATATAATTTAGTTAAGAGCACAAATGTTAAATACTGAAAGCATCTGATACAATAATAAAAAATACTTCAATATTATGTTTATAGATAGGCTGATATTGTGCTAGTTTAGAGCAACGCCTTTGCTATCCTCACTGTTAATTTTTTTTTTTTTTTTTTTTTTTCCCAATGTACAGATTAATTAATAAAAGTGTATAACAAAATTATTAAATTAATTTTATTTATTATTCACTATTAGATATTAAATTATAAAAAATCTAATGGTGTAACACCAACGCCTTCGATAATAAATTTATAGAAAATCGTATTCAAACTAAAATCATGTCATGACTAATAATAATAAAAATTATTTTTTTTTTGAAAAAAAAATTCTTTATAAAAGGAAAAAAAAACTTAATATTTTCACGCACATTTTCTTTTCTAATTTGACGAGGGACTATTAACAAAAAATGAGGCTGTTATCTTCTTATTTATTGGTGATGTATGGCTACCGCTCGTCTGCAACTTCGAAACAGTGTCGGAGCAGAGCAGAGCAGAGTGGATAGCCGTAGCCGGAGAGGGAGATGAGTGGAGTCGGGATATCGGTGTGCGTTACTGGAGCATCGGGATACTTCGCATCCTGGCTCGTCAAGCTGCTGCTGGAGCGTGGCTATACTGTTAAAGCTACTGTTCGGAATCTCGGTCAGTTTTTCATTTTAATTTCGCTTCTTCAGTAGGTTCAAGTGGACGAATTTGTGTTTATTGATTGGCTATTTGCTGGATAATTTGTGAACTGTGGTTTTTGTAAGCGATTGGAAATGTCGAACAATCGATCTAAGTTCTGTTGGTTTCAGTGGTGAAAATGTAATCGATCAAAACCATGGATAGGATCGTAATTCGTAAGAGAAGGATCAATTGACATCGATGGAAAAATCTGTCGGTTTGTATGCATCTCTGTGGTATAAACACGTAGTTCATTGAGATTTGGTTTTTGTGGTTAACGTTTAACTCGTATCTCTTCTGCATTTAGAAGTATATAATCCATGGATATTGATTGATAAAGGCTTTGTTGCTTGTATTGCAAGTTGTATTTCTGTAAATGAGTCTATCCTTGCTATGAAATACTTCGATTGTTAAAGATGGCTGAAACCTAAGGTTGCTTGTGGTAACAATGATTTTCATTGCAACTTGACTTTGATATCAGGATCAGTGGTAGTGTTAGGAGCTCATAAACATTTCTTCAGCTATAACTAATTCACGCAGAGCATTGCAGGCGATTCGAGCAAAATTGACCACCTGAAGGAACTCGAAGGAGCTGACGAAAGACTACAGTTGTTCGAAGCCAGCTTAACTGAAGAAGGATCGTTCGATTCAGCATTTGCTGGTTGTGATGGCGTATTTCATACAGCATCACCTTGCTTCTTTTCATGTGCTGATCCACAGGTTTGCAATCTGATTTCTGCTCTGTCGTAACTCATGTGTTCTTCATTTCTCCTCTTTCAAACATATGCATTGATCTTAGGCGGAGTTGATAGAACCAGCAGTCGAAGGAACGCTCAATGTTCTAAAATCCTGCAGCAAAGTAGCATCCATTAGACGAGTGGTGTTGACATCCTCCATAGCTGCACTTACAACCAACCGAAAACCCAAAGGCGCTGGCGTGCTAGTCGACGAAGCTTGGTTTTCAGATCCGGAATACTGCAAAGAGATCAAGGTTTTGGTCTTTAATTTTCGAGTCATATGCGTTTTATCTGAGCAAAATTTATAGTTATCTTGATGCTTCCAGCAATGGTACGTTCTTTCGAAAACCATGGCGGAGGCAGCTTCATGGAAATTCGCCGAAGAAAATGGCATCGACTTAGTCGTACTGCATCCAGGCTTCATAATTGGCCCTCTCCTCCAGCCAACTCTCAATTTCTCGTCCCAACTTTTTATCGATCTCATCAAAGGTAGCCTAGCATTGCTGAATTCATCGATGCATTACTATACTCGATTTTTAAGCTGCAATGATTGAATCATAAGACAGGGCATGGTGAGTTTCCAGAGTATCGATGTGTTGATGTTCGAGATGCTGCATATGCACATGTCGCCGCATTTGAGAATCCTTCGGCTAGCGGCAGATACCCTCTGGTCAGAGAAGGGTTAACACATTCCGAAATGATGGAATTACTCCATAAGCTTTATCCTTCGATCACGGCTCCTTCGAGGTATGCTTGCCGACGAATCTATGTTGAGATTTTGTGCATTGAAACGGTTGATTTTGTACGATGGATGATGCAGTGGCTCGGAGAATAGCAACGACAGTTTTGAGGTGTCGAAGAAGAGAGCAGAAAGTTTGGGCGTAAGTTTTACACCATTGGAGGCGAGCTTGAAAGATACTGTTGAAAGTTTGAAGGAGAAGAAGTTTCTTACTCTATAATTATTGACATGTTTACTTTGAATTATCTTATCCATTCTAAGAATATATATATATATATATATATATATGCCTGTTTTTGGAATGGTTAAAATCGTTATTACTCTCAAATTAGTTGTTAGTATATATTGGGAAAGAATACGCACTTCAATACTGTCATCCTTTACCGACTCTCTATTGGCATTCCTAAGGGTGACGAGTTTGGAGTGTGCATGCTTTTGAATTGACCTTTAATTTTATTTATTATTATTATTATTATTTTCTCTCTCTCTCTTTTTTTTTTTTTTTTTTTAAATAATAGACAATTTCATATTTGTTACAATTTTGAATCAGCTGTTTTTAAAATTTTACTTTATATATATGATATTTTATTAAAAAATATTTTAGTTTTATTTATTTTTGAATATTAATTATTATATAAAAATTTAATATAAATTAAGAAAAAATAAAAAAATATTTTTATTAGTATCTTATAATATTATTATAATGATATTTGTATAAAAAATTATATAAATATAAAAATATTTTTAATATTAATAAAATTACGAAAAAGATAAATATATACTATAAAGTTACACATTGTTTTTGTCTATTCAGAAAATCAATACTCCCTCCGTCCTTTAACAATCTATCCATTTTTTCATTTTGGTCCGTCCAATAACAAAGTATCCGTTTTTTAGTAATTGTATTGTCTACCTAACATTACAAATGCCCTAATTTACAATATATTACACAAGTGTCATTACCTTTGTATCATACAATATTAATAATGATTAATTTAATTTTTTTACTTTATTTATACTTTATCTCAATATAATAATAATATTTCTAAAATCCCGTATATAAATAAAATGGATAGATAGATTGGGGACTGAGGGAGTATATTTTTGCCCCGGTCAAAAGTAAATATTTACATTTTATTGCAAGGTATCATCGAAAAGATTGAAATCAAATTAAAAAAAAAGATACCATGCTATTCAGATTTTAATAGTACATAATTCTTTTATTATTTATTATTATAAAATTTTAATATTTCTAATATAGCTTCTTTTTTTTCTTTTCACTATTTATTTATATACAAATTTAATATTCCTAAAAATAATAATCATGAACAAATACTTCCATACAAAACAAAACAAATATTTAATGGTTGGATCATATAATTTTAAACTAAATAAAATTATTAGTTTAAGAACAACTAATCCCTTGATGTTAACAATCAATCTGTTTGAACTTTCTTGGAAAGACTTTTCCACGTCGCATCTCCCCTACGACGTTTTCTTTGTAAAATCGAAGTCTCGGACCTTATCGGACTTTCCCCAACGATGACAGCCCACAGAGCTTCGTCGCTCTTCTTGCTCATCACTACCACTTCACTCCTCTTCCCAACCTCCTCATTTTCAATTCAACAATCACAGGTTATTACAAATGCCTTGGACGCCAACAAACCTTCTCCGTCGGTGCAAGAATCCGCCGCCAGAGGTGTTCTTCACAGACTGCTTCCCACCCACTCGTCCTCCTTCCACTTCAACATCATTACTAAGGTAATGTTTTCTTCCTTCACTTACAATAAGGCCTTCGTCATTTATGGATAGGTTTTTTTTTTTTGTGGAATTTGCAAAGTATTGAGAGTTGCGAGAGATTTATAGTTTCGTTTGTTTTTGTTTTTCTACATTATTGGTTGTTTTGGTTTTGAATTAGGATGCTTGCGGTGGAAAAAGCTGCTTTCAAATCAGCAATTTCAGGAATTCAAGCAGAGATTCAGCTGAAATAATGTAGGTTCAATTTGTTTCTGTTTCAATCCTTTTTGCAAGGGTTTTTATATCGAAGCCATTATGTATCTCTTTGCTCTCTGTGTCTGTAGAGTTTAATTTTGATTTTCTATAGATTTATTTTTTGCAAAATGGTGATCACAGTTCCAGAATCCCTTCTTCAAGTTTCTTGTTGAGTTAACCAAAACATCTTAATTGATAAGACAGGCTTTGTTTAGACAGAGACATTCGATCATCTTTCTCAAGCAAATCAAAGCCTAGAAGTTGTTGGATAGAACTCAATCGACCTTTTTTATTTTTCAATCATTGAGGGGTGCATATTTTGTGTTTAATGCCTTAATATTGTTTCCTTACTGGATTTTGAAATGGAACATTTTCATGGTTCGATGTTTTCCATATTTCCTTGTTTAGAATAAAAGGAACTACAGCAGTCGACATCACATCAGGACTTCACTGGTATTTAAAATACTGGTGTGGAGCTCATGTTTCGTGGGACAAGACAGGGGGAGCACAGCTTGTTTCGATTCCGAAGCCTGGCTCACTTCCTCGTGTGAAAAAGGGCGGTGTGACCATTCAGCGTCCAGTTCCATGGAACTATTACCAGAATGTTGTCACATCTAGCTGTAAGCATTCCTTAGATCCTTTTATTTGTAGTTTCGGCTGAGCTATGAGATATGAAATGTGGCTTTTATTTTCTATACTATTGCTTCTATTAATTATTTATGAGAGCTCGATGCCAATGTTTAGATTCCTATGTATGGTGGGATTGGAAGAGATGGGAAAAAGAGATCGATTGGATGGCAGTTCAAGGAGTCAACTTGCCTCTGGCATTTACCGGGCAAGAAACCATATGGCAGAAAGTTTTTGCAGTTAGTTGTTCTTAACCTCTAATAATTTTCGTACTTTTAATCTAGTTTTTCGATGATTTTTTGAGGGAGAATTTGATGGCTGACTGAAAAGCAATGATATAGTGTGAAATATTTATAAGCATTGTCAAAATTCGCGTCCAATTATTTTTCCAATGATGTGCTCTCACAATATTGATCAGCTTCTAATTATTTGTCTCGAAGCCTAGTAGATCTTCCTTTATAATTTGTATGTTTGTACATTCTTGGTTTCCATGTATAATGCCTTAATTCTGTTCGAGAAATTTTATGTCGTACTTATGCTCGCAATGATTGTAAACAGGAGTTTAACATTACTAATAAGGATTTGACTAACTTCTTTGGTGGACCTGCGTTTCTTGCTTGGGCACGCATGGGCAACTTACACGGGTTTGCTTATTTTTTCCCTTAGATTTCTATTTTTTGGATCCAATCTCTATCTGATGTGATTTGTTAACATGCACATTATGATATGGTTAACAGCTAAAACCATTTTTTTTCTTTTGAGATATGCTGTCTTTCCGATGCAATCTTGTGTCAAACCTCTCTGCTTTGGCCTAATTTGTAGCTATTTTTGTTAAAGCATTGCCGGCTTATATCATTTTATCTATCCCTTCCAATGCTCCAAGAAACATTTAGCACTGATCTTTTGTAACACAGGTGGGGTGGGCCGTTGACTCAGAACTGGCTGAATAAACAGCTGGTGTTGCAGAAACAAATTTTATCTAGAATGATAGAGCTTGGCATGACACCAGGTACCTTTTACGTCTCCCCTCTTTGATTTGGTATTGCATTTTGTTCGTGTAATTCCTAATCTTCCTGCAAAACTATTGACTAGAGCTTCCTCCTTTCATTAGTCTGAACTAATATATATACCTAGACGATGTTTCCTGTGATAGTTCTTCCTTCGTTTTCTGGGAACGTTCCTGCTGCATTAAAAGCAATTTTTCCTACGGCAAACATAAGCAGGCTTGGAGACTGGTATTTCTTTTGTCTTAATTTGCAGCCTTTATTTCTATGTCGAATACTTTGCAATAGAAATAATAACCAGATAATCTACGAAAGTAGCTAAAGCTACAGTGCTCAGGTTGTATTGCCCTTTATTTCAGGAACACTGTCGATGGTAATCCAAAATGGTGCTGCACATATCTTCTTGATCCTTCGGATCCTTTATTTGTCGAAATTGGTGAAGCTTTCATTAAACATCAGATCAAAGGTTAAATTCATTTGCTGTTGTTTTCTACTTTTCTACTTCAAAAAATTTAACATTTTTGGACCGCTTTATCTTCATAGATTAACCCTCATGGATTATACATAAACTACTATTTACGCGGTAGTCATGGGGTAGGATAATTGTCCACCTTGCGTTCGTTTGATTGTTAGAACAGTTCGACAATTAAAACTTGTGCGACGATACCTACAAACTTTTTGCTCGGATAAGCTAGATTTGACTTTCATTATGATTTCGTTTTGTCGACATGGTTTTAGCCAAAATCTCCTGCAACTATAATTCACCATAATATCTATTTCATCTTATAGTTCACTAGTATTTATTGTGAGCTACAGTTTGATTTTTTAGTTGGTTGATCATTTTGGTGTTTATTGTGACGTATCTTCTGTTTTGGATTATATGTTTTTGCAGAATATGGAGATGTCACAGACATTTACAGCTGGTACTACCTTTAAATTTTATTCGATTATTCTCTTAATCTCAGAGCATATATTTACATTTTACAGTTTATGGCAACATAAAAGGAACAATAATTCCATCGATGCATAAATTTTTAACGATGTTAAACCAATTGCAATAATCGGAGTTAATATATGTTTTAATCTTAATACGTACAGGAATCTTGAACTATGATATGTTATTTTCGCAGTGATACATTCAATGAGAACACTCCACCAACGAGTGATCCGACGTATATCTCCTCTCTTGGTTCTGCTGTGTATAAAGCAATGTCAAAAGGCGATAAAGATGCTATTTGGTTAATGCAAGTATGCTGTTATTCTTATATCGTCGAAGAATTGGGTGCATATGTTCTATTCGTCGACACATTTCATTTGTACATATTTAACCATGTTCTTATTACAGGGCTGGCTGTTCTACTCTGACTCATCCTTTTGGAAGCCGCCACAGATGAAGGTATAATAAGCTGCCATGGTGCTGTTTTTAGTTTCTTATTGTATAATTATGACTTTTTGTGGCATTGTAACTAACTATCAGGGTAAAGTAGGTCTTTGAAGAATTTACCAAATTGCAAATTTACGTTTGAATAATCCTATCTAGTTGTGAACCTAAATTGTCGATTTTAAACTATGCCGTGTTTGACAGGCTCTTCTACATTCTGTTCCTTTCGGGAAGATGATAGTGCTTGATCTGTTCGCTGAAGTCCATCCAATTTGGAAATCTTCGTCGCAGTTTTACAACACTCCTTATATATGGTATGCGATCGCCACAATTTCCTTGAGAAAAAAGTTAAAATATTTTTGCATTATTACATTGCCTTGCCGACCGTCACATTCCCGCCATTTCTTATAGGTGTATGCTGCATAACTTCGGAGGAAATATTGAAATGTACGGCTTGTTAGATGCGGTCGCCTCGGGGCCTATTGATGCCCGCGTCAGCGACAATTCGACAATGGTATGCTTTAGTTCTTCTGCTACATTACTACGTGTTCGATGTGCCCGTTGTCATTTTCATTATTTCACGATGCTCTCATGCATCGCACGTAATTCTTTCGTTCTTTGGCTTCATTTTACACTTCAATCTTCTCATTATCTTCTTCAAGGACAGATTGGCGTGGGAATGTGTATGGAAGGGATTGAACAAAACCCGGTAGTGTATGAGCTGATGTCCGAAATGGCTTTCCGAAGTGATCGATTCCATCTTGAGGTAATAGAATTGTTTTTGCGTCACCATTTATAATACATTTCGTTACTGATACTAATGTCGAATAATTCCACAAGAACTAGAATGTGTTGATTTGGTTCATTGTAAAATTTTAAAACCATATGAGCCATGTTTCTGTGACACTATCGATCACTTTGAACTTATTTACACTTGCAGGAATGGTTGAAAAGCTACTCTCGTAGGCGTTATGGTAAATCGATTCTTCGGTTGGAAGAAGCTTGGAAAATTCTGCATGCCACCGTATATAACTGCACTGATGGCATCGCGGTACATTCCTTTTGTTGGTTGCTCGATTCTTATGCAGAGGTTAATCTTATTGAATTCATTTTGTTTTCAAATTCAATCGACGCAGGACCACAACACAGACTACATAGTAAAGTTTCCCGATTGGGATCCATCCGCCGAACATGGCAACCCTGAAATAACAAGCGATCAAAAACTCGTGGAGCTACGACAAAAGAGACGATTCCTTCTCCATGAAACGAGTTCTTTACCTCGGCCTCATTTGTGGTACAGCAACGGCGATTCTATCCATGCGTTGAAGCTATTCCTCGACGCCGGATATGAAGTTGCTGAAGTTCCTACATACAGGTAAAACTTCGTTAACTTTTTCCTGTCGTTGATGCGAAATATTTTATCGTGTTTGCATATTGTAGGTATGATTTGGTCGACTTGGCGAGACAATCGCTCTCAAAGCTTGCAAACGAGGTATATTTGGATGCTATATATGCCTTCTGGGACAAGAATGTGAGCGCTTTGAGTTTACATTCTTCGAAGTTTCTTCGACTCATCGAAGACATTGATGAACTTCTAGCCACCGACGATAATTTTCTACTCGGCCCCTGGCTCGAAGATGCGAAAAAGCTCGGAATGAATGCAGATGAGAAGAAGCAGGTCAGAATTACACTTTTTTTGCCTCCAAATCGTTTCGATGTAATTTTTTTCATAACTCGACCAATCTTCTGTGTAGTACGAGTGGAATGCCCGAACCCAGGTGACCATGTGGTACGACAACAAGAAGAGTGAGCAGAGCAAGCTTCACGACTACGGTAGGACACCGATTTCTTCCATTTCCTTTCCTCCTAAACCTTTTTTGATCGATCAAACGATCACTCGTCTGGTTCAGCAAATAAGTTCTGGAGTGGGCTGTTGGCGCGATACTATCTTCCCCGGGCATCGATGTATTTTACACGGTTGCTGAAAAGCTTGCAAGGGAATGAGGAGTTTAAGGTTGTCGAATGGCGAAAAGAATGGATTGCATTCTCAAACAAGTGGCAATACGGCACTGAACTGTACCCGGTGAAGGCGAAAGGCGACGCCCTTGCAGTCGCCAAGAGACTTTATCAAAAATACTTCACGTAGAACGCTCGACGACTGCGACGGCGCGCATTGTAAGCGAAACAATGATATCTTTTACTGCTAATTCTTCTGTACAAGAAGTGTCTTTTCTTTGTACAATTGATCACCATCAATGGTGTTTTAGAAGAGTTCCATGAGCAGGGGATCTCCTGCTGCCATGAGCTTTATCAGCCTCACGAAATCCGACTCCGACGTAACGTTGCACGGGTGCACAGCCGGCGCCTGCGTGGAGTAAAACCCGAAGGACTCCGTCGAAGCTGCGACATTCATCTCGTGGATCATGTCATTCAGAATAGGGTCGAAGTTCTGCGGCGAATCCATGGCCATGAAGAACATCGGCACGGCAATCTTGTGGTGAATGTCGAGGTCGCCGACTAGGTCCACAAGATCCACAAAGTCGGGAACAAAGCGCCGCGGAAGGTAGAACACGTTGGAGCCGCATAAAGCGATGGTCTTCTTGCTTGGGCTGCTCTCCTTGTAATTGACCTGCAGATGCGCCGGCATTGCACTCACGACGGTGTTCACCATCTCGGCTTGCTTTCGAAGCCATCTGGCTTCGTCTTTTCCGGCCACCGGCGTGACCACAGGTACCTGTGCATACATTTATAGCTCTGTTATACGATGGGAGATAATTGCTCGACGATGATCGATGGTTCCCTCGATTTCTACCTTGTTCGCGATCCACAGCTTAGACTTGTCAGCGTTCGACAAGCTCCAGTAGTTTAAAACCGTGTTGTCATGCATGAAGATGAAGCCGGCCGTGTCGTTGTACCTGTTAAACACTCGGGGCAGATACCTGCGGAGAATGAAGCGTCAATAACCGGACGAGGCGCGGCAAGCTAGTTGAAGAAGAAACCATGAAATCAAAATGTACTTGTACGTATAATCGAGTCGAGCTTGGTAGACTGCAAGGTCTGCGTCGCCCTGCGTTGACATAATAACGACAGCTTTGAACACCCTACCGTACAGCAATCGCCACTCCAATGCCGTCCGCTGTGAGGGTCCGGCGACGAACATGATCAGCACAATGTCGCCTAAGGTCCTCCTCCACCGGACGAGATTACCTATTTCGTAGTTAACCGTTCCCGATTCGTCGACACTGAGATGCTTCGAAGGTAATTTTCGTGGTACGAATTCCATTCTCTCAGTTTTCGACTCGATCATCGCTATCTTCCCCGGCGCGAGATATCCGACGGAGATCAAGTCTTCCAGCCACGACGCCGTGAACTTGACATCGTTCTCGTTCCAAAACCCTTCTTCCTCCATTGAATAGCTTAGATCGAGAATTCGATCAAAGAGCTGTTCTTTCTTGGATCGCCAAGCGATCAAGAACTTGATCAAGCGCCCGACGTTGACGTGAAGATCAGTCTCGTCGATGAATGGATACACAGTGGCGACATCGGGTCGATTGACGGTCGGAGGATAGAAAACGACGAACCCGCCGATCTCCCACAGCAGCCTCTGCCCCCAGTAGCCCCTCAAAACGTCGGACGCCATCCGGCTAACGGAGACGGGAAGCATCAATGCCCAAAACGCCTCGTATTGAAACAATGTGTTGATCGAATTCACCGGCGCCATCACGCCTTCCGGCATGGCGACTTTTGGCGCGCGATCATCGAACCGGATATCGAATGCCTCCGAATCCGCCTTCCTTGTCGCGTAGAAGACGGAATCGACGTCCGGCAAGCCGTTCGATATCCCCTGCTGTATGTACTGCTTCCCTCCGGCGACTACTGAATAGAACTCCTCGTGAATAACTTCTCCGACGTTCTCCAATGGCAGACCTCTCGGCCAGACAGATCTTTGCCCGAAATGGATATAAGGATTCACGATTGTTCTGGTTTTGTTCGAACTTCCACCATTGTACTGAAAAATCCTCTGCTGTCTCGCCGCCGGAGTTTCCAAATCTAAGTCGAAATGCTTCCCTATATTGCCGCCGATGACCTCCCCGCGGTCGTCGGCGTCGAAGATTCTTCTGGCGCCGTGGTGTATAGCGAAAAGGTATCCTACAGTTTTCCTTATATAAGAATCGTACGGTAAGTGATCCAAAACCCTAAACCCTAACTCGGCCTGCTGCTCGAGAGACAGGTAAATTGCGCCCTTGAGGCTCCAAAATTTGGGGGTTTTGGAGTTTCCAATAGCTAAGACTTGCCATCCTTTGATCCTGACGAGCGATTTGACGGCAACGGAGGGATGATCGGAGACGGAGACGACAATCCATTGTTTGGCGCGGAACGAAGCGTAGGGCGAAGACTTGTCGGGAATTGGGCGGACATTGGGGTCGAGTTTGGGGATTTTGAGCTTGTGAGCGTCGCGGAGAAGATTGGAGTTTTTGGAGCAGAGCAATGGCGTCGTCGAATTGGCGGCGGAGGTGCGGAGGAAGACGAAGAAGCAACAGGCGACGACGGCGAGGGTTAATATGGTGGTGATTAGGTATACTCTGTGAGATTGGGATATTGTGTTGAGATCGAGATTGAGATTGTCGTCGGGATCGGAGGAGAGTGGGGATTTAGGTTTGGCAGGAGAAGAATAGCCATTGTTGTGGTGGAGCTTGGTGGAGGGGTCGTCCTGGATAATCATGTGTGACTGGTAGAGAGAAGTAAGAAGAAAGTGGAGGAGACAGACAACACGGGCGTGTTGGGGGCGGTCGGCGATCCTCCTTGGTCGGGGATCGGTATTTCGTTACTGCAGCAGTAATGAAATGAAGAGGAGAATTAATTAATTAAATTAAATTAAATTAAAATAGGTTTGGAGGTAGGTAGGCGTATGGTCAGTATCATCAAACAGTCGGCGATTGCGATTGCGATTGCGATTGCAGACAGCGAAGAAAACCGTCGGTTTTGTCGACGACTGCCGACACATTATTACACTTCTTCCTTCACAAAGAATCTTTTATGGTGACCTAAGCTTTTATAAATATATTTTTCGTTTGAAAATTATGTTCGAATTTGATCTTGGATGAATTAAATTAACATATATATATATATATATTTTTTATGACATGGCGTGGCTACAGAAAATGCGCACAGTAAATCTTGATCTTGACTGAACCTAATATCCTGTACACTGGGGTCCGACAGACAAGATAGGTCATTTCGGGACCTGTTAAAATAATATTGAAATATTTTGAAATTAATATGTATATAATAGAATGTGTTTGTTTTGTATTTTGATATTTTTTTATGTAAAATATAATAAATTATATAAATAATATGTATTATATTAAATTTTTTGAAAAGAAAAATTAAATTTTATACCCCCTCCATCTCATTAATAAGTATCCAATTACTGTTTTACATATATTAGTATTATATTGGAATATAGTAGGAATAAAATTGAAATGACTAAAATAACCTTGTTTGTTAGTACGTGATATAATGTAAGTTGTAAGGGTATTTGTAATGTTAAGTAGATAGTACAGTTACTAAAAAATGAAATGAATACTTTGTTATGGGACGGACTAAAATGGAAAAATGGATAGATTGTTACGGGAGGGAGGGGAGTATTAAAAAAACAAAACATTAATACTCAATATATTGTTTGGTTTCATTATTTTTATGTCCTTAATCAATAGTTTTATTATAAAAAATAGTAGCACACTATTTTATAAGAAAAATAATTATTTATTTCGATATTTTTAATAACATAAATGTGGATAAATGATATCAAAATGTATAAATACATTTGGACATGAATCTCATGCCAATTGGATCAGATCAACCTAGAATCTGCGCCTATATATATAAACAAAGTTCCGTATATTGAAAGTAAACGAAATATAAAGCAATCAGAATCAAATTTTTATTAAACTTCATACATCGACATTTATTCATTCATAATTATTCCCTTCGAACCTAACATGACATGTAAATTCCAATGAAGATCCATTGTTATAACAAATGAATCAAAGTTTTTTAAAAAATGATGAACCACAAACATGGGCTTGGGAGCAGTCGGGGGCTTGAAATTCGCAATAACACTTGGACGGTGCAACAGTGTTCAAACAACGGGCCGTAATATTTTGTCCGCAATCTTTTATGCATAACGGCAAACATATTGTCGTCTCTTCCTCCCCCGGAGAACATTCCGGACTCTCTTTAACAAGATGATAACAATCCTCAGCATTTGCGACATTGAAGAAATTCTTGGATCCGATCTTCAAATTCACTGTACAAATTATTTCAAATATTAAAATATATATATGATCGCATAAGTACAATATATACATAAATAATTCTATATAAAAATAGCTTGAAACCTGAAGCGACGACTGTAAGAGAGAACAAAAATAAATTTACTGAAATTTTTCTCATTTTTCGGCTATCGAATTAATCTTTGCTTTACTTTTCTCTTTCTTTTTTTTTTTTTGAATTATATATAAACACATACGTTCCTTTTATACTAAAAATTTGGGATATGAAGTAAATAAAATAAATTTAAAATAATGATAAATTATTAAATTGGATGGTAAGTTGACTGATACAATGGAAACTCAAATAATTGTTTGAATTTCCTCTAAAAATTATTAAATGCCATGATAAGTAGAATAATCATTGTTATTATTATTATTATTATTATTATCATTATTATTATTATTTAATAATTTCCTCCAAATTTCATATATAGTTTAGCAAATCGTTGTGTCCATCAATGTTGATTAATGGATTTATATTTAATCAATCAATATATGTGATAGTATATATTTATAGATGATTCGATGCAAGAGTTCTATTTATATTTGTCATACACGTTATCAAGCGTACACAATTATACCAAGAAAATTAATCCAAAACATAAGATCGATGACCACGATCAATTATGACATCGATCTTGTTTACAATCATTGGCGACGTAATAACAAACGCAAACATGAGACAAAGCATCACACGCGGCAAGAGTCGACACACCACATTGCTTCTCACACAAAAGCATACATTTTGTAGTCACTTCGCTTGGTGCACAATTCAACGGCGGCGATGGAATATGTTTACAGTCTTGAGCGGCATTTGCGCAAAAATTTATAAACAATGTATCAACTGCGACAAAAATAATAATTTTAATTAGATCATTTGTTTTTACTATTCATCTTCAATTATTTATTCTCTTCGTCCGGCTTTAAGGGCTATATATTTACTTTTTGCATATTAATTATTATATCAAAACGAAGTACAAATTCAGACGAAATGATAAAAAAAAATAATTCTATTAGTATCTTATAATAACATTTGTATAAAAAACTATATAAATATTTTTAATATTAAATACAATGACGCAAAAAGTAAATGTAACTCATAGAGGCGGACGAAAAAAATATCAATTTTCTTAAAGAAATATAAAATTATACATCCATTCGTCGCTTAATATATTACATGAAAGAAATTCTATTCAAAATGTCGCATCAAATTTATTTACGTCAGATTAAATAAATTTTATGATTCAAAATTTTTACTATTTCAAAATACACCAAAAACATCTCAAAACACAATCAAACAATTATTAAAGCAATTTAAGATTTTTTTCACCTGCTGCTAAACTGAACATGAAAATGAAGACAACGTTTGTAGACAGCTTTGCCATTTCAGAAACTTGTGTAAATAAATTAAATAATGTAATTTATTTATTATTATGTATGTATATATATATATAATTTGAATTTTTTTTAGAAAGGTGTATTCAATTTTTTTTATTTTTTTGGACTTTAAAAAGTTTAATGAACTTTTGTAAATCTAGAAAATTTATAGAATTTAGGTAGGGTTTTAATTAATTTTATTTACTGATTTATATAAATTTTTATAGACCTGATTTAATTATTTATTGATTTATATAGATTGATTTTATGAAATTTATAGATTTTTAGAATAAATATTTTTTTTATTAATTTATATAATTTCTATAAATATTATTCAAATATTTAATAAAATAATAAAAATACATTAGTTTCAAAAAATATATTAATCTACATCTTACTAATAATAATACTATTTATTATATTAATAATTTTAGTTTTATAAATTACTATTATATTATTATTCAATATATCAATATTTCTTTAATATTTAATATTATTTTAACTAATTATTAAATTTATTATGTCAATTATCTTTTATTTGTAACAATCTACCTTATAAAATAAGCAAAATATATATTTTTAAATAAAATCAAAATTTAAATTAAGAATTTTTTTTAAAAAAAATAGAAAAACTGAAAAACTGAAAAAATAAATAAATATAAATTGATAGATAAACCAGTACCTGTGGGTTTTGAATTGGAACCAACATATTCGAAATCAAAATTGGCAAATACAATCGAGTTTGTTTCCAGGCTATTAGGTTCAACCGAAAGTTTACTCGGTGCACACTTTTAAATAGTAGTTGTGGATTTTCACGTCATAAAAATAAAATAAAATAAAATAATTGACAAATACAAACTAAAATTGTGATATAAAAGTTCCAATTTCCGTTCGAACCATTAGAGCATGTTTACTTGGTTATTAAATTATATATATATATATATATATATGTAATTTGTGGTATTACTTCAAATATATAAACTTAAATATATATTTAAAGAATTTTGGTATCCTCCCCATACTGATTAAGATTCAGGAACATCCTGAATGTTTTTAATCCGTTTGATCAATTTTACCGACAATCCAACGATTGAGTTTGATTGAGGGTATTTTGATAATTCAAAAATCAATTAAGATATCTAATTAAAAAAATCAATTAGAAAAATTATCATAACTACCTCTCATAATTTCGGGATTAAGTTTTTCTTAAACAAAACAAAAACGTCTGCAAATAATTCCTTTTAAAATCATATAAATTCAAATTATAAAGATATATACAGTATCACAGAATGATGTTTCTATAATATTATTATAATATTTTCCATGAAATACTTTTCTTATATAATTTAATTAAACAATGTCCAAGTAAATGCATTATGATATATTACATCAACTAGCCGATTATGATATGACAATTTTAAATAAATTAAAAATCATATATATATATATATATAAATATCCTTCCCACCCCATCCTATTTACCAAACTCTAAATTCACCACGCAGATACTCCTCTCCGGTCGTGCTGCCTCCGTCTACAACACAGTTCGCCGCAGTTGCTAAACTCTTCCCACTGCCGCTGCTGACCTATACAGCCATGCCCCCGCCGTCAAATAACCGCCGCTGCCATCGATTCCTTCTCTATTTGCAAATCCGCACTTGACGGAAGTCGGCGACCACGCGCAATTCCTCTTCTATTTAGAAGTTCACATTTGACGAATCTTTCAATGACGGATTCAACTAAGCGAGATTCTGAAGCTTCTATTAAACCCAAAACGAAGATAACGAAGCACATTCAAGTACCATATGTGCCAAGAAAGATAGCAGATTTCAACAACGATAAGCTCTTTCGGCTAAGCGGACAGATTTTTTGGTTGTGTTTTCAATACTGCGTAATATTTTTATGGTCATCATGCGTATATGTACATTCTTGATTAGTCTCCTTTAGAAAAAATATCAATACAATTATTCCTAAAAATATTTTTGTTGGCCTCCGGACACGTACGATGTATATTCATGGTACATATGTTGTTTAACTCTTATTGTGTACATTATGATTTACATATTATAGTTCATATTTATAAGTATCATGATAGACTAACGATACTAAATCTTATTG